ACCGAATAACAAAATATATACACACATACAAAAGTCATGAAAACAACACAATTTTAAACATACAGTGCATGGTAAGATAACATAGATGACATATAAAAGTTAAAAGCATAGTTTCAGTCATATTTAGGAAATATGCATGCAAAATAAAATATATCTTAAAACATAGCATAAGTTAGAATAATGATTTGGAAACAATATCTATCTTTTCAATACTAACATGTGTTATGAAATTAGCGATTTCAGGATCATTCATTTTATCTTGATTAAACTGGTTAAGGTTGAATGCTCCTGCCAATATAGGGTGTCCGGAACGTGGACTTCTGAGTTCGTGTGATTGTGCTGCTCCATCAAGAAACTGTGTTGCTATTGTCAAAGTTAACAGCAACAGGCCTAACTTTAAAGCGCTGAAGGATTGGATTTTCTGAAAGATAATCAGAACAGTAAACGTAACAACGTGTGAATTCATTCCGTTGCCACACTGTATTTTCGGGTAATTAAATGATGAACATATACAGAATTACTTCCAGTATAAAAGAATTAGCAGATCCTGCTCCCACATTTTGCACCCATCTTGTTGCTTGTGGTAAGTACGAATTCGATGTTAAGTCTCATTCGGGAATGTCACAATCGAGGAAAAGAGAACGGTATAATGGCTTCGACATTTGGAACATATGCGTTTTCATTTGTGAAACAGATATTCCATAAAGCTCAACCAACTCATGATGGTGCTCGTAAAGCTTTCGAAGGGATAACTTTACACTAGAAACCCTTGTAGGAAGCAACCCTCTGTCCAGGAAATCATGACAGGAAACGCAAGCACGGGTATATCGCATCAACATGGATATACAGGTGCTGCTGGGGGTGCTAGAAAGAAATGGGAAGTTCACACAATTGGAAAGCTGAAATCATCCTTTTTGTTGTAAAATTTTGTTCTGAATCGACCTTCATTGTCAATTGTAAAAATGTAAATATTCACTCCATGTTCTTTCGTCTCATTTGGATTGTCTCACAGGAAATCAAACATCACCTCCTGTCGTCTCATTTGGATTGTCTCACAGGAAATCAAACCTCACCTCCTGTCGTCTCATTGTCTCACAGGAAATCAAACCTCACAGTTTAGTACAACATTCGTTTGAAAAAATCTGAATACATTTTAATGGAAATTGTTAAATTGTAATGTGAAAGTTCAATACGATTGTCAGTCAGTACAGCTGGAATTGAGAACCTTACCCTCATTGTGACTTCAGGTGAATGGTTCCAATTAAAGAGGTTACACACGATCCGTCTGTTATCTTGTTAGACGTGTTCTGATTAAAACTTCAAGGACGATTAGAAATAAAACTATTATTCTGTCACATATTTTGTGTTTATATATGTATTATCGATGTGGATGTATTTCAAATGTGCACCTATAGTTTATATAGACTTTGGAAATAAAGATATATATTAATAAAAGATTCTAGACTGACTTTTACGTCAGCTGTTCCAAATGAAATGGCTTACATTTTTTTGCATTAAAGATGTCCATAATTCATTGTTTTTCATGTTCAGTAAGGCTCCAGTTGTCTTTGAACAAGAGATGAAATATAAATGTATTCACTGTGAACTTTTGAAACATTAAAATCAAAATTGAGTTGAATTTCAATGTAAAAATGAACCGTCTGCGTAAAAAAAAGTTTTGAAGTTCTACAAGAACAAGTTATTCAACCTAAATGTTCCCAATTAAAAATAAGATGATTATTTATTTCGTCACAGTGGTGTTGACTTATACCAATTAAGGATTTTTGTAGTATCCGCAAATGTACGAAATATATGTAATTTTTACGAGGAGGACATTAAATATAGGATTTAGGGAGAGACATATAAAAGAAAAGGTATCCGGCAATGTGGGACACATATTCGGATCAGGGATTTTGAACTAGGCAGCGGTTAGAGGCGAAATAGGTAAAGTCTGTATTAACCATAAAAGTAGCTCTATTATTGCCCCCCTACCCCCCCCCCCCCCCCCCCCCTTTCCACACACACACACACATTAATCCGCCTCTGGGACAGTTTGACAATAACTACTGGTACAAAATTTGGGTTGAAAAATGGGTTTGTTGTTATTGTGTTGTACATCTGATATGGCAAATATAGCGTTTATTTATAGTTAAATTTACGTAAAGGGACAATTTTCGTTGTTTTTTCTCAAAATATGGACCAATTTTGAAAAATTATATTTGGCACCTCCTTTATGTCATTTGTCGAGGTAACCTAACAAATACTGTACCTACATGTTACTTTCAAAAAATGTATTTCATCAATGCGCTATTGTTACACTTCCATTTACAGTCGTTTTTACATTTTCTATTCTGAACAGGTCTCTAAGTTTTATACATTGATGTCAATATTTTTTTTTTCAACATAATATTCACTTTAGAGCATAATTGGTATATATTATATGAGAATATACAGTGTGATGGTTAGAACGTAAGAAAAGAGGACATTGCTGTTGTTGGCTCAAATATTTTTCTACCAAAAAAAAAACCTTTAAAAAGAAATAACAACAAAATCTCACCTCGTCTATGATGGCAGCAATATCAAACAACAGTCACCTTTTAATCCCCGTCGTAATATTGTATATGCAAATGACAGTTACTATAGTTTTTGGTAATCTTTTACTTTTCGATTTTATTTCGAAAACGACTCTATACTCACTCTTCATTCAATAGTAGAATGGTTGTCAAAATAAATAACCAGAGTTGGTACACTAAATTGCCTTGTATGCTTTCTGAGAAATAGGCAAAATTGACAAAAATATATGTAAGAGTGAAGTAGACCATAATATGACTTTTTACAGACAGACAACAATGTAACAGTGTATTCCTTCCACCAGTGTTATTTTTCAAGAGGACAATTTACAATAGTGTACAATTTCTCCTTACAACGGAACCCATGCTTCTTTATTCACTAAACGTTGAACGGATTTGGTTTGCCATGAGCAACACGATGGGTTTCATGTGAACAGAAACTGCTTGCTCAGTCACAATGAGTTCAACCTGGTTGTGGGTGGGGTTCGTTTTGCCTGCCAAACCTTCAGATATCTGTGCAGTGTTTTGTGGAGCTGTTTTTTTAAATATTTTTCCCTTTGGCGTTGTCTGCCTTTCTTCCACTTTTGATTTTTGATTGCTCCTCAGTGTTTTCTTTCATATTGCTGATCTGTCATGAATAGTTACCAAAGAATATCGTTGAGGTTGGGATTCTTGTTACTAAATCTTCAGGTTTCGGTGTAGTGTTTTGTGGAACTGTTTTTATTTTTTCCCTTTGGCGTTGTCTTACCTTTCTTCTACTTATGATTTGTGATTGCGTCTTAGTAATTTCTTCCATATTGCTGATCTGCCATGCATAGTTATTAAAGAACTACATGAATCCTTAAACTTAACCTGAAAACAGGAATGTGAAAACGAAGTATATCTGACATATATACTCCCCTGACGATCTGCATACCAAACATTGTTCAATTGTCATGAATACTGAGTAACAAAGGAATACACCTTATATGCAAAAAAGTGATGGATTTAATGTAGGTCAGAGTTAATTGCTTATTTGCCATTATTATCCCTTACAGGATATTTTATAGCAACTTGTATGATTGCAGGTTATTTATATACGAGCACGAAACTCTGGAGCAAAACAATGTATAACTCAAATGAAGTGTTACGTGTAGGTATGAGTGACCTACTATTTAGAGAAACCTGGTAATATTTTTCTACACGCATCCTTAACCAAAACTTAGTATTTCAAAAATTAATTAAGATGTAATACTAAATATAAGTCAGTGCGGCATCAAATGTAGATTAGAGTGGCCTACTTTTGTGGACATCTGCAGTACTGCCTAAGATACATATTCTAATATGAAATAATAGTTTCAGTGGACTGGCTGTGGAAGTGCCACGGACATGGACTTGGTCAGCAGATGTACCCTAATAAATCCCACTCAACTTTGCTAATGACTAACATTGCTGTTGTACAAACTTTAAATAATACCTGTAGTTGTTTCATCTTTCATCACTATCAATTCATCATGTGACCACTGATTAAATGTCTACCCTGATTTATCTCAAATTTTCAATAAATCTTAAAACTTTATTAGTCAAGGTGATCTAACTATTTGTATAAAACCTTCATTATCCATAAAGCAGTCATTGAAAAAAACGCTTTTCAAAGGTCTGTCTCAACATAACTACTTTGCATTCTCTATGATGTGCAGTGCCCTAGCACTCTTGTCAATGAAGTGTATTGAATGAAATATGCACCCATGCTTGAAATGATTAGGGGTGTAAAATTAAATACACTATGTTGACACACAAAGTTTTGCAACTACTCTTGCTGAGGGGTGTTCAAGATGTTTAAATACACAGCCAAGTCTGTTTCACTGTGTGGATTGATTTTTTGGTGTTTTAATGCAACTTTGAACACTATTGACTATTTCATAGCAGCCAGTTTTTATTGGTGGAGGAAGCCAAAGTGCCTGGAGAGAACCATGACCTCAGCAGGAAAACTGGCATTCCTGGTCAATTAAGATTGGAGTCAAACGCCAAGTGCTGGGCTCAAACTTGCAACTTCAGTGTTGACAGGCTACTGATACAGTAGTTAAACTACATGTACTTAGACCACTCGGCCAGAGGACCACACTGTGTGGATACATTTCCCATCCCTTGTAGACATTGACTTACAAGTCAGGTTTAGACAGCTGTAACACTGGTTGTTTTACCAACCACTTACAATCAAAAGTGGCTGTACAAAGTCAGTCTATAATAGTCAATCACAAATTGTTAACATAAAGATTGTTAAAAGAGATTTTCCCAAAACAAGCCAGTATGTATATACATAATTTTTTTTAGAATATACTTTCTGGATGTTTAGTTGCTATTCCCTACTTATATTTGTAACATACAAACTTGGGCAATATGTTAAATCTCATTCTAAACTTGATTGGCAAAGGAAATAATACACAATGATTATGTAAAAATATTTTAATGCTGACCAGCAGCTTTTCATATATAAAACATTAATATATAAACATATCAATATATAATCTAACTGTTGTATGATATGACTGTGACAAATATCCCTTCATGTAACATAACAGATACATGATTATTAATTACAATCCCAAAATATGTTTTATGATGATTTCATTTTTATTTCATTGTTAAAAAAGAAGTTTTTACTATAATGCATAATGACATTTTTAGCTGTTGTGGCAAGTTGTAATATTGAATATAATGAGAGATAATTATATGAATTATTCATTCCAGTCAGAAAAAATGACACACAAAAATCTGGTTTATTTTATAAGCTTTTAAATGAAGCAAAACTACATGTACGTCAAAAAAATTGTACATTTCATTTTGTCCGAGATATGATAATTTCTTTCAAAAATCTCCTTTAACCTTTATTAAAATTACTTTTAGAATAGTTTATTAAGCATACAAATATTCAATAATTTCTAAACAGTGTTGTGTCAAAATGATGCAGATATTAATATCATATTTCAGGTTGGAATACTAATATCAGAAATAAAGTCTAGACCTTTTCAATAACACACACACTGATGATCATTTAATACTAACAGCACTAGTAAATTTAATACATTTCTTAATAAATTTGATATTCATTGGAAGCATAATACTAGTCAATGCATGATTACTAAGAATCCCTGAGATTATTTGCCCTTATAAAATACTTCATAATTTTGTATCTGTGTAATTTAGTGTGAGGAAATATTTACGTAACTAAGATAGAATTGACATTTAAAAAAAATATAAAACTAAAAATTAATTTTCAATTACTTTCATGACTGCATTACCTTTTTTTCAAAAGTAAATTGACTTAAAATTAACAAACAACATTTTTCAAATTACCATTACTTATATTAATTTTTTTTCTCTCTCTAAAATCTATGTTCCTGTTCTTATAAACAAATAAATAATAACAATAATATGAGAATGATAAATGATTCACTAAATTTAAACTTATTTAGTTTCCTGAAGCTTAGTTTGTTCCAAGATTTGCATAGATATGTGTTAATTTTTTGACAACAGATTTATACATAATATAATATAATACAAAGATTTGTTTTCATTAAATAATCTCATTTGGTAAATCCAAGACAACAAGCAATAAATACTTGCGCAGAAATAAAAAAAAAAGTGTTATAGAAAACATCTCAAGTGCAGTTATAACAGTCCTGATGAATTTTTTTAATCAAGATGGTGCATGCCACCTCAAAACATTGGTCATTTCCGCAATAAATAACAGCTTTAAAAAGCTTTAGATATGATAAAGTTTATAAACATATGTTTATAAAGGAATGTAGGGAGTAGCATATTGGCATGGTCGGTTGTACTATCCAATATTTTAGGTAGTGCTTGGTATCCTTTCTAATATTATTGCATTTGTAGTATTTGTTACCATATATATCATAGAAATTTTTTTTTAAAAATCTCACAATGGTGACAAGTTTGTTCTTTTGTCTAAAATTTCATCATGTACTTAATGCCTATCAGTAACAACAAAATACACAGAAACCTGTGTATTACTCAATATATATATAGCATTTACGCTATAAAAACAGAAAAAAATAAAATTGATTATTGGTTCTGAGACATGTCAACATGATATGCTTAAAATCATTTACAAAACATCATTGAATTCATAACAAAATCATAATTTTATTTTAATACTGAGTATTTGATATTTAAAATAATTATGCCAATTCTTAAAAATACTGAAAATAAGTAATCAAATCAAAGACAATCCTTTCTTAATTAACATTCAATAAAAAAACATATTTTCAAGAGAGGTTACTATTGAGAACCATAATAAATACACTCTTACTAATGAATCAAAGAGTGTTTTCATTATTTTTTGCATAAAATCTTCTATTTCATTTTTGGGGGCCTAAAATCGAATATCAGAAAGCATATTTTCTTTCTCCACTTCAGATTAAATGACTACCGTACTCTATTGTTAACAAAATATTTTATAATATAAAGATATTTTACCCGTTTCTACAATTTACTAAAATTTATCAATTATTACAGATATAATTCATTTTCATACTTTATTTGAGAGAGATTTTTCAACATATTTAGCATTTCCTTTCATAGCCATCCATTTTGTTGGATTTTTCTTAAAATAAACCACTGCTGCTATTATAATTAATGCTACAACTAATAATCCTACTACTATGCCAATAATTGGTCCAACATTAGTATGGGACCTGGCAACAAAAACTCCACCCTGATCCGTTTGGAATTCTGCCATTCCACCATTGATGGATGCGTCAACCTTTGTCCATCCACCAAAATTTTCTGTATTTGATCTATAAATACCAATATCACTAGCGTCCTCATTAATGTCTATCCCGATGGTAACTTTCTTCCCATTATCTGTCAGTTTAGTTTCTGGGGCCAAAACAATAAAATCACTTGCAAAATCATCACCAACCTAATAAAATCATTCATAAAATCTTTAGAATATGAATATAAAGAGATGTGTGGAATATGTACATGAGACCACTCAAAACATCTTCAAAGAGTAAAAATAATACCTTGATTGTAAAATGTTTATTTTTGTTGCCAACGCCTAAATTTTGACATTTTTGAAATTTGCAATTCTGGGCTAGTGACCTAGTTTGTGATGCTGATATATCAAGAATGAGTAAAACTGAAATTAAAAAGCAGATAACTTTTTTTAATAAAACAACTTTGAAAAAAATTAACTCCTTTACATATGATGTGATTGAATTTGTGTTTCCTTTGCTTGAAAAAATCATGTACGATTACTGTTATTCATACCAAAACAATATGACCATAAATAGAGAATTTAAAAAAAAAAAGAATTTATAACTGAATTACAATCAATGAGTTACAGGGAATAAATAAACCATATAAGCTAGTTAAATTTCCAATTTCTTAAATGTAAGGTTTGTGAAGCATTGTTGATGTTCAAGTCTCTTACACAACATGAAGCAGAATGAAGAAGTATGTAAAAGTTTTCAGATGAAAAGGTTAAATACTAGCATATTCTTGGTTTGATCCTAAAAGATTTTGTTTCTCATTATAATCATTATGCACGGTAATTTTTCTACTATGTGGTCACAATGGTACAAAAATCCAGAAGTATACTAATCTAATAGCATTTCCTTTAATTAATTAGTGGCGGATAAGGTAAAGCTATGTAAACATTTTTCTGGTTGTATTTTCCTTCAAATCAAATCAGTGATACATGTATTAAAAATTCAGATAAAATTACATATATAATCAACCCAAGATCACACATTCAGGTTAATAAGCTTGGATCCTTTTTAAAACAGTCTATAGAACTGAGGACAGGGGACTCTTGAAATATTTACTTTCATTATGTATATAAGTGATCTTGTTGATATTGTTTGTTTTTATTTTGTTATGTTGTGTCACATGCTATAAACGTATGGTGTAATGGCAATAAAGATTTGAATTGAATTGAATTGAATTAAAAATTAAACACAAGACTAGGAAAGGTAATCTGTATTTTTTTGTTTAAACTTATGAATAAATAAAATAACTGGATCTGATTCAGCTTATTTTAAATTTGAATGATATCCAATAATAATACTCACAGATATAGCTCCTCCTTTAGACTTCATAAGATTCAATCCATCATTTGAACTCCATTCATTTAGTTTCAGTGTATGAAGCTTACTGAATGTTCCTTGTTCAACTTTCACCCATGCTTTACTATATAAAGTATAAACAGATGTAAGTAAAATGTTTAATGGACACTGTGTCTAACAAACATTTATATTGGTAAAAGAGGATCTGCTACCTTAGGAAGGAATAACCAAAATAAGTCTTTTGATATTAATGAATTATGATTTATTCAATATATTTTGATATTGTAATTATCATGTTTATTTATCTTGGCCTTATAATGTTTATTTAATTGGGTTATACCGGTAGTTGTTTACAAAATGATGTTACAATTGTGCAGTTTAGAAATCACTCGAACAATCATAGATACTGATGGAACGATTAGAACTTTCTATTTGACTTGCATAATAATTCCCAAATGATCATAATCTACAATTAGTAATTTAAACTTCTACAGTATTCTTGAAGTTTCCCTTCTAAAGTTTTCTAGAAGTTTCCCTTCTATAGTTTTCTAGGAGTTTCCCTTCTACAGTGTTCTAGAAGTTTCCGTGACAACTATATATACAGACACTGAAATTCAGACAGACATTAATATACTTGGATTCTGAGAAGATCTCCAGAGTTGTTGGATTGACATTTTTATTTACGAACAACATCATACTAGATTGTGATCATGAACTTATTGGACATATATATTACATTGGATTCTGTACAGTTAAGAGAAGAATTCCGGATAAAGAAAAGACAAAGGATCAGACATATATTTTAACAGTTAAGTTGACATTTCAATTTGTATAATATTTCGTGTAAAATTGTATAATAAATCTTGTTAAATTTATTCTTGATTTTTGTCTTTTAGTGGCTACAATTTAAAGGTGATTTCTTGCCGTAACAATATACCTCAGCAATCATAATTGACCTAAAAATCAAAGTTACATCCTCCAGTGTCAAAAAGGACAAGGACAACTTTGTTCTGAAATGCTGTGAAACTCTAAGGAATCATTTAGGTCTGGCAAAAAACCCCCAACATATTAAGGTTCCAGTTATCTGTATCTTTTCAATATAATTGGGATACAATAAAACAATAAAGAACAAAGAATTCAGTATCTTTATAATAAACCATTAATTAGATACACATCTATCAAAACTATGTCAAAACTGAAGTTATTTAAAGTTAGGAAGTGTGTTTATAACAATGCTTAAACTAGGGGTATCTAATAATTAAATACCTATCTGGTATCTTGAGCTGACCTCCCATCCAACCAATCGACTCATATACAGTTGGACTACTGGATACCATTATACGTCCCTTCTGGTCACGATTGGAGAAGTCATTGTTTCTAGTACACATGTAATGAAAGGTCCCCAGCTGACTGATTTTTCTAATTCCAAGATTAAAGTAAGGGCTAGCATCATCTAGTTGTGATAGTTCTCCTCCAAAGGCACCTAACAATAAAAGGCATCAAAATAAGTACTGTAAATACAGAAATTTTTGTGATGTTTTAATTAATGCTATATTTGTGACAGGACAGTTTTCGCAAAGATAAAATCCTGCATTTTACAATTTGATAGCATTATTCTATGCTGCATTTCTGAAGTCCCAATAAATAATCTTGCATTTTTTACCATAGTTAAGCAATCACATTAAAAATATATATTCACGTAAACATTTCTGAATTTACAGTAACACATTATATTTTTAACTACTTCAACTTGTATACTACAACATTAATCAAATATCAGTATATCTTTTTCTTTTCATGGTTAACTTGAAAACCACATAGAGTAATATATTTGGAAAATGTACTAGAATGAGACCACATTTTCAAGCATGATTTCTTATGGACATGCTGAGGTTGTATCATTCTGTACTTTTTGTGACCAGTTATTGTTCATTTGCATCGTTTATTTCTAAGATTTGATGCTACTACTTATAAAATGTGCAATACCTGGAACATTAAAAGCCAGATTTTCTCTATCTTCTCTAGATAGTCCTAAGAATGTAGAATTATCAAGGTGCATTGGATAGTTAGTTCCGTATTGTCCATATTTTGCACCAGGACCAAATTGAATGCCACTGCCTTCAGGGTAGACTTGAGAATTCAGCAAGACAATATTGTTTCTATCTGACCTAGCCTGACCATTCCCATCATTCCCCGCATTGTTTGTATTGGACCCTGTCCATCTGTAAGATAACCAAAACATTGATACTATAAAAGAAATAATTTTTTGTTGGTGTACCAAATATCTGCTATTTTCATGTAACATGTATTTACAAATTTTAAGCATTACAAAAAATGTTTTTCAAAGATACATATCATATTACTGTAAAACTATGAAAATAAATTCCATTGAATTTTCTGTGACAAGCAAGACCAAAAAAAAATTAGATGTCAAAAAAATTAAAAACGCATGAATTTTTTTTTATTACTTCTACTCATTGTTGTAATGTTGTCAAGGAGAGCATGCATGAATGTTGCAATTCACTGGGATATAAAACACTTCTTTAGAACATCACTTGATTGCTATCTTCTAATTAAAATTGATAGAATTCTATGAAACATCTATTTAATGAAAATATATAAATATAAAATAATAAAGCCAAGTATTAAAAAAAATCCAGTGGGCCATTTACTACTTTCATTATGATACTCACTGAATATGGACGTAGTCACCATTTGCAGCTTCTAAATTATTGGGTACAAAATCATACTCTACTGATGGGAAAACTTCTACAATGTTTCCTCTCTTTCCTCTAACATTTAGATTATGTATGGCTTTTCCACTGGTCTCGCTAGGCTGTGGACGCACAGCAAATATGAAAGATCTGAAAAAATTATTTAATATACATGTAATACTGTGAGCTAATTATTCACAAAATTTCAAGTTTTTGAAAGTGAAAAAAAATATGTTTATAAACTGTTAACACACAGATATGTCTTGCCTATTTGTTAATTTGATAATGCAAATGTTGAAATTAAAATAGCAATACTTTAACATGTAAGTTAATCAAATACTCAAAGTCAATGAACCATGACTCAAGATACAGGGCTAAACAATCTCCATGGAAATGAGATGTGCCAATGCTAATACAACTGCATACCAAATACCATTGGCTTTTCATAAGTTGTTCCCTTTCAAAAACAAACCTAAACACATACATTAACTTGTAAACTATGTAAAAGTTTCAAAGTCAATGAACCATTATGAGGGGGTGGGGTTATATAATCTCCACGGAAATGAAACTTGCAAATGCCAATACATTTGCATACCAAATATCATGGACTTAACATTAGGGGTTCATCTTTAACTGACCTAATCACAAACTAATACATGTAAACTAAGCAAAGGTTTCAAAGTCAATAGACCATGACTGAGGGGGCGGAGCCAAATAATCTCCATGGAAATGAAACTTGCAAATCCCAATACATTTGCATACCAAATATCATTGACTTAACATTAGTGGTTCATCTTAAACTGACCTAATCACAAACTAATACATGTAAACTAAGCAAAAGTTTCAAAGTCAATAGACCATGACTGAGGGGGTGGGGCCAAATAATCTCCATGGAAATGAGATATGCCAATGCTTATACAACTACATACCAAATATCATTGACCTACCACTAGTGGTTCCCCTTAAACTGACATAATCACAAACTAATACATGAAAACTAAGCAAAAGTTTCAAAGTCAATAGACCATGACTGAGGGGGCAGGGCCTGATAATCTCCATGGAAATGAGATATGCCAATGCTTATACAACTGCATACCAAATATCATTGACCTACCACTAGTGGTTTCCCATAAACTGACCTAATCAAAAACTAATACATGTAAACTAAGCAAAGTTTCAAAGTCAATAGACCATGACTGAGGGGACGGGGCCAAATAATCTCCATGGTAATGAGATGTGCTAATCCTTATACAACTGCATACCAAATATCATTAGTGGTTCACCACAAACTAGACCTAATCACAAACTAATACATTGTTGACACCGCCACCGCCGGAAACAGCATACCTATGTCTCGCTTTTTGACTCCGTCAAGGCGAGAAAAAGAATGAAAGCTACTAATTTGTCGACATCAAATTCCACTTTCTAATTTACAAATAATGTCATCAGCTCTGACAGCTTCAAACAATTGTTTTTTTTATAAATATAATGACAATTATTTCAGTTCTCAACTAAAGCTGAACTGTGGTTTATTTTTATCAATAGTACCGCTTAAGTCGACGCTAGGGGCTGTCTTGACCTTGTTTAGGGTATGAATGATTCGTTCATTGTTGAAGACCCTACATCAACAGTCAAGATGAAGAACAGGAATAAAAGCCCTGTTCATTGATAATTTTGTATGTTTTCTATGTATTGTGTGCGATTTTGTCCCTTGTACATTTACTCCATATCCCTTCATTTTCTACTGTAAAAATCAAAACAATACTGTTAATCTAGATCAGGCTGAAATCAATTCCCTGATTAATTTTAACTGTTTTTTTTTTTAAATAGTGTAAAAAGATTTAAGCATTACCTATCTTGAAATGTCCTTCCAAATTGTGCAGTATTAACAGCTAATTCCAATTCTAAACCTAGATCATTGAAAAGTTTGATTTCAGGATTGTCTTCAAATACAAAGCCTCTGTCTGATGCAGCATCTTCTTCACTAAATCCAAGGTTTTTATAAAATTTTTCATTGGCGGAGGCGATATTTGCTGCTGTAGTGTTCCAGCCATCATAATCACCAGTGGATATATTGTACCTACAGTGTATAATTAATAAGTTATATTTCTTAAAAGAACCATGTGGTTTTGGGATAGATAGTAAAGTAAGGTATCACATATACTAACACACAAGGTCTTTTCAAAAAAGACATTTGTTAAAATTTGGCTAGAACAAGTGAACAACCAAGCACAATTTTCCAGAGAATCTTGAAACCACAAAGATTATTCTACAGAAAATTGGTCTATTTCATAATAAATTTTATAAATTTAACATGCATTAAAAAAAATAAATGGGGAATGTGTCAATGGGACACAGATGATGCCCCTGCTTGCATATAATGTTATAGAGGGACAAAACTCAAGAACTGTAAAAGTGATGCTACCCAAAGTTGTACTTGATCTGAGTTTTGTGGACTAAGCATTGTGTATGCGTTTCATAACATTTAGTTGAGGCAAACTTAAGTTAGGAAACGGAAATGAAAAACCGTTTGTAAAGGGGCATAACTCTAGAACGGTAAAAGTGACACCACCAATTCGAACTTGATCTGTGTTTTGTGGTAATAAGCATAGTGTATAAGTTGAATAACATTTGGTTGAGGCAAACTAAAGTTAGAGAAGGGAAACCAATTTTGGGACGTACGTATAAATATGTTCATCTGTGAGTCTGCTCTGAATATAGATATATCGAGAATTTTATGACGCTGTAGTTCACAAAGCAAAAGCACCATTTTTTGCACATCGCCATACTCAGGCAATTCATTATTCTTGTATCATAGCTTTGAGACATTTGCAGAACTTATCAGCGAGGTCAACATGTTTGAGGAGAAGTTATCAGAAACATCACAATATGAGAGCAGAACTTATCTAGCATAGTTTCATAAGAACAACCAAGCACAAAACTGTCAATCGGGAGAGACCAAAAATAGGTCAATAAACAGATTATTGGGTTTTCTGCATATAAATATTGTTAAATAAGTTTGTGTATCTCAGTCTTTAGTTTTCTATGTTGTGATTTGTATACTGTTGTTTGTCTTTTGTTCATTTTCATTTTTTGCCAAAAGTTATCAGTTTGTCATTATATTGGTTTGAATATCCCTTTGATATCCTCCATTCCTCTTTTACTAGCCACTAGACACAATGTGTATACACATCATTATCTGAGATTGAAATTTTAACATATATCTCTCTTTACCCACCTCATTCTCATGATACATTGTTCATGGTTGAGGCTGTTTGGTATGGTCCAGTTGTAAACTAATGGTTGTCCACCAATACCGTTACCAAGGTGATTATCTCTTGAAAATTGTGTTTCTCTGCAATCAGGGGCTGGTATACCATGAGATGGTATTTCTGTCCATGAAGCCTTTGCACCATTAGCATCATTTTTAGGATAACGAAATGCCTGACAAAAAGTGTATACATTATTTTACAACTCATGTAAGAGTTCAAAACTCATATATATGTAGGTAAACCATAAAATTCAACATAGTGTATAATGTAGGTATTAGAACAAATCAATCCTAAGCCTTTAAAAAAATGTTTTGATTCTGCATAAAATATTTAATAAATGCTGTACTTATTTCTATGATTAATCGCTCTAACAACTTAAATCCCTTTTAACAGTACACATATTATACTTATAAGTATAGTGCCCTATCCAATTCATCTACAAATCTTATATTAATTTATTAGGCAATTTACGGTACCTAATATAAATGTTAACTAATTTAGAATCAAAACATTAGTTTACATATGTAATTTATCTATAAATACACACAAACAACAGGTAAGGCTATAAACCTACATGTTCATTTACAATTACACACTTACACATACTTAGAATGCAGTCAAATCATCTACTGCCTACAACTGTTCATTATCTAATAACAGCCCTATCAAAGTCTTCTCCAGATGTACACTATTACAAGTCTATCACCCTACCCAATCCATCTTCAACATTAATCTAAATGTTTAAGTCTTAGTACAAAAAGTGTACAGTAAACTAACCTCACAGTCTGCCTTGTTGTTTGGTATGTCAAATTTTCCAGTGTACTTTTCTGTTACGTTTTTTGGCACAACACACGTCCAGCGTGATTTTACATTCTGACTTTCTTCTTGATAGTATGGGCATCTTGTAACATCATTTGTCATAACAACAATATCCTAAAAAAACCATTAGTCATCATTTTTTTAGTACTAGCACATTTCATTAGCTCATTATGTAAGTACAAGCAAGAAAGATCAATATTTGACTTAATAATGATGACTGTTGTGTTTCAATAAATATACTATGATTTGCTAGTATGGGAATTGTATGTTTTCCAAAATAATAGATTTTTTGCTAAAACTAAAATCTAAAATAAATAACCTTTTTTAACCAAGCTTAATTATACAAAAAATGTTTATTAATTCTATAATAAAACAAAAATAACCTTCCATGGAGATGGCTCCCAGTATGGATAATAATCTCTTTCCTCAGGACACTCATACCCATATCGATTCCCAGTAGGGTTCTGTCTTGTATTTCTAGCATATTTACGATTTCCTCCTAAATTCTGAAAAGGAAGAACACAATTTGGTTAACAGCTGTCATTTTTACATATTGTATTTTAGACTGAAGACTCATTTACCCATTGATAAAGATAACACCTGAATGGTCAACTGAAAAATTCCAAATAACTAACATAGGTGAAAAGCATAATTTATATGCCACAAAACTACCACTAAAGTGAAATGCATGGTGATCACAGATATCTGTAGAATCTGTTGAGTAAGCTATTCCAAACAACAGAATGGAAAATCTTGCTACAGTCATTATATTAACTGGATGACAGCAACTTTCAAAGTTAAGAGCTCGATTGATAACTGTTCTATATATGATATAAATGTTTCTGGGTTTTTTTTTAAGGGACAACAATTTTTGTGGATTTCGTGAATATAGGTAAACCTCAAATTTAAATGTTTAACAAAGTAAAAATTTTCTAAAAACTTGTATGGCAAACCATGAAATCAAATATCCATGAAAAATAAATAAATATACAGTAATCAGCTGGTGATTCAAAATGAAACTAATCTGGATTAATGTAATTGAATAGAAAATGTTTCTTCTTCTCAGCCGATTTATACATTCATTGATTTTGCTTTTTTGTTGGTGGATATAATTTAGAATTTTGGAGAGGGAGAAGTGGTCAACTTCTTGAAGAAGTGAAATTCCAGTACCGTTTATTTTGAGTTGTGTTTTCGGGCTTATCTATGACCATTATGGAAATTGTTTATATATGCAATTAAAAATATACCTGCTGTGTTTTTATATGATACAGTACTACTGTTTATCTTGAAAACCCCGTAATAAAATAGTATTGACAATGTAGTTGTATTTATTTAGTTATATCATTTGTACTGTCAATTCGAATTTCAAGTTTAAACAAAAAGTGTTGCTAGTTTATTTCATGCATTAGTCTCATGTGCATCTACATCAATCTATTTTTTCAAAAAGTCCAGAAAAAATTACTCCCAATTTTATTATATGATTTGTTTTATTTTTTTTATCAAGAACCGTTTGAGAATATTGAGCAATTTAATCTATATCACCACTTTTCATAATTTTGTAAAACATTTATAATTGATTGTCCACAGGACATCATGTCAGTTGTGATTTGAGATTCTCATGAACGATTGTAGGCCTATAAATGAATTGAAGATATCTGTCAATCACATATTAATTAACCATTAAGTTGCAATCAAATTATCCATCAGATGTTTTTTACTATTCACATTTCATTGCTTATTCCAATGAATAGCAAAAAATCAGCTGTTAATTCCCATCCCTTAACCTACGGAATAGTAAAACTGGTTGGCTCATAACAAATAACAATTAAACAAATCAGCTGAGTGATTATGCAACATCCTCATGACCAAATCATCGTAAAATGATAACTCAAACAGTCGCTTGGTTTCCCATTTAAATTGTTTTGAATGTTAAATCCAAGGATGTTCAAAGTTGCTGTTGTATTTATTTCATTTATTCATTGACAGTATTGGTCTTGGTCATTTAAAAATCTTGATTTTCAGTTGTCAATCACCATTTTTGTTTACCCGTGTGACTTGTAAATCACGAGTTGTCTCCCTTAAAAGAATTTTGCTGTGGACTTGACTCTGCTATGAAGTCAGTCGGCCGCAGAGTTTTTGAGATTTTCAATTTTTTTTAGCGACTTAAATCATCATTTTGCCAGCAAGATTATGCACTGTGTTGCCATGAAAAAAGGTGACTATGCCTAATGACATCACAAAGAAGAACACATTTTTTTTTTGCCTACATGTTGTCTATAAATCATTAGAGAAACAGATTCAACCATATTATCCACTGCAATACAATATTTCTCTTCTCTCAACAGATAAATCTTAAATATTCAAAACACTCAGCAAGCCAGGCATTTAAATTTGAAAATTATAATTTTTCATATCACAATTGATGCACTAAATTTTTCTTTATGCATATCTTCTACAACTCTCTGCACACTTCTTGAGAATAATACTGGACTCTTACCTGGTCAGCAATAAAGAGACCTCTATTTCTCAACCTGTATCTACAGTTCTGGTAATACTCAAAGTTTTCATTCATTCCATATTCAAAATCTGTGTTGCAATCAAAGTTTCTACATTGAGAATTTTCTAATCTTATTGTACTGAAAAATAAAATTTAACTTTAAATCTGCATTCACTGCTGTAGCAAATAAAACAAACATTCTGTGAGTATTGCCTGGCAATAAATGGTCCCCTACCTGTTAAAAAATCATTGTACTGGAACAAAATGCTAACTTGATCTTAACTTGTCATGGTGTGAACTATATAACAAATATCAAGTCAATATCTTCAAGCATGACGAAAAAATTGTGGAAAATTGATTATTTGAGGGAATTTTCTAAGTCCAAGGACTATAACTCTGCACAAAATCATCAGACTGGAACAAAATTCGAACTTGATCTGTAACTTCTCATAATAAAACTATAAACCAATTATTAAATCAATATCTTCAGCATGACCAAAAAAGTGCGGAAAACTGATTATTTGAGTGAATTTTCTATGTTCGAGGACCATTACTCTGCACAAAATCGTCAGACCATAACCAAATTTGAACTTGATCTGTAACTTGTCATGATTAAACAATACACCAAATATCAAATCAATATCTTCAAGTAAGAAGAAAAAAAGTTTGGAAAACTGATTTGCCAGACTGACGGATGGACAGACAGACGGAAAATATTGTTTAGATATTTTTTAACCTACCAAAAGTTGAGAACATAAGGGGTCATAAAAGAATTACTTGTATAAATGAATTTTTGGATAAGATTAAGGGCAGATTATACAAACCTTGAAAATAAAATTCAAATACTAATTTATTTATGTATATATAGATATATATAAAAGACCAAAAAAGTCTATTTTAACAAAACGCATTTGACTAACAGGTCGAACAACTGATGTTCTTAAACCCTGCTGACTGCCATTGGCGATTGCCAAATATATTGATCACAAGATCTAACAAAATGGATCTTAATATTAATTTAATACCAAACAGAAAACAATAAACTTGTGGAAAAGATGGTATACCACAAACATGAGGTGCAAAAATTTGTACACCATATCCGGATTTCGACAATTTATGTCTCTTCAGTGATGTTAGGGATCGAAACAGTATTTGGAAGGCCATATAATTTACCTCATTTTAGGAAAGACTCTTGAATTTTAAAGAGTCGAAATAGGATGAACGGATCATATAAACCCGAAGGAAAATATAATACAAGCCCAAACGAAAAAATATATATAAGTCTAAATTGAAAACAACGTTCAAACCTATGATTGCGTTGGATAAAAACCGCAATTTTTATACGTGTGCATGTAAAACAAATTTCTTGGTAGAGGGGTCTAAATACAGCACAAACAACAATTTCCAAAAGACCAAAAAAGCTTTTTATTTCCAAAACAAATTTAAACAATGATAGCAGATTTTCATGATTTAATGAATTTCAACTTGGCTAAAAAAGTAATACCAATATCACTTAAGCATGAAAATGTAAAATGTACTATAGGGTATTGTTCTGTGTCACCGTAGGTTTCTGAAAAATGGACCTTCTGGGAAAAATCTTTAAAAAATGTGTGTACAAACCTGAACTAAACTGGAATGTATTCAAAAAGCATGGACAAGGATTAATCTATATGCCTTAGCCAAAAATGTAAAAGGTCATAAAAAAAATGCTTTAGGTATATTTACATTTGTACCTTTAACTTTATTGAAAATCTTTAAAACAAATGGGAGTTTTTTTCCACATAATCAAATAATATTGTATAAACTTTTCTTGATATCTGAATAGAACATTCTGTAGTTTTTGAACAATGTGTGGACAACAGGCAACACTATACCAAAATATATCGGTTTTAAAACTGTCTCTCTGATTCCTTATAATGTCCCTGGGCAGAGTTACTTCTAAAGACAGATGACATTTTAAGCTTCAAAATTTCAAATTGACTTTATTTTCAAACTGGACACTATATAAAAAATCTGAGATAATTCTTTTAGCATTTGTATAACCCTCCATAAGAAAGACATTCATTTAGTGTCCCTGAATATGATCTAATAAATAAAAAGGAAAGGCATCCATTGTCACATTAAAATATTTTTGGAACAAATTGTTTTCCCTGATAGTTGAACACAAGAGTGCACATGCTGAAATGTCTCGTCTGTTTTACTTATCGTTGAATTTATGTTGAAAGTCTGTAATATGAAGGTTTTACCACAATTATCACATAAACTAAACATTGACCAATGAGGCATGAAAATGAAGTCAAGGTCATATGAACCCTGCCAAACAGACATGAACACCTAACAATTATTCCATACACTGAATATAATTGACCTATTGCTTATAATGTCTGTGAAATAGACCAAACCACAAAAACTAAAAATAGTCCAATGAACCATGAAAATGAGATCGAGGTCAGATGAAACCTGGCAGACAGACATGTACACCTGACAGTCATTCCATACATCAAATATAGTTGCCTTATTGCTTATAGTATCTGAGAAATAGACCAAACCACAAAAACTAAACAGTGATCAATGAACCATGAAACTGAGGTCAAGGTCAGATGAAATCTGTCAGACGGACATGTACATGTTCCCCTAACAATCATTCCATACACCAAATATAGTTGACCTATTGCTTATAGTATCTGAAAAATAGACCAAACCACAAAAACTAAACATTGCTCAATGAACCATGAAATTAAGGTGAAGGTCAGATGAAATCTGTCAGTTGGACATGTATCCCTTACAATCACTCCATACACCAAATACAGTTGACCTATTTCTTACAGTATCTGAGATACGGACTTGACCAAGTAACTTTAACCTTGGTCACTGATCCATGGAATAAGTTCGAGGTCAGGTTGACCCTACCTGACACGACATGTAGACGTTGCAAGGAACCCATATACTAAATATAGTTATCCTATTACTCATAATAAGTGAGTATTTCACTTAACAAAAAAAAAATATAATGTTTTTTCAAGCAGTCACTGAACCATGAAATGAGGTCAAGGTCAATGGACATATGACAAACGTAAACTTCGTAACATAAGGTATCTACATAAGCATTCAGGTCTTCTACCTTCTGAAATCTAAAGCTTTAAACAAATAGTTTAGGCTGTCGTCGCCTCTGCCGGATTGTAATACCTGTCTCACATAATGCAACCTTTGTCGCAGGCAAGACAAAAATCATGTCTGGTTTATATAGCCTTCGTTTGATGCATTACTTACCTGTAAAGCTGGACAATCAAAGGTATATAGTTGATGTACATGAGACAACAATATAAATCAAAGTTACAGCTATATATTCTATTGATTATCTTCATCTTCAAGTTTACTTTAAAATACAATTATATCCTTCTATATGTACAATACCGTATCTGTCTTGCAAGCACATTTAACAACCAAATAATGCAATATATGGACCAAATATAAGAGTCCAGACAGAAATTTCTGGTCATAATGTGTAATGTCTAAAATATAACTAACGTTCTGGATGCTCCATCTCTAACTAAGTCACCACACATATACTGTATTACTAATTCACAATGACTATTTGGGTTCATACAGGAATGCTGATTTGTCCTGAAATAGAGTTTACAATCAGTCATTGCTAATCACTAACAAATTCACTTGTGTATGGATTTCAGAATTTTCCAAAAATTTATGGCAAATTTAAATACACATTCATAAGCAAGGTTTCTGACTTTTTCACAGGATTCCTTGTTTTTTTATATGACAAGTGCAGAAATTGTGAAGGAAATCATGTTAGAGTAAATTTCATCATAAAAGTCTTCTGAAAAAAAAATCTTTAAATTTAAATCACTACATATATTTTAACTTTTCAATCAGTTTTAGAAAACTAGGTAGAAGAAGCAGGATGCTAATTTCAACATTTGAAAAAAAAGAAAATGCTTTGAATTATTACTATTAGCGATGATAATGTAACTTTTTCTACATATGAACAAGTAAGGTTCAATGAACAAAAGATTGAATGAAATTCTATTTCAAAATATAAATAATATGCTATATTTAAAAATAATATGAATCTGACCATTCTATGGGTAATGTAGATCCAGCATAATAAAGTAGTCCTCCTACATTATATCCTCCTCTGTTGTTGTTTTGTGAGTCAAACATTCTGTAATATAAAATAATCAAACATTTTTGTTTGTATATAAATATACAGGTGCCAAATATATCTTCTCTTATTTCAGTTATTTGATTAATTATAAAATAATTGCAAGTTCATGAGTACTGGCTAGAGCAATGAAGTGAATCAGCTGTATGAACATTGTACGTATTATTCAAAAACTTAATACAAGTTTGTGAAAATTAAAGCCTGACATAGCCTGTTACAAGCCTGTACTCACAACTTTTTTCTACTGAATCAGACATGCTTGTTTCATTTGAAAGCTGACATAAATGGGGATCACTCCAAACCAAGATAGATACATTTTTGTAATATAAATATCTTGTCTGGAAACTATAATTTTATTGTCCTCATCTGCATGTTTAATTTATCATATTAAAAGTCAAGTTCAACAATGTCACAACTCTGCTAAAAAAATTACATAATTTGTCAACTTGGTACAAAAACTCCTTTCAATATTCAATATCTGACATAACTTACCTGTTTTGATTTTGAACTTCTCTGTTCTCCTCATCTAATCTGTTGTTACCTCCCCTGAAACATATAAAAACATTTTCTCATAAGTTCATTTAACAATTTGTTATACCCTTGTATGAACCCAAAACAACATGTGAAGATACATGTATCAGGTTGTGACCTATAAAACAACATGTGAAGATACATGTATCAGGTTGTGACCTATACAGCAGTTTGTTTACATCTATGCCATTTAAACTTGTGTGTATAGTTAGTTGTCCTGACAGTAATCATACATTCTGTACCACATCTTTTTATTTTTATAATGAAGCATTCAAGGAGCTGATAATAAAAGGAAATAAAATGCTTCACTGAGCGGCAGTGAGCGCAGCCTGATACGACCGCAGAGGTCGAACCCTGAACAGTTGGGGCAAATTTGGACACAATAGTGAGCTTTTCTCATCACTTGGCGTCCGTCTCCGTCCGTTAACTTTTACAAAAATCTTCTCCTCTGAAACTACTGGGCCAAATATAACCAAACTTATCCACAATCATCATTGGGGTTTAAAAAATGTGTCTGATGACCTGACCCCCCAACCAAGATGGCCGCCATGGCTAAAAAAAAGAACATAGGGGTAAAATATAGATTTTGGCTTATATCTCTGAAACCAAAGCATTTAGAGCAAATCTGACAAGGGGGAAAATTGTTCATCAGGTCAAGATCTATCTGCCCTGATATTTTCAGACAAATCAGACAACCCGTTGTAGGGTTGCTGCCCCTGAATTGGTAATTTTTTGTAAATTTTGCAGTATTTGGTAATTATCTTGAATATTATTATAGATAGAGATAAACTGTAAGCAGCAATAATGTTCAGCAAAGTAAGATCTACAAATAAGTCAAACATGACCAAAATGGTCAATTGACCACTTAAGGAGTTATTACCCTTTATAGTCAATTTTTAACAATTTTTCGTAAATTTTTGTAATCTTTTACAAAAATCTTCTCCTCTGAAACTACATAGACAAATTCAACCAAACTTGGCCACAATCATCATTAGAGTATCTAGTTTAAAAAATGTGTCAGATGACCCCGCCTGCCAACCAACATGGCTAAAAATAGAACATAGGGGTAATATGCAGTTTTTGACTTGTATCTCTGAAACTAAAGCAAAAGTATAATGATTGCATTATTTCATGCATCGATTGTTAACAAAAAAAAAAGGTGAGCGGCACAGGCTCCTTGGAACCTCTAGTTTACTCTACATTTTTCCCACCAGTCTGTGAGCCATCAACAAAAATAATTTATAAAACATTAACTTCCGTGCCCAATAGTTAAAACTTAAAATATTTATCGGTACAATAAATGTGAAATAGAAGAAAAACTTGTGTCTAATTTTGGGACTTTTTACTTAATTCTTTTTCTGTTAGAATTTCTTTTAATATTTTTCTGTTAGAATTTCTTTTAATTTGGCCTATTTTTTTATACCAATTAGTCATATCAATGATACACAGTCACTCCCCATTAAATATTCTGTATAATAATTGTGTTTTATAGATGTCACAAATAAAGAGTTCATAATCATAATAATTGTGGTTTTTATGTACATTTGTACTACATTTATCTTACTATTAGTAAATCATCATATTAAAGGTAAATTTTAATATCAATCACAACTAGATGTAAAATGTCAAAATATATACAGAAATTGTTTTTGTTTTTATAGTTACATGTAGGTAGGAGATTTGGGTAATTTAAAGTCATTGAAACATCAAGCAAGCAACACAATTAACAATAACACAGGTACATTAAGAAAACAACATAGTTTCAACAATACACAGATTTCCTTACAATATGTCACACTATAAATTGTCAAGAGCTTACAAAATTGTGAATAAACTGATTGATCAGAAACAATCAAAGATCTGCCATCAACACCAAATATTCAAAATAACAAAAAAACATTAAGAAATGACACAAGACAACAACTGATGAGGTTCCTAACTCGTGAAAGACACAAGAATATTTAGCAGGGTTCAACTATTTTTCTTTAGTTCTAAAGCTTCTCCTTTTTAAAATCTCTATCTACCTACTAACAAAACGAACAAAAAGAGAACATGCATGTAAAAGATAAATTGGTACAGGAAACAATCTTTACTCTTAAATAAAGGTACATTTATGTGTCAGTAAATGTTACAATGTTTCTTCAGAATCAACAATTAAAGCTGGTGGTCGTAATTTCATTAGATTAGAATAGAATTAAAAATTTTGAGATAGAATCTCCAACATTTTCCAAAACTGAATAGAACAAGGTACATGTACATGTATTATCACCACAAAAGGGGCACAAACTGCCAATGATAAAACAAATTGGAATAGGTGCACTTTAGCACATTAAAAGAATTGGACAGTAGTACTTTATGCCAGAAGTTTGTAGTTTCTGTCTGTTACTCAAGAAAATTGAAAAAATAATTAACTTGAGCCCAGAGGGAACAAATGGCAAGAAAGGTTTTTGCTATTTTATTTTTCTAGCAGACAAAATCTGACACAATTGCATTATGTTTCCTTGGTTCCATCCAGCTTTATACTACACATACATGTAGTTTTCATACATGTACAGCAATTAACTAATGGGTGATGTTTTTTAATTTCCACTTTTCACTCAATTTTAGTCAATTTTATCACAAATTTTTACAAAACTCTTAGTCTTAACCATGTTTAGAAATGGGATTTGTGGTCTAGTATAACGAAAAAAAATGTTATTTCTTTAATATTTCTATTTTTTGGCAAGGAAATAAACTATTATGGTCAGAAAAAAATTACCAGCAAAACACAAATTCAACTAACATTAAACATGATTAAACAGTAATATTATGAATAAGGGGTTTCATACATCTATCATCAAGGTTAAACAGATTATACAAAAAGAAACGACTAATACTTTCTTTTTTTAATTACTGATTTGATTCTATTACACACTTCACACTTGTAATACATTACTCGTTTTACTTAATGCAATACCTGCTTTACATTATCTTTGGGAATATTTGAATTCAGATCAGGGGAGGGTTCAGGTGAGGGCGTAATGGGCGTACACCCCCCCCCCCCCCCCCCCCTTTTAAAAAAAAAAAAAAAAAAAAAAAACTATCGTAATCTGCTAATATTGTATTGAATATGGCAATTTATAAATATTTTATGTTTTTTAGCCAAAAAAACGACGAGTGCAATTTAAGACTTATTTTTGCAGGGTTGTTTTTTGATTTATGTCTCAAATACATTTTTTTTTTAAATGATTGAATCACAGGAATGGATAAAGTCATGAAAGTGTTGTACTTAGTAATACATGTTAAAGCCTGGGTGGCTAAATGGTGTGAATGTTCTAGTAGTAATATCAACTACATGGCATTGAATAGTCTTCGTTTCAACAATCATATGTCTCTGTTTTCAATAACTGTGATTTTAATTTCTATACCAAAACCAAGGATTTGTATAGTGAGACTCACTATACAAATCCTTGCCAAAACCAACTAGAGTCTTGGAAATTTGGTATTTAAGATATTTATTTACATAGTAATAAGAAGATGTGGTATGAGTGACAATTAGACAACTCTCCATCCAAGTCAAAATTTATAAAAGTAAACCAATATAGGTCAAAGTACGGTCTTCAACACGGAGCCTTGGCCTACACCGAACAGCAAGCTATAAAGGCTATATATGCCTGCATTATTGCAAACAATGGAAAAACAAAAATCCAATACAACTTTTATTTTCGAAAAAAAATTGTTGTAAATGCAACAATTTACATTCTAGAATAGGTGATATACATTATTATTTATCAATCAATAAATAGCTACAATGCAGGTGATTATTTGGACCTAGTACCATTCCATAGAACAATAGAAGGTCAAACTGATTCTCAAATACTTGAAACAGAAAAACCTTAAGCATCTTACCGTGGATTATGTAAATAAATGTCTGCAGTTGTAAGTTGTAAATGTGCAAGTACAAATATACCAAGATTAAAACGAAGGTATCTATCCATTTTCATTTTTCACTGTTCTCAAATCATTCAGAGTATCTATTAAATTTGTAAGACATGTCAGACGTATAAAGTAATCCCATTGTTGTCAACATTCCAAATATGGACAATAATAGTTAATCTCGTGATCATGATGTATCAATGTCGTTTAATTGGGATTAAATTGCACACAACTTCCCTCTCCGCGCACCTGTCCAACTCTCCGCTATATGAAATAGTGCGATGAAAATTTTGACATATTCAGTAAAAAAATATATTTATATTTGGTATGTTTATTTTAACAGAAATTGTTAGTAAGACATTATTTAGAAAAGTAAAAATCAGAATCGGTTGTATAGTTATGTCTATTTTTTTGTTATTATTCTACTTCCACTTTCATGCGCATTAATTCACTAACCATATTAAGATGAGGTCATGAAGAAGTGAAATAAAAAGATAATTGATTAAACAGACAGAATCACTAGACAGAACCATTGATTTATTATAAAATTTACAAAAAGGAAAGCATATACTAAAAAACAACATTGCAATATCATAGGAGAGTACACCAAGCGGTGTAAACAATCAGGTAAGCTATCTTGTCTATAAAAGTGACAAAAGTGAAAGTAGGATATAATTTAGGCCAAGTAATTTTTTTAGTAATACTTTTTGTTAATAACTGTTTCATCGACAGGAAAACGATTCAAACGCATCTGTTATATAATCGAAGAAGAAAAGAATATGTCTCTGATCAAGGGATGAAGCAATTCCAAACTATCTTCGACGATTGATGGATTTTAAACAAGGAACATATATATTGCCCAGTTTGAACCAACTAATTTGACCATTATGGTTTATTAACCTTTTTGCATAGGGACTTGGGGACAGAATAGTTTTTTTCAGCCCTTCCACTTTTTTCCCCAAATCCTTTATTTTTTTTTTGTTTTATTAATTCCAATTATTTTCACTTTTTTGTGTATTATATATATATATAAACATGAATATACTAGAAATAACTTGTATAACATATTTCAGTGAGCAGAGACTATATACATGTGTATATATGTCTCTGATATCCATAAACCGCTGTGGATATGTAATCTTGGAATTGATGGTAAATAGCAAATATGAGTTATTTCTGGTATATCTTTGTTTATATAATACAGAAAAACATGGAAATAATTGAACAGAAGTTAAATCATTTCTTTTTTGTTTGTTTTCTTAGTTTAAGTTCCTGATTTGCAAAATTTTAACCAGCTGGGAATGTGCTCTGAGAATAAATTTTTTTTTTATGTTTGTGGTTTTCCATAACTGAAGAAGAAGAAAATTTGGAGGTACTCACATGTACCTTTTTCTCACTAAAATTTCTTATTTAAAAAAAAATCTTGTATTTCAAAAGCAGACATGCACATAACATCTTTATTTTGTCATTATTTTAATGTATTATATCATTATCTATTAAAAAAGATTATTATTTATGAAAAGGATGTTACTAATGGGGAATGATTTCCTACAAACAAATTATGTAAATACATTATTTCATTTTTCCAAAACTCTCTGAATAACTGATAAAATTTGACAATATAAAATTTCATTGTTGAACAGCGTTCCCAATCCCCCCCAAATCAAGACATCAATTTATGTATTTGGATATTTATATGCTCTTGCAAATAAAACGTATTTACAGCATGATGAATGATGAACTGCAGAGAGCAATACATAACATGAATAATAAGAAAATAAGCAATATTAAGTAACAATATGTACTCTGATTGACATAACAAATTTTATGTATATGTAATTCCACAATTCCATTAACAATAAAGTTTGATATAACTACTAATTACTGATGTAAAAAGTATGATAAAGATATGGGTATTTCAAGCAACCCCTCGAGAGTGATAACATTTATATTGAGTTTAAAAGCCGAGACACTCAGAATTTTTTTTAGAATTAACATGGCTGAAGTCAGGTCTGTGAACATAATTTTTGTCTTGCCTTAACAAAGACATCTATATATATAAACTTAAGTTTGTTGTTTGTGACTTCGTCATCAGCGGCTTCATAAACAGTTTGTGATTAGGTCAGTTTATGGGGAATTGAAGCAATAAGTTAAAGGTAATTTTTAGGAAATTTGTACATCTCTTGTTTCCATGGAGATTTTTGGGCTAGTAACCAGGATTATGGTCCATTGACTTTGAAACTTATGATAATGTTGCACAGGCTAGACATATATATGTATCAACAGTTTATGAATTTGACTGTACAACAATCAAGGAAGGCATGTCTTTGTCTAAATAAATACATGAAATATGTGTCAGAGTAAGTCAACAGCTCTTTGGTCAGTTGTCCTTTTGACATATTCCCCATTTCCATTCTCAATTTTAGTTTATTAATTTTATGAAAAGTATGAAGATACAATAATCCAAAAAGGATGAAACTGAATTTCCAAACTTATGTTTCCAATAAAAAAACTATTGCTAATGGTAATTTCTTACTTGGTGTGTGATTACTAAGTTTTTGCATATGCTTTAATGTACTTAATACAATTTGGTTAAAAAGTGGACGTCTTTTTATCACTGTAGGTAAAATGATGATTCAGCTTATGGTCATAAGTGTCTTGCTATTTGGACAGTGTTTTGCAGACATTTATCTACATATTCCTAGAGGGTCAAATAACAGATTGAATGAAAAAACTGGTAATAGGAAAAATGCAAACAGGGTGTTTGATTCACAGGTAATCTATTACACAATTAGTATTTCTTTATTGTAATAGGCTCTGGGTTTAGGTCCTTTTATTTTGAAAATGACCTGCATTCAATTTTAGTGAATATATCCAAGAAGATTAACTATCACATGAAAATGAAAAGACTATTATTTACCATTTATTACCTTTATAAATGAAAAAGGATATATTTTTGACTGCATAAAAGGTCTCCTAGATGTTGGCCTATATTAGGATGAGATTGACATCTGAACTTAGAAGACAAGTTAATGTTTGTTTAGTAGTGGAGAAGATGAGATTGGAGCTTTATCCACCAACCTTTGTACAGTAACTATAAAAATAACAAGCTCTACCCAGATGTGGTGTAAAGCAAACACTTATAAATCAATCAATTTATCACATACAATGTACTTCTAGATTTAGGAGGCCTTCCCCTGTTTCAAATTGACAGAGAAAAACTCAAACCCATATTGCAGTGCTCTATACTCGTTAGGTATAAATGTAGATAATACCATACTACCTATACCTAATGTCCACTTGGACCCTGGACGAGACTCAAAGCTTTTAATTTTTGTGTTTATAGGGTAACCATCTTCACCTAATAAAATTAATGAGACAACATTAAATGTTTATACTGGTCATATATATGTAAATATATTTCTTTCTTTGTAATTTTAGAACAATGACAAAGGAGGTTATAATGTTGGAGACAAGGGAGAAAATCCATCTAACAATGAAGGAGAACAGTACAGGATGGTAAATATTGTACAAATAATATATATAAAGTAACTCCTAGATGAAGAAATAAAAATTAAATTTAGTTTTCATGTGATACATGTATATACATGTACTTATTTCTCAAGGTTACACGAGATTGTTCTCTCCTTTTGTTAGAATCTTGTAAGTTAATGAGTTTTTGGACTGCTTCTGGAGAATAAGGATATATTGGGTAGGGTAAACAAATTTTGCCTTACAATAGGTATTGACAAATCTAAAAAGTTGTTTTGAAAAGAGCTGTTGCTCTTGTATTCTAAATATTTTTCCTTGGATTTTAATATTTACATTACCAATAAGACTGGACAATTGATCACTATATCAAAGTATCCTATTCTATCTTCCTCATGCATAGCTTTCTTGAGCTAGGTTTTGCTCTACAATTTGCTCATCTTTGATTGCTTTAGCTATTTGACCTTTGTTTTAGTTTCAAGTTTCCCGATATTTTGGCTCTGGGCATCACTGTAGAAAGTCATTAATTTCTATAAATGTATATGCATTATTATAGTTCCGTATAATATTTTGGTTCTATACACTTATTTTTTTTCAGATCACCTTTTATATATACCAGTAAAGATCACTCAAATTTGAATACATAATAGTATCATAGGACATAAAAAAATGAAAATATTGTTAAAACTTTGAAGAATAGACACATGTACCTGAAGAAAACTTATTACAAATGGTATATCTCATCCTATTTAATTTTTATGGTGATGTTGTTTATAAAGCCTATAAATTAAAATATGATCCATGTATGGCTGTTTATGATAAAATAGAGAATGGAAATGGGGAATGTGTCAAAGAGACAACAACCCGACCAAAGAGTAAAAAACAGACGAAGGCCACCAATGGGTCTTCAACACAGCGAGAAAATCCCACACCCGGAGGCGGACTTCAGCTGGCACCTAAACAAAAATGTGTACTAGTTCAGTGAAAATGGATGTCATACTAAACTCCTAAACATATAAATGAACCAAAATCAAAAAAACATACAAGACTAACAAGACTAACAAAAACCAGAGGCTCCTGACTTGGGACAGGCACAAATGCGGCGGGGTTAAACATGTTTAGTGAGATCTCAACCCTCCCCCTATACCTCTAGCCAATGTAGATTAAACAAACACACAGCAATATGCACAGTAAAACTCAGTTTAAAAGAAGTCCAAGTCCGATGTCAGAAAAGGTAACAAAAGAAACTAAGCAAAATGACAAAGATACATAAATTAACAAAGGACTACTAGCAGTTACTGACATGCCAGCTCCAGACCTCAATCAAACTGATTGAAAGATTATGTCTTCATCATATGAAAATCAAGCACAATCCCTCCCGTAAGGGGTTTAGTATCATACCATCATAAAATATATGAGAAGAACATAACCCGTATCATGCCAACAACTGGTTTTAGAATAAATGTGTTTATTTCCGATGCAAAGACCCTATGAGTGAATCAATATTGATACCAAAATATGCCATCTTTAATGATCTGACAACAGTATCGTAACTATATCCCTTCTGAATAAGTCTGTTTAAAGGTTTGGTTAGCTTTTGAGGTGAATGCCGACATTTTTGTGCTTTGTAAAGAATGTTACCATAAAAGATTGGATGTGAAATACCTGAACGAATAAGATGTCTGCATGTTGATTTATATTTAATGAATGATGTCCTTGTACTGATGATAAAATTTGGTAAATGTCTTTTCTAAATACATTGGATGTGTACTGATTTATATTTTAGTCTTAGAATTAGCTTTCATTGGCTTTGAACTAGCTTTCAGTAACTGCAAGTATTCTCAGATCTGTACTCTGTGTTTTAAATCCTTTTGTTAGTATTTTTTTGTGTTTTGTTTCGATCTGATGAGTCAAGTCTTTTTCAACTGATTTTTATAGTTTGTTTTTATGTTGGGCTGTTACACCACTGTCTCAGGTCAGGCATGTCAGGGGAGGGTTGGGTCCCCGAAAACATATTTAACACCAGCAATGTGCCTTTCCAAAATCAGGAGTCTGTAATTCAGTGGTTGTTATTTGTCATGTACATCATCTTTGTTTTTCGTTTATTTTTTTAAAAAAATAAATCAGGTCATTGGGTTTCTCGTTTGAATTATTTTACATTTGTGAGGGGGAGTAGGAGGGGTCCTGATCCCGAAATCCTGGGCTTAAAAACATGGAATCCCGAGGTCCCGAATTTAAAAAAATTTAAATCCCGACATCCCGAAATTCGAAAAAGAATTCCCAGATCCCGAAAGGATCAATCCCGAAATCCTGAGCTTAAAAACACCCAATCCCGGAGTCCCGATAAAGGTCCTACCCCCCTCATTTTTCATTTTGGGGCATTTTCTAGCTTGCAATTCAGTATGGGTTTTGCTTATTGTTGAAGGCTGCACGGTAACCTATAGGTTGCACTTCTGTAAATATAGACAATGCAATTTCCCATAGGAACTCCTTTTACGGCAAAACTGTGCCACTTTTACTATGAAGTTTCGTAAAAAATTATATCCTAGAATGGAAAGTTCATATGCACTACTATTTATTCAAAGGTCAAAATATAGGGCTGTGCGGCATATTTTCAACATTCTAAGAATTTAAAATTATACTAAAATTCTGTACTACCCCTCCTTCACTTTGGGTCTTCCTCAGAATTCAATTTAGCCGCTATCAATGTGTATTTATACTGGTAACATAATTTTAAAATTCCTCCCATATTCCTTCCAAGAAATGAGAAATTGTGCAAAAGCATTACGATTCTGACATCTGGGATGGTCTATTTGTTTGCAAAGTACAACCCTTTTCATGACCAGTATTGACCTTTTGTGGATCTAAATTATGAAGTGTTATTGAATATTGAGTTTTGTTACAGAAGATCTTTTGAAATTTAGCTTGAGCCATTTTTTAAATATTTTTTAACTCTTGGTTTAGGATAAATGAAATTAAGCTCCTTTTCAATTGTAATATTGTTCACTTCTATGGGACTGACGATTAAAGAAATAAAATTAAAAAAATATTAGAAACCAATTTTTCTTAAGAGTGGGTGGTGTCATAGTTTTTTTGTTAGACATTTTGGCAATGAAACTTGACGACAGTTTACACAAACAATATTTAAATTCACCAATTTGAAATTCTTACTAGGGGGGGCCTTGTTGACAGGTAATTTTTCTTTAAGTATTGAATGGAGATAATTATTCAGTATTACACTATTTTTTACATCATTTTCACATATAATTATTGTATTGACTTCATGCCTTTAATCATTTGTTACATGACAATGCATGTATTTAAATCTTTTAAGCCTATTTTTTTTATGTTTTTGTAACTTTCTCACACATCATAGTTGTTTATTTCATTTGCTAAATGTCAGTACTGACAGCAAAACATGTATCAAAACTTATTTGATGATTAATTATCTCTGTAAAGGATGTTTTCTAAATAGGATTATTTTATAAAAGCTATTATAGTTTCAGGACTTCCTTACAAACAATAATCACAGGATACTTAACCGATCAATGTTTCAAACCTTTGTATTATAAGTGTTTATCTTTGTAAATCAGATTTCAAAGTCAATTTTGTGACGTATTTTGGGGGCAAAATTCTTACTCAGATTGCATATTTTTCCAAAGTTTTAAATAAGACAGTATATCTAAATTTATAAATGTTCTTCTAATATTAGTTACACAGTGTGCAATTGTCCTTATACAGGAATTTTATTGACCTGATAAATTCCGTATTAGGACAATTGCACACTGTGTAACGAATTTATCCTGATTTTGTTATCAAACCACTTATGTATTTGTTTTTATATGCCCGTTTACGGGGCATATTATGGTATACCGTTGACCGTCTCTCCGTCCGTCTGTCCGTTCGTCCGTCGTCAACATGTCGGACATTAATTCAAAAACGCTTTAACCAATAAGCATGAAACTTTGGTGAATTGTTTATATCTATTGACGTGAGCTCCCTTTCGTTTTTTATACATTTCAGATTTATCATTTCCGAGTTTTGGGGTTTTATTCATTAAAAAAGGGGGGATTTTCCAGTTTTCGGACAATAACTCAAAAAAAATTTCACCAATTTGCATGAAACTTTTGTGAACTGTTCATATTTATTGACGTGAGCTCCCTTTTGTTTTTTTATAAATTTCGGATTTACCGTTTCCAAGTTTTGGGGTTTTATTCATTAAAAAAGGGGGGATTTTCCAGTTTTCAGACAATAACTCAAAAACAATTTTACCAATTTGCAAGAAACTTTGGTGAATTGTTTATTTCTATGGACATGAGCTCCCTTTTGATTTTTATAAATTTCAGACGATACCTTTCCGATTTATGGGGTTTTATTAATTACAAAAAGGGGGATTTTCCAGTTTTCGGACAATAACTCAAAAATGCTTTCAGCTTTTTTTTATGAAACTTTGGTAAATTGTTTATATCTATTTTTGTAAGCTCCCTTTTGATTTTTATATATTTTCAATTTTACGTTTCTGAGTTATAAGATTTTATTTTATAGTCTGACAACAGATTTACAAAGTATTGCGCAACAGCACAGTGTATTGCACAACAGCAAGAAATCTTTCATATAACCAATTTCAAGTTCTTTGACTGCATTTATTCAGAACCCTATAATATATCAAATATTTAATTACAATCCAAATTCAGACCTGTATCAAGCTTGAATATTGTGTTTATTTTTGCCCCAACTGTTCAGGGTTGGACCTCTGCGGGCGTATCCAGCTGCGCTCAGCGAAGCAGTTTATTTAAATAGTATTAAAATAGTATTTTAAAATATTAATTATTAGGACAATATCAACAAAATATATTTAGATATTTAATGTAAAACTGTGAAAAAATGAAAAATGCAAGGATTTGTATAGTGTATCACTATATAAATCCTTGAAAATGTTAGCACTTTTTTTTATTTAGTCAATGGTATAAGGGAGATAATTTGAATTGACTTAATAAAAAATTGCACTGAAAATTATATTAGGACAATATCAGCCAATCAAATTGCGAGAAATTACTCTAAATCAGGATAAATAAAAATATCATACTCTGGTTACCAGTTTAGATAGTGGTAAATGAATTTTAGTTGAAAATCTACCTTATTTACATAAAATGTGAAATCTACTAGCTGTAATGTACAGAGAATATTAAATACAGTTCGTATTCCTTGTATGGAAGAAAGATTTATAAAAGAATTAAATGATTCAAGCATATAGGATTGTATATCTGATCACTTTAATAATATGAGTTGATATCCTGGTATCTATGATGAATTTATTGATATGATGTCATATCTAGTTATTATAATGATAATGATGAACTCTGGGTTACCAAAAGTTAAGTACTTTTATAAGTGTATTAACAACAATCGGAAGTTTACCACATTTGGTTACTTCATACAAATCAGGAAGCAAAGTGATAAAATTTCATAAGTTAAAACCAAATTTGACATCTTTTTGATTTAGAAATCTGATTTATTGCTGCTAGAAAAAATATCTGTACAGTATCTCTATTTGTGAATCTAAAGTTCAAAATGATAAAAAATAAAAATTTGGACGTTACTTTATCTAACGTTTTGTTCTGCATAAAAAATATACCAGGGTCAAACTTAAACACAAAAATAAATAAGTATGAAAATAAGAAGGTGTGGTATGATTGCCAATGAGACAACTCTCCACCAGAGAACAAATGATGTAGAAGTTAGCAACTATAGGCCACTGTACAGCCTTCAACAATGAGCAAAAACAACACCACATAGCAAGCTATAAAAGGCCCTGAAATTACAAATGTAAAACAATTCAAATGAGAAAACTAATGGCCTGATTTATGTACAAAACAATAAAGAAAAAAAATATGATATACAGCAACAAACGACAACCACTGAATTACAGGCTCCCGACTTGGCACAGACACATACTGAATGTGGCAGAGTTAAATACTTTATAAAATTTTCTGATTTGAAATTTATAAATCTTTTCCATTGATGTAATGATGATTGGTAATTATAGTATGAAGAAAATTATTTTGAAACCAAATATGAATATAGGAATCTTACTCTGTTCCTGAATTTTGAAAGCAACAGCATTATCTTAACAAATCTAAAGCTCAATAACACATCTTTGAATTAGATGATGTAGAATAAATCTATGTAGAAATCACAACATTATAAACCAAAAAAAGAACAATAAGTATATGTCAGTGTCCTATATTTGAAATGTATCTATTATGGTGTAGAAGTTTGAACCATTACTGAAAGATATGAAACATTAAAATTAATAAAATGCTCCGCTGGGGCGCAGCTTGATACGACCGCAGAGGTCGAACCCTGAACAGTTGGGGCAAGTATGGACACAACATTCAAGCTTGATACAGCACTGAATTTGGATTGTAATTAAATATTTGACACAGCATAGGTTTCTAACACAGAATGAATGTGGTCTAAGAACTTAAAAATTTTTAATTTACCTATTCAAACCATATCATTATTAATTGCTTTTATATATAAATCAGAAATAACCAATTTAAAAAGGAAAAAAAAAATCCCCCCCTCAAATTTTTTGAACCCCCTTATGATTCATCACCCCCAAACTCAATCCCAGCCTTCCCTTTGTGGTATGGTACCTTGCAGTACAATTTCAGAGTGAACCATACACTTGAACACAAGTTGTTGTCTGGAAACTAGAAAAATGCTTATTTTTGGCCCCTTTTTGGCCCCTAGTTCCTAAAATTTTGAGGCAATTACCCCCAAAATCAATCCCAGCTTTCCCTTTGTGAAATGGAACCTTGTAGTACAATTTCATAAAGATCCATACACTTACACACAAGTTATGGTCATGAAACTAGAAAAATGCTTGTTTTTTGCCCCTTTTTGGCCCCTAATTCCTAAAATTTTGAGGCAATTACCCCCAAAATCAATCCCAGCATTCCCTTTGTGATATGGAACCTTGCAGTACAATGTCAGAGAGATCCATACACTTACACACAAGTTATTGTTATGAAACTAGAAAAATGCTTGTTTTTTGCCCCTTTTTGGTCCCTAGTTCCTAAAATTTTGAGGCAATTACCCCCAAAATCAATCCCAGCATTCCCTTTGTGATATGGAACCTTGTGGTACAATGTCAGAGAGATCCATACACTAACACACAAGTTATGTCTGGAAGTTACAAAAATGCTTATTTTTGGCCCCTTATTCCTTAACTGTTGGTACCATAACCCCCAAAATCAATCCCCACCTTCCTTTTGTGGTATTGAACCTTATGGTAAAATTTCATAGAGATCCATTCACTTAAACTAAAGTTAGAGTGCGAAAACCAATATGTCTTCGGACGACGAAGCCGACGCCAGACGACGACAAAGCCAACGTCATACCAATATATGACCGCAAAATTTTTTTGCGGTCGTATAAAAACTACAGATACATGTACAGATGATATGCAATCATAATATAAACCCCAAAAACTAAAATTAAAGATTAATCTATAAATTATATGTTCCTAATTTTGACTGGATCATACACATATTCTCAAATTTATAACTATATTTTTACAACTGTTCTTTAAAGAAATGAAAACCTGAAACTTTTTTCAAGATTTATCCATTAAAATGATTTTCAATTGTAAATTGTAAAACCTTATTGGAAATTTACGGATAGTGTCTGATCATTATACGCCCGTTTACGGGACGTATTATGGTATACCGTTGTCCGTCTGTCCCTCCGTCCGTCCGTCCGTCTGTCCGTCCGTCCGTCTGTCTGTCCGTCCGTCGTCAACATGTCGGACATTAACTCAAAAACGCTTTAACCAATTTGCATAAAACTTTTGTGAATTGTTTATATCTATTGATGTGAGCTCCCTTTCGTTTTTTAAAAATTTTAGATTTTACGTTTCCGAGTTATGGGGTTTTATTCATTAAAAAAAGGGGGATTATCCAGTTTTCAGACAATAATTCAAGAATGCTTTCACCAACTTGCAAGAAATTGTGGTAAATTGTGTATATCTATTGACATGAGGTCCCTTTCGATTTTTATAAATTTTAGATTTTACGTTTCTGAGTGACAGGGTTTTATTAAAAAAAAGGGGGGGGATTTTCCAGTTTTCGAACAAAAACTCGAAAATGCTTTCAGCAGTTCTTATGAAACTTTGGTGAATTGTTTATATCTATTGATGTAAGCTCCCTTTAGAATTTTATAAATTTTACATTTTACATTTCTGAGTTATGGGGTTTTATTCATTAAAAAAGGGGGGATTTTCCAGTTTTTGGACAATAACTCAAAAATGCTGTCAGCAATTCTCATGAAACTTTGGTGAATTGTTTATATCTATTGATGTAAGCTCCCTTTTGATTTTCATAAATTTCTAATATGATATTGAGAATTAATTGAACTTTATTTGTTTATATTCTGACAACCGATTTACTAAGTATTGCACAACAGCAAGAAATCTTTAATTAAATATAAATTCAATTCATATAACGGTTAAACCAGTTTCAAGTTCTTTGACTACATTTTTCTATAATGGAATAAAAAACCTGAAAGGAAAAAATATAAGAAAGGAGTTTAAATCATTCTAGTTCTTTGTTTTATGTCTATTTTTTTGTCTGAACTTTTGTACATGTAAAGAGGTGAATATCAGAAATCTCAATGTGCAGCTGTAGATGGTTTGCAATAATGTTTTCAAGGAATTAATTACTTAACAAATGAAAGAGGGTTTGATGATTTTTCATCACACAGTTATAATCATTTAGTAATATAATAAAGATACAACAGTTCACAGTTTCACTGTATTTTTTCAGAAATATTTCCAAAGTGGTCCATTTAAAAGTTTAAATAATGATGCAGGGAAGAGTAACCTGGAGCTTGAATGGACAAATCAGCATGGGTGTGGAGGCAATGAAGATACCAATCCACAGAAACAGAATTGTCACATGATCTTACAGTATATGTGTCAGGATGATGTGAACACTCCAACAGGTACAAACAAAAGTTGTAACTTTATCTTGGACAAACCAAATTTCCATTTTTTGTCTGTTTGTTTTTAAAACCTGCTTAAATTAAAAAAAGACTTTCATTTGAAAGTGCAAATATTTCTGTGATGTTATTTATGTTCATAAAAGTTAATCAGTGTTTTGATTTTGTAATTAACTGTTAATTACAAAATCAAAACACTGATTAAATTTTATGAACAATGAGTTTCCATACATTTTAGCAGTTTACGTGTTAGTGCTACTGGGGTTATATATCATGGAAAATGTCCAATATTTATTTTAGCTTTGTAAAGATAAAGGATAGGGTAGATAAAAGCCTTATTTTCCATTATTATTATATTTTGTATACTAATTTTATGATTTCCTTTAATGTCTTATATTATTAAAGTTGAAGTAATATCAAAGGATTACCAGACTGTTTATGTGCCATAATATTACAATAAATGGGGGTATAATGTCATGTAAAGGATTTCATTGCTGTTTTAGGAGTGTTTCAGACAAAGATTTATTAATTACAAATGAATTTTACATGAACCTTGGGAATGGTACAACACTTTTCAAATGTTTGGCAAAGGCAATATGAACATCCATATTATGTATTCTATAATTATCTGAAGAATCACAAAATTTTAATAGTGCTAGCATATGTGCACACAACTTTCAGTTAAATTTGTGAAATTTTTTTCTTACAAGTAATATGGTTAACAATTTTATTTTTAAGGCACCGCTGATACCCTTCGAAATGGACAGAGAACTGAAACACAAGCATATAACAGACCACAAAGTTTGACAGAAACTCAACAACAAACAACCGCTCGTAAAAATAATGCTGTCCAACAAGAGGAAGTTATCCAGGAACCTTGGGAATGGTATGACAAATGCTTTGTCAGGGAACGCAATAGAGGTAGGGAAGACAACTCTCCTAAAAAGTGTGAATAGTTGAGGAATTTAATAGACTTTTGACAGTTGCTTTGTTAACAAAGGCATTTAATTTAAAGGGAACAAAGGATGATGCATGCAAACATGCAAAAAATTGATAAAGCAGAAGTAGAATTTAATTAATGTAAAGCCAAAAAAAGGGAATGTTACTTGTTATAATAGAATGGAACTTGTTTAGTTGTTTTTATACGACCGCAAAATTTTTTTTTAGGGGGGTCAATTTTTTTCCTCAAGATTAAGGAATTGTCAATTTTCCAAAGAAAAATTGGGGGTCACAATTTATTTAGCTAATTCTTTGTATATAGTCTGAAAACAGATTTACTAAGTATTGCGCAACAGCACAGTGTATTGCACAACAGCAAGAAATCTTCAATTGAATATAAATTCAAATCATATAACCAATTTCAAGTTCTTTGACTACATTTATTCTGTGTCAGAAACCTATAATGTGTCAAATATTTAATTACAATCCAAATTCAGACCTGTATCAAGCTTGAATATTGTGTTCATTTTTGCCCCAACTGTTCAGGGTTGCACCTCTGCGGTCGTATCCAGCTGCGCTAGGCGAAGCAGTTTATTGGAAATGGGATGTTCACACATTGATATTATTTTGATATAAAATATTGTCTGGTTTTAGGGATATGAAATATATATTTTTTGAAGCTGTAATATTTCTTTTATGAATAGAGAATTATTTTCTTTTAGTTTTAATGCTGAAATTGCCATGCAGGTCTGTTGAATGATAAGATATCATGGGAGTAACACGAATATAACCAAATACTGTTGACATGTGAACCATCATTTGAAGTGTATCATATGTAAATTATAATATATTTTCAGGGCTATTTACTGCTGATCAAAAGTTAAAAAGTAACAATGGCTTGGGCACTAGTAGTGCCATTTACACAAGACAGAATCCTAATGGTAACCGTTATGGCTATGAATGTCCAGAAGAAAGGGATTATTTTCCCTACTGGCACCCTACTCCATGGAAAGATATTGCAGTACTTGCAGAAAATGCATCCATGTGCAGGTTTGTATATAGAGAGATATCTTTCTTTGTTTCTGTTTCAACTTTTATTAATTTGCAGGCTTGTATCTCAGTTTGCAGACTTATTTTAGTGCAGCGGATGTCATATTTGTTATATTTATTGTTTTGGTAAGGATACTGACTTAGATTAAATTCTTTATTTTTTAATTTTTTTAAAAATTATTTGTAATTTAGAGTTGATATCAGATCTTTGATATTCTCCTTAACTAAGATTTATTCACAACGTCATTTAGATCTAGAGTATTACATATTGTTTAAACAATTGTGTGTTAAATCATTTGTTAAATACTTTATGTTGACCTCTAGATGTCTGTTTTGGGAAGGTTACTGTTGCATTACCTATACCAATATGTAATGTTATTCATAATACAAAACGTAATTTGAATCTGATTTAACTGTTAGAGTTTATATCATATTTAATGGCATTTCTTTGCTTCATCCTGATCTCACAGTGTCAATTTTATCTAAAAGAATAAAACTAAAAATTTATTAATGAAATTTGGTAAGTAGTGTTAAAGAATAATAATTAGGCTTGGGGTCAATATGGAAAGATCAAACATCTCTTTTTGCATTTAACCGAGTTTTTACAATCTTTTTTCCCTGTTGGTCCTTGAAGAAAATCTGCTGGTCCTCACTATTATTTCTATTACAAAATATCAAAATTGTGTCGGTCCTTTGCAAAATATGGTGGTCAAAACCTTGGGACCACCACTTTTCAAGAACTCTGTTTACAGATTGCCTTCACTCTTTAGGGATTGTCTCTCCCCCACTGTTTCATAAATTTTGTATTGATCACTTGAATTGCACACAATTTGAAAAAAAAATTATGAAACAGTATCATAATCAGTTATTCACATTTTAAGTAGGTGGTAGATCCTTTGAGAAGATAAAGTAATTAATACAGGGATATCAATACAGGATACACAAAGGTCAACTTGTTTGTAATAGGAAGTGTTACAGTTCAAATTTCAGTCTATAATCTGTTGAACAAATACCAAAAACAAATATTTATGTTGTTCAGTACTTTTGTTTATCATCAACCCAAATTCTAATCAAATGAATTCAATTTCAGTGGATTAAATATATTCTGATCAAAGTTTATTTATTTGATTGTTTAAAGGTACATAAGATACAGCATTCATTCAACAATCGTTACTAGCCCAAACAGAAATTGCTAACAAAAGCACATGTGAATCACATAAGATGCAAGTAAGAATCGTATGCAAATAGGATTGCTCATATGTGCAGTTTGGTAGTTCATATGTGCCCCAAAATTTTTTCTTTATGCTCATATGAACAATTCAATCGTCATATGACCTTTTACCATCTATGTAACAAAAAAGTAATTGTCCATTCTAATTACGTTGTAAATGTTGTAACATCAGTTGCTTTAAGAGTAATCCACACATGCTTTATATCACATACAGAGATCTAGCTAACAATGTTGTTATATGAGGTATTATGGAATACCATAGTCTGTCTATCCATTTATCCATCTTTCCATCAACACTTCATACTATAAATCAAATTTGCTTTTCTCTTTAGGAGTAAACTTTACATTATTGTTGGGATTGGTAAAAGGAATCTCCCTTTCGATTTTTTTAATTTTCTAGTTGTCTTTCAAGAGTTATAGGACTTTCATTGTCAGATTTAAGTAAATTTTTCATATGTTGCACCATAACTTGTTAGAATTGGTGAACATAACACACCGTTTGATTTAAAAAAAATATTTATACACCTAAGGGTATCTAAATGCACATTCTTCTACAGAGTCATTTTGCTTCTGATTGAATGCCTAATTAATATCCAATTTTATTCTTGCAACAATTTCAATATGCACAATAAGGTTGCATCATGCACTCTTGTCGCAGCTGCTTATTCTTGTTTTGTAATATGGTATGGTATTCTATTATCAAATCTTTGGAACCATTTGCCACTCTATTGAAAGTTCTATGAGAACAGCAAAAAATTTAAACTTCTTAAAAAATACAGTCTATGTTAACAATATATAACTGTAATGAATTTATTTCAGTTATCACAGGTCAAACAGTTTTAATACACAAATGTACCATGAATGTGTAGAATTTTACACACCTGGAGGCGCCAGACGTCCTTATTCAAAATGGAATAATCAAGCACAATGTACACAGAATGGTGGACAATGGGTACAATTCAGCAACTTTCTAGAAAAGGCACCTGGTGAGGAACTCAATCATATCAGAGAAAATATTTTTCACATAGTCATAAATAACTGTTGAAAAAAGTTGTTCTTTAAAGTGTTAAGTTTCTATTGCATTTGATGCATTTTAATATTTCTTTAGTTAAATGGAGAAATGTTTCTTAAACACAGAATTAAAAAATTGTTCCAATATGAAATGACTAATTATCTTGATTTTTTTGGGAAAAAAACCCACCATATTAAGTCATAAAATAAAATGTAGATATGTTCATGTATGTTCTTCTCAATGTTAAGAATATATCCATAGATAGCATTGGTGTAAGGTCAAACAAGTAAAAACTAATAAATAATTGAAAACTGCATCTTAAAATTTCAGCATATACTACCGAGACCACATGTACAGCACAGAGCAAAGGTGGACTGACCTATAGATGGGCTGTACCATATGATGCTACCGATGTTACGAAGAAAGAATGTTTAGTTCGACTGGACCAACCAGATTGTAAAGAAGCACAATATTCTAGGTATATAGTTTATTTAGATGTAGACCCACCAGACTAAAAAGCAACAGTGTTCTAAGTATATAGATTGTTAAACTGGAGACACAACAGAAATTTAAAAGAGTCATAGTATTCTAAGTACCTGTATATAGCTTATTTGAATGTAGACTCATCAGACATTAAAAGAACCATGGTGTCTTTAATATATTAATTTTTTGAAACATAAACTGGTCATATATAGAACAAATATATAACAAAAACTTAATTTCAATTGTATGTATATCTATTTCAGGTCTAACCATCTGGGTAATGGAGCAAATGGTAGAGCTAATAGTTATATATGGACATTGCCTTATTTTCCTTCAGGAAATGCCAAAAGATGTGTTTTCAGAATGAGGTATGTGTTCAAGGATAGAAATGGTTCATTGACATAGCATTTTCAGTGCATCATAAATTTATTTTTAAAACTAAATTGCATGAATTTTTATGATTTTAAATCTGGCAGTGCAACTTCTCTTTAATTGAGTATACAATATATTTTGGTTTCCCCTTTTTGGACTACAGTAGTAATGCCATCTTTACCATTGAAGTACAAAAAATGTAGTCACATACTGAGGATTCATTAATATTCAATGAACCCAATTTTAGTGGTTGAAAAGAGATTTCTAGTTCGCTGCTTAAAATATCAACAGAAAACATTTTTAATATGATGACATTTATAACATAAATGATATTGCTTTAAGAAATCTTGTTACCACAAATAAATTGTGTCAGGAAAGAACAAATCTTGATCTGTGAACTAAACCTACTATGATTGTTACAGAAGGATTTTTGATGACATCATGAAGTTGCTTGAATTTATTATTGACAACATATGTTTGGTGGAGATATTTATAAACAGACAGTTGACATTCTTATGGGAACTAACTGTGCTCCTCTTCTCACCAAGTAATCAAGAAGAATGAGAAGAATATAGCCTTATCATTTAACTTTACATTCAGCTATGAAGGTGAAATCCTTTCACTGAAAACTTTTAAAAATTGATGACTGTGGTGATTTCTTATTGAACTTGAAATAAAGGACACCCTATAAATGAACAACAAAAAAAGGGTATTAGTCATTGTTTTGCAACAGCTCAATTTCTTTTTTCTCTTTTTTTTCAGGTACAACATATCAACAGATGATTATGATCCATATTTCACAGATTCCTCCTTAAATCAACAATCGTAAGTTTTTTTTATATTCCACATGAAAACTTATTTACTATACCGGAGATGAATTTGTGAATAACAAAGGGAAATTATAAAATTATATTAAATAATATGATAACTAACGCAGTAGCTTTATGTCAGGATTTTCTCTATCATCTTCCATCATCATTACATTTGGTTACTTCGAGTTAAAAATGAAACCAAACCTAAAAACCATTCTTTCTTGAAGTCAATTGATGTGACTTCTTAGGCATTATGGTGAATATTAATTTTTGTAAGTCCATAAATAAAGTCGACTTCTATTACATTTTGATGATATGTCTATAAATTTTTTGCCATATTTGACGATATATCTATCAAAAAATTTCCATATTTGATAATATATCTATAAATTTTTTGCCATATTTGACGATATATCTATCAAAAAATTTCCATATTTGATAATATATCTATAAATGTTTTGCCATATTTAATAATATGTCTAAATATTGAACTATATTTGAAGATAAATATATAGATATTTTGCCGTATTTGATAATATATTTAAAAACAAATTTCCATATATAATGATATATCTATGAATATTTTGCCATATTTGATGATATATCTATGAATATCTTTTTCTTTTTTTACCATATTTCTTTTAAAAAAAAATCCATATTTGATAATATATTTATAAATATTTTACCATATTTATACCCGTTATTGTTTTTGACCCGTCCGTCTGTCTGTCTGTCCGTCCGTCAGTCCGTCAGTCCTGTTTCTTGTCGTCGCAACTCCTCTGAAATCACACAACAGAATTTCCTGAAACCTTTTTAGATAATAAGGACATACTATGCAGATGTGCATATCGACAGGAAATTACGATTCAATTTTTTTTCTAGGAGTTACGCCCCTTTGAGCTTATTTGCTTCAAAATACTACTGCAACAGTTTGTCATCGCAACTCCTCTGAAACCACACAACAGAATTTCATAAAACTTTGTAGATAATAAGGACATACATTGTACTACGTAGATGTGCATATCGACAGGAAATTATGATTCAATTTATTTTTCTTATACAATTTTTTTTTCTTACTGTTATTTTATTTCTCCAATGACAATGTGAGGACGTGGGGTATGTGAGCCACTCACTAAAGTTCTTTAATTGATGATATATCTATAAAAGAATTTCCATATTTTATGATATATCATAAATATTTTGCCATATTTGTGGAGGGACATCGATGTCCTGCTGAAACATCAGGAAAGCTTTTAATAATTTTCATTATCAAGGTTTTCAAAGTAACTAACAGTCTAAACATACATTCATAACAATCTAAAAAAAAATAATTGAACATTTTTCATGGAAAACCCTCAGGCAAGTCGTATATACTGAAGTGTATAGAAGCAACAGAGGTTTGGTTGTATTTTTAACTTAGATACTATATATAACCATCAAAGTGCTACAACACAAAGGAGTAGGCCCGGTAAGACCCCTTCTTGGCCCCAAAATATAGCATTTCAAAAATTTGTTAAAAATGTAAGTTTTTAGCTATTTACTGGAAAGAAGAATACTTTTGTTACATAAATATGGACTGTTTTTGACAATACAATGCACATGCACCAGGTATCAGCATCATTAGTTCATGCAAAATTACTGAAATCTTCACAATTTTTACATTTGTGCTTATTTTTAGATGGTTTTTGTCTCGCCTTGACGGAGTCAAAAAGCGAGACATAGGTATGCTGTTTCCAGCGTCGGCGACGGCGGCAGCGGCGTCCACAATGTATTAGTTTGTGATTAGGTCTAGTTCATGGTGAACCACTAGTGGTAGGTCAATGATATTTGGTATGCAGTTGTATTAGCATTGGCACATCTCATTACCATGGAGATTATTTGGCACCGCCCCCTCAGTCAAGGTCTATTGACTTTGAAACTTTTCATAGTTTACATGTATTAGTTTGTGATTAGGTCAGTTTATGGGGAACCACTAGTGGTAGGTCAATGATATTTGGTATGCAGTTGTATAAGCATTAGCATATCTCATTTCCATGGAGATTATTTGGCTCCACCCCTTAGTCATGGTCTATAGACTTTGAAACTTTTGCTTAGTTTACATGTATTAGTTTGTGATTAGATCAGTTTAAGATGAACTGCTAATGTTAAGTCAATGATATTTGGTATGCAAATGTATTGGCATTTGCAATTTTCGTTTCCATGGAGATTATATAGCCCCACCCCTGATCATGGTTCATTGACTTTGAAACTTTTACATAGTTTACAAGTTAATGTTTGTGTTTAGGTTTGTTTAAAGGGAACGACTTATAATAAGTCAATGGTATTTGGTATGCAGTTGTATTAGCATTGGCACATCTCATTCCATGGAGATTGTTTAGCCATGTACCTTCAGTCATGGTTCATCGACTTTGAATATTTGCATAACTTACATGTTAAAGTATTGCTATTTTAATTTCAACATTTGCATTATCAAAATTACAAAAAGGCGAGACATATCTCTGTGATAACAGTTTATTGTCTAAAATGGAAGTGGTCGCACTTGTGTTCAGTCTAAACATTTGAATACATGTTGTATTTGATGATGATACACAACATATATAAAGGTTGAGATTAAACATGAATGCGGCCCTCCATTTTAGACAAAAACTATCTGAATAGTGACGTTGTGTGGCATATTTGATAGGTTTTTCATATTTAAGCTTGAATTTAAGTGTCTTTAATGACCAAATCAGTTCAAATCTTTTACATTAACTAATTGAAACTACTGAAGAAGACACTTAAGTGTTAAAAAAAATGTCAAACATCTTTCATCCGATGTACTTCAAATTTTAGGCCAAAATAAGCCCTTACCGGACCTTCTCCTTAGCATAAATTTACAAGCAACCAATGTCATCTAAAAATGGAACATATACCTTTTTACAGAAATCCATTGGTACAATCCATTATAGAGCAGGATCCTTATATAGACATGGGAGGCAGAACTGCATTACGTATGAACATCAACACTGATCAGACTGGCAGAATATTTCAGGACAGAAGTCATGTATTTCTCATGTCACCAAGAGCTGGTGCCATATCTCAGACAGATAAAATATATAATTTGAATGTACGAGGAAAACGTGGTAACATAGTACAGACTTACCCTGCTGTAGAGTATGACTTCCATCCAAACACATTAAATATCAAACCTTCAGATCTGGTTCATATTCAATGGACAGGTAATTTTTTCAGTTTCTATATATTGTATGTAAATGATTTAAAAATCAATTTTATACTCAATGGTTCTAATTTTTCAAAGTATTGTACATTTATACATCCTTGTCAGTAAAGAGTGGAGCCAGTAAATATATACTGTAAATTCGAAATTCCGATGAGATAGGAGTCACAAAAATAAAAACTCAAATTTAAAAAATTAATTAAGATACAAGCCATAGGACCTTTAAAACCACAAATTAACCATATAAAAGACAACTAAATGTGGTTACAGGTGAGATTTCTTCATACTTTAAACCTAATTATGGCCCTTAGCTTCATGACAATAACAGTTTACCTCTCTATTATCAGCCATCTTATAGATCTATGGAGGTTCCATTTAACCAAACCTATTTTGAGTATTTCTATTTAGTTTTTTGTTTCGAAAAGTATATTCAATGACCAAAGTTATAAGCTCATACATCTGCTATAATAGGTAAAATATGATGACTGATAAATGTAAAGGTTAATCTTTTTTGCAATGGCAAAACCCATAAGTGCCAAATGTGGTGAAATTGTTTCATATAGGAGTATGGAAATTACTTATAGTTCATTATTAGTCATCTCAACAGGAACCTTTTACTAACCAGAATTTGACAATATGGTTTGCAAGTGAATAATTCCTTATATTTTAATCATATTTTTTTAATTTGTTTTAGGCTCTAATACACATAATAACAATAACCCAGCTGGTGATGGACAGGCTGGAGATGAAGGTCAAGGCAAAGATGGTAAGTGTTGGGACTAAAACTAGTCGACTCTTGTTATCTCAAAATTGAAGGGTAGCGATAGAATTTCTAGTAAACCAAAGTATGACGCAAGGGGAGCAAAAGTGAAACCATTAAAGGGAAAACAATTAAGAGTTTGCATGAAGTAAAACCAGTATTGTGTTGATTTGATCACACATTGTACTATAACAAGTCTTCCCAAATCAAAAAAAGTGTTTCAATTTAGGTGATGTTTTTGATTTCTGCTCTTTTTGTTTTGACACTGTTTTATGTCTAATTTTGATACTTTTTATAATTTTTTGGTGTGAAAGCTGGTTATAAAACCCTTTTTTTACACTTATTTTGTTATCATATTTCAGTTACCACTGATATGTCTGCCAAGTTGGATAAAACTTTACCTTTTCAGCTCATCTGACCTGAAGGGCCATTGTGAGCTATTCTAATCTCTTGGCCTCCCTCAGCCATTGTCCTTGGTGGTGGGTTAACTTTTTGCAAAATTATTCTGAGCTAATTGCAACCAAACTTTGACACAATTATTTGGGTATCTTATTTCAAAACTTTGATGATCCTGTTAGCCAACCTACATGGCGGCCATAACTAAACATAGAGCATAGAGGTGCATTTTCTTATCTCTTGAAAAAAAACATTCTCAAACTGGTAGTGAGCACTGAAGGGCAAAGATTGCATTCATTTTGCAGTGGGAACTAAAAATCAGACATTGCATTGTGTTAGGCTTTGGAAGGCAATACTATGAATTGGAGATCTCTCCTTTGTCCATATTTGGAGTTGGTTCAACTACAATTATGGACAAAGGAAGATAACTCCAAATTAATTTAACAGTGATATCATTGATATTTTTATGCATAAAACAGATAAATTTATGCACAATGCACAAATTATGTAATTGTATTGACAAGTATGATTATACACACAGATGTCAACTTAAATATCTGAGTATCTATTTCATTCATAAATTTCATGACAATATACATTGTTAGGATGTATAATAGAATGATATTCCCAATGTAATATGTTTTTCAACTCATGCAGAATTTCGCGACGAGAGTCAACTGTATTACTTAAAGAAATCAAACCTTTAAATAAATTATAATATTTACAAGTCAGAAATAGCTATGTTACTCATTTGGAATGGCTGGAATTGTCCAGCCATATCAGTTCCTCATGTTGACGTTAAATAATAATCTAATGACTGCCACTGCATAGTGTAAATGTGAAGAATTTTTTTTTACCTCAGATGTATGCAAGAATATTGATATTTTTCTTTAAAATTTTTATGTTGAAGTATAGATATCAATGGTGATATGTTTTATATCCTTATAATAGCCCTGGTCCTCAATAATCCATATTCATATCATTTTCAGGATCTGACAGGAGTAATATTGTGGAAATAAAAAATCTGAATGACAATTTCCCATTACCATATGAGAGTACCACCATGTGGTCTGCTGCTGACGTCAAATGGATCTATTCTGGTTCCACCGCTGTATCTCCTAAGGACCTGGCTGTTATCATGTCATCATCAGGATATTATAAATCAGTCAATGAAGCTAAAACTAAGGCTGCCATGAACCCATTACTAAACAATGCACCAGCTTCATTTGAAGGAGCAGTTCTTAAATTTAACAGAGGAACATATCACTATATGAGCACAAGAAATAATAACTTCAGTAACAGAAGTCAAAAGTCAACTCTCATAGTGTCGTAAAACATTCTTGCCTATTGTTATGGTCGTATTGTATTTTAAATTTCAATATTTATTCAGTCATTTGCAGCATATCATGTGGTCTTTTCTCTTGGAAGGAGTTAAATCAAAAATCATAATTTGCACAAACTAAGAAATAGTACTCAAAACATATTTTCTTGTACAGCCCTTTATTCAAAATGTTCCTTTGGGATTCAGAATTTTATTTGAGGAACACTTCCCAATTTTTTACATTTTGTATATTTTTATATTTGTTTGTATTATTAAGCAACACTTCACTATTAACTTTTACCTCAACATGATTCATAAACATTCCTGTATACCTTAGACCTTTTTATTTTTTTTATTTGTAACTTTGTTTGATGATCAGTTAACATAGTTGTTAAAGGATATTAAATTTACCAACAATTATATACTGAGGCTAATACAAAACACTTACATTAAATTTTGCTGTTGTTAAACATTCCAAATGCATAATTAATTATTTAATAAGGGTTTTGACAGCAATTCTTCAACTATGTTTAGTTAATTTTAATGACAATTCTCAACATTTTATTATACACATTTAATTCAACATTTTCAGATAAAATAGAAAATAAAATTTTATAACAAATATTTAAGATTTAAAGAAATAATCAGTGATTAAAAGGAAAACAATTTTGGTTTATATCAAAACTCTGGCAGAATTATGAACATTTAACAGTGGCAAGTAAGAAGTATATTAAAGCACTTTTAATGAAAATTTGCATACAACCTATTTTTCACCTAGTCAATTCAAATATGTAATAAAAAATATACCTTCATATGCTACATTTAGAGATAAATGGGGTCGAAATTTTAGAGATTTACTCAAAATTTCGGTTTCTTGGACATTTCTATCCTATGGACAGACATACTTAACTTTTTTGTTTCAAAAATAAACACATGAGGATTTCTGTAAAAAGATTTGGAACATCTTCTTTACAAAAATATGCTCTAAATTTGTGTAACTATTCTTTGGAAATGATTCATTTTTATTAAATTTTCATGATTCTAGAAAAAACACCATTTTTTGTTGTACATTTTTCTAATTTAAAAAAAGATTCACCAGTGATTTCTCCATAAAAATTGGAACAAATAATCTTCATACATAATCAAGCCAAATGTCATTTCAAAAACAGGGGTCAATTTACTCGTTTACAATTTAATGATTAAAATCAATTGCAAAATGCATGTTTTCCCAATATGTCACAGTTTGATGTCGTGAAAAATAACATTTTACGTTAGCATTATCATTACTTCCCCTGTAACTGTATCATATGCCCTTAAAAGAACTAAGTGTCTAAGGTAATTCATAATCATGATATGAAATTGTGTGATTTTCATTTTCATTATGCCAGTCTTTCAATGAACAGCAACACAAAATATGCAAATGCTGGTCATTTAACGATTTATTTCATCTCAAATTATTACCATTATATGATAACCAACATGATCTTGAGGTCTTTTATTAAATTACTTATAGTTTTGAATAGATTATAATATTTTGTACAATTTATTTGAAGCATTTGACCAAATCAATACATATCAGAGATATACCAAATATGAGATTATTTTATATACATATGTTGTATTTTTGTGGGATAAAACTTTATTACCAAAATTAATATAAATGATAATATTTTTAAGATAAGATGTCCGCTTTACAGTTCACTAGTCTATAGAAATTTGACAAGAGTCAATACAAAATTAATTATTTGTGGTTAAATAAAATGGCATATGCCATACAATTAAAAATGTAATAACAACTCTTTAATGCCTAATACAAAATATTCTTTATTTATGAAATTAAAACAACAGTAAAACTGAATTCTGCAATACTTCAGGTAATTTGTATTTTGTTGAAGTATAGTAAACTTACTGTTCGGTGTGAGCCAAGGCTCCATGTTGAAGGCCGTACTTGATCTATAATTGTTTACTTTTTACACATTGTGACTTGGATGGAGAGTTGTCTCATTGGCACTCATACCACATCTTCTTATTTCTAGTTATTAGGTTTCTAAGGATTTAAAAATTTGTATGCATATGAATTAAAATTTAAATTTCAATATTGGATTCTTACATTGACTTATGTCCTGACTAAAGCTTGGTGTTGACTCAATCATTAACAGTATATTCAAAGAAAGACAACAGAAATTTATATGTAGATTTTAGTTCCCTGTTTACATCATGTAAAGTATTCACTCCAAAATAAAAACTATTTTAATAACAACTTCGGCATTTTGTTAAAACATTTAATTGGCTCTGAAAAGTAATATTTTGTAATGATTTATTTGATTTAAATTTAGATCAAATATAATTTTGTAATACTTTTGCATACTTGATATTTTCATTTTACAAGGAAACCTCAGCAATTTTTAAGTTGCAATTTACTGAATGTTTTTTTGTTGTCTGCTGGTACAGACAATTATGTCTTATTTGTTATTATTTGTTTGTAATTAAAATACATATCTATCTAAAATTAGTTTGTTCACTACTACATTGTATTCATTTCAAACTAACAGAAGTTGTATATCAAGTCATGTAAACTTGATAAAGTTCATGAAAAAAATCATGGGCACTTCAAAGCCAAGTGCTAAATGGTCATTTACAGTGTGAGCAATCAATTGAATAGATAGTAATTGGGAAATAAAAAAAACCACAAAAAAACAAAAAGTCTCACTTTAAGTTGAAAGTAGTTGTGCCAAACATTGCTCAGGATATTGAAAGTCACTACTGTGTCATTATCCATGAGGGAACTAACATATAGAGCTATTATAGAAATCCATGTGAACCAAAACTTTGGTTGACTTGCTTGCAATCTTCGCTAGAATATTTGCTCAAGCAATGTAATTAGGACTAATATCTAAAGAACAACAGATAAGTGGAGGTTCAGTCTGTTTACAATATACAATAACAACTTATGTATATTTCAGATATACAATTCCTTGGGTAAGAGTTTTCCATCAACTATATGTAAACTTTCGTTTTTTTCTTTTTTAGCTCACCTGGCCCAAAGGGCCAAGTGAGCTTTTCTCATCACTTGGCGTCCGTCGTCATTGTCGTCATCGTTAGCTTTTACAAAAATCTTCTTTGAAACCACTGGGCCAAATTTAACCAAACATAGGCCACAATAATCATTAGGGTATCTAGTTTAAAAAATGTGTCCGATGACCCCGCCAACCAACCAAGATGGCCGCCATGGCTAAAAATAGAACATAGGGGTAAAATGTAGATTTTGGCTTATATCTCTGAAACCAAAGCATTTAGAGTTAATCTGACATGGGATAAAATTGATAATCAGGTCAAGATCTATCTGCCCTGAAATTTTCAGACAAATCTGACAACCCGTTGTTGGGTTGCTGCCCCTGAATTGGTAATTTTAAGGAAATTTTGCAGTTTTTGGTTATTATCTTGAATATTATTATAGATAGAGATAAACTGTAAACAGCAATTATGTTCAGCAAAGTAAGATCTACAAATAAGTCGTATGACCAAAATTTTCAGTTGACACCTTTAGGAGTTATTGCCCTTTATAGTCAATTTTTAACAATTTTTTGTAAATTTTTGTAATCTTTTACAAAAATCTCCTTCTCTGAATCTACTGAGACAAATTTAACCATACTTGGCCATAATCATTATTAGGGTATCTAGTTTAAAAAAATTGTCTGATGACCCCGCCTTCCAAGTTCCAACCATCATGGCTGACATGGTTAAAAATAGAACATGGGGGTAAAATGCAGTTTTTGGTTTATATCTCTGAAACTAAAGCATTTAGAGCAAATCTTACCGGTGGCAAAAATGTTCATCAGATTTAAATTTATCTGCCCTGAAATTTTCAGACGAATCTGACCACCCGTTGTTTGATTGCTGCCCCTGAGTTAGTAATTTTGCAGTTTTTTGTTATTATCTTAGATATCATTATAATATCTAATATCTAATATTATTAATTATGATTTTAACCTTATTTTACATGATTTCCAAAGCATCAGTAAATACAGGTGAGCGACACAGGCTCTTGAGAGCCTCTAGTTTCACTTGGGATTAAGCATGTTTGTGAGTGCTCAACCCTCCCCTAACCGTGGACAGTGGTGTAATAGCACAACATAAGAACAAACTGTAAATATCAAGTGCAAATGGCTGGACTCATCAGGCATGATTGCTGCATGAAACACAAAAAACAACAGTTGAATTTACATCAAGACAAATAACACAAAGCACCGATCTAAGAGTATTAAGACAAAAATAAAAACACCAGCCTAAGAGTACTATGACAAAAGAAACAAAGAGTACTTGCAGTTACTGAAAGCTAATTCAAAGCCAATAATAGTTCATTAATAAATAATGGTCTCCTAGACTAAAGTATCAATCAGTGCACATCCAAGGGATTTGGTGTAAAGACATAATAAACAGTCTGCGAAAAAGTCTGACCTTGTGCAATGCCAAAATATAAGAACATAATATTGTTTGACTTGGAGTCACTGATTGAGGTTTACATTGTACAAACCCTCTTTAAGTATCCAGTAAACAGGAATTTTATTAGTGATGTATGTGAAAAAAAGATGTCCCACTGTGTAGCATGCTCTAATGAATGTTGATTCCAAATTTTAGAAAGCCTTGATATGCAGTTCTTGACAAAATTTTCATACATATAATATAGCCATTAGGTGAAAGAATACATAATTATTTAGTAATAAACTGCTTCGCTGAGCACAGCTGGATACGCTCGCAGAGGTCCAACCCTGAACAGTTGGGGCAAAAAATGGACACAGTATTCAAGCTTGATACAGGTCTAAATTTGGATTGTATTAAATATTTGACATATTATAGGTTTCTGAATAAATGTAGTCAAAGAACTTGAAATTGGTTATATGAATTGAATTTATATTAAATTAAAGATTTCTTGCTGTTGTGCAATACACTGTGCTGTTGCGCAATACTTGGTAAATCTGTTATCAGACTATAAACAATTAAAGTTCAATTAATTCTCAATGTCATATTAGAAATTTATGAAAATGTAAAGGGAGCTTACATCAATAGCAATGAAATAAACAATTCACCAAAGTTTCATGAGAATTGCTGACAGCATTTTTGAGTTATTGTGTGAAAAATGGAAAATCCCCCCTTTTTGTCGAGCCTTCGACTTTAGTTGAAAAAGCGAGACATAGCGATCCTACATTCCGTCGGCGTCGTCGTCGTTGTCGTCAGCGGCGTCCACAAATATTCACTCTGTGGTTAAAGTTTTTGAAATTTTAATAACTTTCTTAAACTATCCTGGGTTTGTACCAAACTTGAACAGAAGCTTGTTTATGATCATAAGATAGTATCCAGAAGTAAATTTTGTAAAAAAATAAATCCATTTTTTCCTTATTTTACTTTTAAATGGACTAAGATTTTCTGCCAGGAAACAACACATTCACTCTGTGGTTAAAGTTTTTTAAATTTTAATAACTTTCTTATACTATTTTGGATTTGTACCAAACTTGGACAGAAGCTTGTTTATGATCAAAAGCTAGTATCTAGAAGGAAATTTTGTAAAAAAAATAAATTCATTTTTTCCATTTTTTACTTTTAAATGGACTTAGATTTTCTGCCAGGAAACAACACATTCACTCTGTGGTTAAAGTTTTTAAAATTTTAATAACTTTCTTATACTATTTTGGATTTGTACCAAACTTGGACAGAAGCTTGTTTATGATCAAATGCTAGTTTCTAGAAGGAAATTTTGTTTTCTTCCAGTTAACATTACATTCAGTCTGCAGTTAAAGTTTTTAAACATTTATTAGATTCATAAACTATCCTGGATTTTTACCAAACTTGGACAGAAGCTTCTTACAATCAAAAGATAGTATCAAGAGGAATATTTTTATTGATTTACTTCCTCATTTTTGTTGAGCCTGCGATTAACAGAAAAAGTAGGCGAGACACTGGGTTCTGCAGAACCCTTACGAATTTTTTAATGAATAAATCCCCATAACTCAGAAATGTAAAATTTATAAAATTCTAAACGGAGCTTAAATCAATAGATATAAACAATTCACCAAAGTTTCATAAGAACTGCTGAAAGCATTTTTGATTTTTAGTCCGAAAACTGGAAAATCCCCCTTTTTTATACGACCGCAAACAAATTTTTGTGGTCGTATATTGGTATGACGTTGGCGTCATCGTTGTCATTGTCGTCGTCGTCCGAAGACACATTGGTTTTCGCACTCTAACTTTAGTTTAAGTGAATGGATCTCTATGAAATTTTACCACAAGGTTCAATACTACAAAAGGAAGGTTGGGATTGATTTTGGGGGTTATGGTACCAACAGTAAAGGAATTAGGGGCCAAAAGGGGCCAAAAATAAGCATTTTTGTAACTTCCAGACATAACTTGTGTGTTAGTGTATGGATCTCTCTGACATTGTACCATAAGGTTCCATACCACAAAAGGAATGCTGGGATTGATTTTTGGGGTAATAGCCTCAAAATTTTAGGAATTAGGGGCCAAAAAAGGGGCAAAAAAAAGCATTTTTCTAGTTTCATGACAATAACTTGTGTGTAAGTGTATGGATCTTTCTGAAATTGTACTACAAGGTTCCATATCACAAAGGGAAAGCTGGAATTGAGTTTGGGGGTAATTGCCGAAACGTTTAGGAATTGGGGGGCCAAAAAGGGGCCAAAAAACAAATTTTTCTAGTTTCCAGACAATAACTTGTGTTCAAGTGTATGGATCTCTCTGAAATTGTACTGCAAGGTACCATACCACAAAGGGAAGGCTGGGATTGAGTTTGGGGGTGATGAATCATAAGGGGGTTCAAAAAATTTGGGGGGGGGATTTTTTTTTTTTCCTTTTTTTTTTCTTTTAAAATTTTCCATTTTAAGTTGGTTATTTCTGATTTATATTTAAAAGCAAATAATAATGATATGGTAGGAGATACACACCAAACAGGATGTGTAAATTATTATATAATAAGTATTGTGCAATAGCAAGAAATTTTCATTTGCACAGTATTGCACAATAGCAAGATATCTTCAATTGCACAGTATTGCGCAATAGCAAGAAATCTTCAATTGCACAGTATTGCGCAATAGCAAGAAATATCCAATAGCACAATATTGCGCAATAGCAAGAAATTGTCAATTGTACAGTATTGCGCAATAGCAAGAAATATTTAATTGCACAGTATTGTGCAAAAGAAGATACTTCGTATAAATTGCTTATTTCTTGACCAATTTCAATGGGGTTTTATTCTTAAATTCTTGGGGTTCTTTAATATGCTGAATCTAACCGTGTATTTAGTTTTTGGATTTTGGGCCCCGTTTTTAAATTGGTCCACATTGAGGTCCAAAGGGTCCAAAATTAAACTTTGTTTGATTTCATCAAAAATTGAATTATTGGGGTTCTTTGATATGCCGAATCTAACCGTGTATTTAGATTCTTAATTTTTGGTTCCGTTTTCAAATTGGTCTACATTAAGGTCCAAAGGGTCCAAAATTAAACTTAGTTTGATTTTAACAAAAATTGAATTCTTAGGGTTCTTTGATATGCTGAATCTAAACATGTATTTAGATTTTTGATTATGGGCCCAGTTTTCAAGTTGGTCCAAATCGGGGTCCAAAATTAAACTTTGTTTGATTTCAACAAAAATTGAATATATGGGGTTCTTTGATATGCTGAATCTAACCATGTATTTAGATTTTTGATTTTTGGGCCCCGTTATCAACTTTGTCCACATTGAGGTCAAGAGGGTCCAAAATTAAACTTTGTTTGATTTCATCAAAAATTGAATTCTTGGGGTTCTTTGATATGCTGAATCTAACCATGTATTTAGATTTTGGATATTGGACCATAATAGGTGAATGTCCAATTTAAAATTTTTAAATTCTTAGACCACATTCATTCTGTGTCAGAAACTTATGCTGTGTCAAATATTTAATCACAATCCAAATGCAAAGCTGTATCAAGCTTGAATGTTGTGTCCATACTTGCCCCAACTGTTCAGGGTTCGACCTCTGCGGTCGTATCAAGCTGCACCCTGTAGAGCATTTTATTTATGAATAAAACCCTGTAACTCGGAAACGTAAAATCTAAAATATATAAAAATCAAAAGGGAGCTCATGTCAATAGATATAAACAATTCACCACAATTTCTTGCAAGTTGGTGAAAGCATTCTTGAGTTATTGTCAGAAAACTAGAAAATCCCCCTTTTTTTAATGAATAAAACCCTATAACTCAAAAACGTAAAATCTAAAATTTATAAAAAACGAAAGGGAGCTCACGTCAATAGATATAAACAATTCACCAAAGTTTTATGCAAATTGGTTAAAGCGTTTTTGAGTTAATGTCCGACATGTTGACGACAGACGGACAGACGAACAGACGGACGGACTGACAGACAACAGTAATACGTTTTTTATAAATTTTAGATTTTACGTTTTCCTTTTTAAATGGGACGTATTATGTCGGACATTAACTCAAAAACGCTTTAACCAATTTGCATAAAACTTTGGTGAATTGTTTATATCTATTGATGTGAGCTCCCTTTTGTTTTTTAATTAAGGAATTATGCATTACACAGTATATATGGAATGCTCACTTTAATTTTGATATCAAATTTCAGAAAGCTCTGATTTATAGTTCCTGTTCCTGAGAAAAACGCAACCAAAATTTTATGGGACAAATATAAACCAGTATACCCCACTCATTTTGGTATAAAAATATAAAAAGTTCACAGTTTTAGGACAGAGCCTTTCTCCTATCCCTTTAACAACCTTTATCTTAATCCTAATTCATATTTCATATTTGTAAAAAGTTGTTAATTGATTGACTTTGTTGAAATTGTAAGGCAAGACTACATTTAAACTGTTCAGTATATCTGAGGCATTTAAGGCAAACCATAGCTGTGCATTGTCCAGATTATAGAACATTTAGAACAGAGTTAAGCCCTTTTCAACTGATTTTAATACGACTGCAAACATTTGCGGCTGTATAATGGTATGGCAAAGTCTTCATCCAAAGACATTTGGTTTCCAGACAATAACTTGAGTACAACTGTATGGATTTCTATGAAATTGTACCACAAGGTTCCATACCACGAAAAGGAAAGTTGGGATTGATATTGGGAGTTTACTGTCCAAACTGTTTAGGAATTGGGCCAAAAAGAAGCATTTTTCTTGTTTGAGGACAATAACTTGTGTATAAGTGTATGGATCTCTATGAAATTGTACCACAAGGTTCCATACCTGAAAAGGAAGATTGGAATTGATTTTGGGGGTCAAAAAACAAGAATTTTCTGGTTTTCGGACAATAACTCAGTATAAGTCTATGGATCTCTATGAAATTGTACCACAAGGTTCCATACCAAAATAAAAAGAAGGTTGTGATTGATTTTGGGGATTATTGCCCTAATGGTTAAGAATTAGGTCCCAAGCACAATACTTTTCTAATACTTAAAATAAACGACAATAAAGACAACAACACCCATCAATTACCGCATGGTAGGAGTTTATTCTGATCGACATGTTTCGCCAACAATCGTGGCGTCTTCAGGACAATATTACATTTGAAATAAAACAGTGAAGTACAAATTTTGCAGTTGTGTGGTTTGCCGAAAGTAACGTAACAATAAGCCAGTTGAATTGGTAAGGGATGGCCAGTGGGGTGTTGTCCAATTTGGAAATGAACTGACATTTTATGATCTACTTTCATCATTTCTACATAATTACCACTAGAAACCTCCATGAGAACAACTACACAGACGTGTAAGAATAGCAGCTAACCACATCGTTAATGACTTTATTGACTAACTTTCACATTTTACTTAACTAGATTCTTATTTTATTTTACTTTCACTTTCTATTTATATCTATAACGTCGTCATAACAACCTCTATTGTTACGTTACTTTCGGCGAACCACACAACCGCAAAATTTGTACTTCACTGTTTTATTTCATATGTAATATTGTCCTGAAGACGCCACGCTTGTTGGCGAAACATGTCGACCAGAATAAACTCCTACCATGCGGTAATTGATGGGTGTTGTTGTCTTTATTGTCGTTTATTTTACTTATATAGTGAAAGACAACTATGAATACCTTTCGGTATCCACCCACTATTACCCAACCGCACGATTACCACTTCAGGTGTTGGTTAACCTTGTTCAAATTCAAGTTTTCTAATACTTGTATAAATTGCTTATTTCTTGACCAATTTCAATGGGGTTTAATTCAAAGACTTCAATTCTTGAGATTCTTTAATATGCTGAATCTAACCATGTATTTAGATTTTGGATATTTGACCATGATGATAAATATCCAATTTCAAATTTTTAAGTTCCTAGATTACATTCATTCTGTGTCAGAAACCTATGCTGTGTCAAATATTTAATCACAATCCAAACTCACAGCGGTATCAAACTTAAACGTTGTGTCCATACTTGCCCAAACTCTTCAGTTGTATCAAGCTGTGCCCTGCAGAGCATTTTATTATACTTTGTTCTTATGTTGAACTGTTCCACCACTGTCTCAGGTTAGGGGGAGGGTTTGGTGCCAGCAAACATTTTTAACCCTGCCACATTCTGTATGTGACTGTCCCAAGTCAGGAGCCTGTACGTCAGTGGTTGTCGCTTGTTGCTGTATATCATATTGTTTTTCGTTTATTGTTTTGTACATGAATCAGGCCATCAGTTTTTTCATTTGAATTGTTTTACATTTGTCATTACAGGGCCTTTTATAGCGTACTATGCAGTGTGAGTTTTGCTGAGGGTGGGACAGTGACATACAGTTGTTAAATTCTACTTCATTAGGTCTCTGGTGGAGAGTTGTCTCATTGGCAATTATACCACTTCTTCTCATTTTTAGATTTTACCTTTTTGAAGTGGTAAGTGGTAATGATATATAATCTCATAACAAGATTAGTTACAGTAAAGTTATATGGACAAAAAAATAAACCATGGATGATAGCTAAATGATATCATTTAAACATCTTAATTTTTCCTTTTAGAAGATACATCGATCTACACAAATACATGGAGAACATCACAATACTTAATAAATGCATCATTTTATTTTAATTCTATCTTTTGTAGTATTCCTTCATCAATTATCAATTATAAATTATAATTTACATAAAATCAATTATCAGTTATAATTCACATAATATCAACTGATACTGAACTTTGAGCAGTAAATTATTTGATCAAAATCACTCTAAATTTAAATTGTCTTAATATATGAGTATATTTAAATCTGTAGTCTGTTTAAAACATCACATCTGAATAAATGTTTAAACTTGATATTGTTTATGAAACACACATTATCCGTATGACATCAAATTTGTTAACTTCTCTTGCTTAATAACTAGGACTGCAAGCACCATTACAATGTAAGGTAAATGTTATAGTTTGTATCAAGTCATTTAAACACAACTGTTCACTTTATTGCAGATATTTCTTGAACCATTCTACCATGTTAATGAAGGCATCAGCCTGACTATCTGTCTTTATAATGGGATGACTGTTTCCTTCATAAGATATCAATCTGAAAGTACATTATAACCCATTTAAAATTATTAAAGCAAGGGAAGATCTTATGCTCAGCAAGTTAATTCTATTATCAGGGCTGTTCCATAAAAAAACATAGGACTCTTTGGATGGTTGCCCATTTTCATATTGCCTCCCCTTGGTACCATGTATATTTTAATGGAACAGCCCTTAAAACATTAATGTTGTTTTCTTCCTCTTCATAGACAATAGCATTATGTATTTCTCAAACAGAAACACAATTTACTCAAGTACAATGTATCAATACAAAGATATAAGACAAATGAGGATGAACAGAAATATGTATTATGCTAGCACAATAATCATGACTTAATTATTTGTTCAAGTCAAGTCTTCACAGACATTTTTACTGACCCTACCTTATATTATGTGGCCTGGGTAAGCTAGTTTGCAGTTAAACAAGAAGATCAATGTCCAACTAAACACCTGAACCTTTACTATATACAAGACAGCAGATATTGAATCCACTTAAAGAATAACTCATCTATTCAAAAAACATAGTGTGATCACTGGACCATGAAAATTATATCAGGTATACAATATGAGTATACACATCTTTACATAATGAAAATAAAGAAGAAATATATCAAATTGGCCTTTTACTTATAGTGACTGAGAAAATTCCTTCATCACAAAAATGTAGCATAATATTTTTGATACAACCAATAAAATGAGGTCTGCTGTCATGATTACACTGACGTTGACCACAAGCGAAGCATATACATATTTTAGATTTTAGTGTTACAATTTTTTGGAATCTATTCAATCATGAAAATTTAATTCATATATTAGATAAAGACAACAGACATAATTAGGCCACTAGGAACCATGGTAAATGATATTTAAAACAAAATATTCAGATCATAAGGATACAAATATGTGCAATCTGTATGCTGAATTTCCAAACTGATATAGCTTAGGCTCAACTTCAATTTTAATTCATGACAAGCAAAACAAAAATTATAAAATTAAATAAATAAAGGAATTATTAACGACAAGTCAATTCTAATTCGCACCAAATTTTTTTCTCTGTTTTTCCTTTTCTCTGTTTTTCCTAAGTAAAGTAATAATTTTGCATAGGTTGATTACTTAAACATTTTGCAACATAGCTTTTTTAGATTAGAAATTATATCAAATCTTTAATGTTTATTTAAGTTGCATATTCATTATGCAAAACCATCAGCTGTGATTTATGATGAGTTTAACACAACATTTGGGTAACTATTGTAATATGTAGTGAATACAGAAAAATATATGTTAGACATAAAAGAACAAGAATGTGTCCATAGTACATGGATGCCCCACTCCCACTATCATTTTCTATGTTCAGTGGAACGTGAAATTGGGGTCAAAACTCTAATCTGGCATTAAAATTAGAAAGATCATATCATAGGGAACATGTGTACTAAGTTTCAAGTTGATTGGACTTCAACTTCATCAGAAACTACCTTGACCAAAGTTTTTAACCTGAAGCGGGACAGACAGAAGGACGAACCAACGGACGCACAGACCAAAAAACATAATGCCCCTCTACTATCGTAGGTGGGGCATAAAAATGTGTTCATGGGACACAAATGCTCCTTGTAAATATGCAAGAGTCAATGTACTTATTCAAACCTATTGACATTTTAAAACTTGATCATCTTAATGACATTTGTTTCTGTATGTTATTAGAGATTGTTCGGGGGGTTTGAATGCTCTCATTGTTCAATATCAAACAGTCATCTGTGTTTGGAAGTTATAAGAATTGTGTATAAGTTTCATAACATTTGGTTGAGGCAAAGTTAAGTAAGCATGCAGAAACAGCCAATTCACCAATTTTTCCTTTTATAAAGGAACTTAACTCAAGAACAGTGAAAGTGATGCCACCAAAATTCAAACTTGATCTGTATTTGGTGGTAATAAGCATTGTGTATAAATTTCAGAACATTAGGTTGTGGCAAAGTATAGCTACAGTGTGGAAACAGCAAATTTGCCCTTCTTTCAATTTATTAAGGGACAAAACTCAAAAATTGCAAAAATGACGCCACCTTAATTTGAACTGAATTTTGTGTTTGGTGGTAATAAGCATTGTGTAAAAGTTTCATAACATTTGGTGGAGGCAAAGTAAAGTAAGAGTGCAGAAACAGCAAATTCAGCAATTTTTCCATTTATGAAGGGAACAGTGAAGTTGACGCCACCCAAATTGTACTTGATCTGGATTTGGAGTTAATGAGCATTGTGTATAAACTAAATAAGAATTGGTCAATCCAAACTAAAAGTAAGTAAAACCACCATTGTTTTTTCCCTATTTCTCTTTGTTAAATTGACATTTTTCAAAAAAATGTGCAGAATTTATCTTTGTTTCAAATAAAGATATAGTTGGCATGTCAGTTTCACATAACACTTCATTGCATATAAGATAATAACCATCACTGGAAGTTAACCAATCAAATTGTCACCCCTTTTTTTCCTGTTTACAAGCTTTAGTAACCATGTCACCTCAAGTTTCAAAAATATTTCATAGAAACACCAAATAAAAAAAGATTATATGTTTATGACTCAGAATTTTTTTTCTGCAATGAAATGCAGGCTTAATTTCCTACAACTGTCAAATTCAAGGGAATATTTATTTTCAACCTTTTTTCGTATGAAACTGGATGTGACGTACCATGTTTAGGTGGTATTACACCTAAGAGAATGGAAACCAATTTTGGGATGTACGGACCAACGTCGTACAAATGTACAAGGGTAAACCTTAAGGCCCGCTCCGCCACGGATTTTATAAAAGTAAAATATCAAATATTCTTTCAGATAACATAGATATTCTAGCAACTACTGACAAAGCACTTAAGCAGTGAACAGTATCTCTGTAACTAATCAAAATCAAATATGACTTATTTAAAGTAGACAATTCAAGAATTTAATAGACGGAAAGGGAAGCAACACATTTTAAAAAAATTTGATACAACTATTATAAACAGCTTCTCATTGACTGTCAATGTGCTTGTTTTGATCTCCCAATTTAAAATCAACCTATTTTTCAATTATGTAGATTCAATCATTATTGTGGGTAAAAATTTTGGGAAAATTGTATTCGTAAATAAACAATTAAGGTGCATATTCTAAAGGCTTGGTCATATCATAAAACTAATTTGCAGTTTGAAATCATCTCTTCAAAACTGATCAACTGGTAAAATATTTAGCAAATTGCTAATGAAAGGCTGTTAGATTGAAATCATCTCTTCAAACTGATCAACTGGTAAAATATTTAGCTCATTGCTAATGAAAGGCTGTTAGTTTGAAATCATCTATTCAAACTGATCAACTGGTAAAATATTTAGCTCATTGCTAATGAAAGGCTGTTAGTTTGAAATCATCTATTCAAACTGATCAACTGGTAAAATATTTAGCTCATTGCTAATGAAAGGCTGTTAGTTTGAAATCATCTATTCAAACTGATCAACTGGTAAAATATTTAGCTCATTGCTAATGAAAGGCTGTTAGTTTGAAATCATCTCTTCAAACTGATCAACTGGTAAAATATTTAGCTCATTGCTAATGAAAGGCTGTTAGTTTGAAATCATCTCTTCAAACTGATCAACTGGTAAAATATTTAGCTCATTGCTAATGAAAGGCTGTTAGTTTGAAATCATCTCTTCAAACTGATCAACTGGTAAAATATTTAGCTCATTGCTAATGAAAGGCTGTTAGTTTGAAATCATCTCTTCAAACTGATCAACTGGTAAAATATTTAACTCATTGCTAATGAAAGGCTGTTAGTTTGAAATCATCTCTTCAAACTGATCAACTGGTAAAATATTTAGCTCATTGCTAATGAAAGGCTGTTAGTTTGAAATCATCTCTTCAAACTGATCAACTGGTAAAATATTTAGCTCATTGCTAATGAAAGGCTGTTAGTTTGAAATCATCTCTTCAAAACTGATCAACTGGTAAAATATTTAGCTCATTGCTAATGAAAGGCTGTTAGTTTGAAATCATCTATTCAAACTGATCAACTGGTAAAATATTTACCTCATTGGTGGTGAAAGGCTGTTGCAATTGCAGTTTCATAAAAAATATTCTTATGGTCCAATTCTAATGATTGACTGTCTGTTTACTGTACAAGGTCGACTGATTGAACAAATTTACAATATTGGGAACAATAATTTAAAAATAGTATGATTGGATTTGGAAACTTATCCAATCATATGATATTTCATAAATAATTAGTTCTAACTTCTAAACGTTATTTTATTCAGCAATAAATTGTTGTTTTAATCTCTAACAAAACATTTTCTTTACTTATTATGCATATGTTTTTTCTATAGTTATACTGATGCATTGGTGTTATATGTACATAATAATATGTAATGTAATCATAATGATAAACAAAATTAAAGTTATCCCCCTTTAATATCATGTTTTCCACAACATTTTTTACCAAATTTTCACTCATCTTACAAATGTATGTCAGCTTTCTTTTTAGAACAAATAACAATAGTTAAATAATTATTTAACCAATATTTAGAACTAATTACTTATGAGAGAAGTTTCAGTATGTATCCAAGTCATATAATTTTAAAAACTAGTGTTTCTGATATTGACTATCTAATCAAGAAGTCCAATTTGTAAAATAAACAGTCAGTCAAATACTAGAATTGGATGGCAGGAATTTTTTTTCTTACATTGCACATGTTTCATACTAGCAACCTTTCACTGGCAATGAGCTTAAATAATCTAACAGTTGATCAGCTTGAAGAGATTAATTCAAACTGCAACTATAAAAACATTTTAGCAAATCGGTATATGTAAAGACCAAACCTTTTGAATATGCACAGTAAGCTCAATCTCTATAACAATTTCTGAATATAAACCTATATGTAATGTGTATTTCAATCCCTAAATTCATGTTTCACCTTTCCCCTAGAAATAACCTAAATATACCTACAAATAATAACAAATCTACATATATAACTTCTTTCCTATGCCAACTGGTCTTGGTCTTGAATAGCTTTGAGAATACTCATTTGATCATAGGGGTATCTAGCAACCTAAGCTTATCAGGTTTTGCAGGGAAATTCAAGATACCTCGTTATTTTGTTACAAGCTTTGAATGCCCTGTGGATTTCTCTTCCTTGCTTAGGTGGGCATCTTAAATCATCCACACCTAACAATATTAACAATGGAGCCTCCATCTAAAAATGAGTGGAATATTTGTTAAGTTATATCCATTTTTCTTTTACCTTGTTAATTTATTTCTTGCTTTCAATCCTCTATAAAATTCTCTGCCCTGTTTGACTGGTACCCTTAAATCATCAGCACCTAACATAATTAGACAAGGAGCTTCCACCTGAAATTATCATGTATTGTCAGAAAACACAAGTTTTTATACACTATTTATATCTTTCCTTAATATTATTTTATGAAAAAATATGTATAAATGTCATTAAATGAATGAAATAGCAATTCAATAATAACTGTAAAGTTAAGTCGTCAGTGAATAATATGTTTTTTGTGGAAACAAACTATGTCAGTACAAATGCATATCTAATCCCTTCTTCAACTCAGTGAAGCATAAACTGAGGGGCTTGATGGGTTATTTTCGTTCTTCGTGATCGGCGCATTTTCGCTATCATGATCCGTTTTTCTACAGATTTTTTTTTTTTTTTATATTTTAGTGATCCGTGATCATGGAAATTTATTTTCTGTGAATCGTGATTGACAAAAAAATCAACTCGTGAATCGTGATGAGACCCCCCCATCAGGCCCCTCATAAACTGTGTGGGTCGAAATAACTTCCTTTTAGTAGGTGGCTTTTATACATGCCAAAATTCAATCTATACACTATATGATTGTAGAACACTTTGTCAATTTGAACTGAAGTTTGGATATACTATGCAAAATAAGTTAATGAAATGTATATCAGAGCAGACTGCCTTTGTTGAGATCTGTTATATTACCTATAGAAATATCCCTACATCAAATTATATGATTGTTTGTCACTTCATAAAAGAAAATTAAATTTAGCTTCTGTTATATTACCCTTAGGAATATCCCTACACCAAATTATATAATTGTTTGTCACTTAATATAAGAATATTAAATTTCAATCCTTTAACTTGATCTGGATTTTTTGGGTCATAAAACTTGATCAAAGTCATTCTACCATGAAAAAACGGTTACATGACCTTCACCATAAGTCTTTTAGTCAGCCTCCTCAAGAAGTACCTATAGACTATATTACATCGTTGTAAATCAAGCAAAAACTATAAAGTCCTCTTTAATTTCATTTGTGCAAAATGAATATCAGAAGAATCACAGTTAACACAGATTTCTGTAAAGTCCTAAACATCAGTATACCTGATCAATATATCTAATAGGGGACTTCCTCCACATATCTGTTAATATATTCTCATTTAATGCTGCCTTGTGGTCAAACGGATGTCCACTTTCATAGAACGACCTTAAAAAGAAAGAGAATTTACTTTAACTATACTGTTTAATAATTTCAATAAACATATTCTAAATGTATTTCCATATCAGTGAAGCTAATTGAACTAAAATGACATTGTGAAATAAAAGACTTCATGAGCCTGATTCCCTTACCTTGAGTTCAAATTACGTAAAACCTAACAGTTCATGAATGGTTTTTAAATAATTCAGGCAGTTTACAAAATAAGACTGTTCCAGTAGTTTCAGATGACCACTTTGTAAATGCATTTTCTAAGATTATATGAAAAGGGGGGAGTACACCTTTTATTGGGAACTAACTTTACTTTTTGAATGGTATGAAGTTTACCTATGCTGTTTATTTGTAAGAAGGTGTGTATACAGCACTGGCTAGCATAAGGTTGCTGTTTATTTGTAAGAAGGTGTGTTTACAGCACTGGCTAGCATAAGGTTGCTGTTTATTTGTAAGAAGGTGTGTATACAGCAGTGGAGAGCATAAGGTTGCTGTTTATTTGTAAGAAGGTGTGTTTACAGCAGTGGCTAGCATAAGGTTGCTGTTTATTTGTAAGAAGGCATGTATACAGCAGTGGCTAGCATAAGGTTGCTGTTTATTTGTAAGAAGGTGTGTATACAGCAGTGAAGAGCATAAGGTTGCTGTTTATTTGTAAGGTGTGTTTACAGCAGTGGCTAGCATAAGGTTGCTGTTTATTTGTAAGAAGGTGTGTCTACAGCAGTGGCTAGCATAAGGTTGCTGTTTATTTGTAAGAAGGTGTGTTTACAGCAGTGGCTAGCATAAGGTTGCTGTTTATTTGTAAGAAGGTGTGTATACAGCAGTGGAGAGCATAAGGTTGCTGTTTATTTGTAAGGTGTGTTTACAGCAGTGGCTAGCATAAGGTTGCTGTTTATTTGTAAGAAGGTGTGTTTACAGCAGTGGCTAGCATAAGGTTGCTGTTTATTTGTAAGAAGGTGTGTTTACAGCAGTGGCTAGCATAAGGTTGCTGTTTATTTGTAAGAAGGTGTGTATACAGCAGTGGAGAGCATAAGGTTGCTGTTTATTTGTAAGAAGGTGTGTATACAGCAGTGGAGAGCATAAGGTTGCTGTTTATTTGTAAGGTGTGTTTACAGCAGTGGCTAGCATAAGGTTGCTGTTTATTTGTAAGAAGGTGTGTCTACAGCAGTGGCTAGCATAAGGTTGCTGTTTATTTGTAAGAAGGTGTGTTTACAGCAGTGGCTAGCATAAGGTTGCTGTTTATTTGTAAGAAGGTGTGTATACAGCAGTGGAGAGCATAAGGTTGCTGTTTATTTGTAAGGTGTGTTTACAGCAGTGGCTAGCATAAGGTTGCTGTTTATTTGTAAGAAGGTGTGTCTACAGCAGTGGCTAGCATAAGGTTGCTGTTTATTTGTAAGAAGGTGTGTTTACAGCAGTGGCTAGCATAAGGTTGCTGTTTATTTGTAAGAAGGTGTGTATACAGCAGTGGAGAGCATAAGGTTGCTGTTTATTTGTAAAAAGGTGTGTATACAGCAGTGGAGAGCATAAGGTTGCTGTTTATTTGTAAGGTGTGTTTACAGCAGTGGCTAGCATAAGGTTGCTGTTTATTTGTAAGAAGGTGTGTATACAGCAGTGGCTAGCATAAGGTTGCTGTTTATTTGTAAGAAGGTGTGTCTACAGCAGTGGCTAGCATAAGGTTGCTTTTTATTTTTCAACTCAGCTTTTAATTGGTATGTTTATGGATATACAGAAACATTGCAAATTTTCTCTTAAAACTAGGAACTTTAAAAATGTGGCTACAGGAATACCCAGTCCTAGACATGTATGTAATTTTGGTAATGTAAAATAAGCAAAGAAAGCATCTTGTTTCAAACATTTTCGGTAAAGATTTATGACATTTTTGATCATGTTTCACTTTGAAAAGGACATTCTACTTGCAAAATATAAAATTTGAAAAGGTGGTGTTCTCCAAATATTTCCATAATTGTTACAATCTTCCCAATTCAGCTCATATTTTATCCCAATCTAGTTTTCATTTATATCCTCATAAACACATTGAATCGATCATGAATTTGTCCTAAATTAAAATTATTGCAATCTTATCCCATCAACTTGAACAATTTAGAAGGATAATGCATACATACTGAAATCTGTTGTTCAATTGTGATGCTACTTTTAAATTGGGCAAATGTATAAAGGAGTTAAATCTAGTTTCTGAAAATTGCCACTAAATCAATGTTATGTATAAATGTATGCGTGTAAGTACAGAAAGTGCCAAAATCAGGTAATCAGGAATAAACTGCTTCGCTGAGCGCAGCTGGATACGCCCGCAGAGGTCCAACCCTGAACAGTTGGGGAAAAAATGGACACAATATTCAAGCTTGATACAGGTCTGAATTCGGTTTGTAATTAAATATTTGACATATTATTAGTTTCTGAATAAATGTAGTCAAAGAACTTCAAATTGGTTATATGAATTGAATTTATATTCAATTAAAGATTTCTTGCTGTTGTGCAATACTTAGTAAATCTGTTGTCAGACTATTAACAAATAAAAGTTCAATTTCTTCTCAATGTCATATTTGAAATTTAAGAAAATCAATAGGGAGACTACATCAATAGTTATAAATAATTCACCAATGTTTCATGAGAACTGCTGAAAGCATTTTTGAGTTATTGTTCAAAAACTGGAAAATCCTCCCTTTTTTAATGAATAAAACCCCATAACTCAGAAATGTAAAATCTAAAATTTATAAAATTCTAAAGGGAGCTTACATCAACAGATATAAACAAATCACCAAAGTTTCATGAGAACTGATGAAAGCATTTTTTATTTATTGTCCGAAAACTGGAAAATCCCCCTTTTTTATGAATAAAACCCTGTAACTTGGAAACGTAAAATCTAAAATTTATAAAAATCGAAAGGGAGCTCATGTCAATAGATATAAACAATTCACCAAAATTCCTTGCAAGTTGGAGAAAGCATTCTTGAGTTATTGTCGGAAAACTGGAAGATCCCAATTTTTAATGAATAAAACCCCAAAACTCGGAAATACTAAATCTGAAATTTATAAAAAATGAAAGGGAGCTCACGTCAATAGATATAAACAATTCACCAAAGTTACATGCATATTGGTTAAAGTTTTTTTGAGTTAATCTGACATGTTGACGACGGGCGGATGGACAGACCCTCAACGGTATATCATAATACGTCCCGTAAACGGGCGTATAAAAATTCAATATTTTAGTTTCTTTAAAATATTTTTTGATTGAAGCCAAATGATAATACAAATGTGTATCTTAGAATTTTGTTTCTATTTTTTTGACAGTCTCCATTTTCATATCAGTGCTATATTGACCCCTTGTAATCATTCTGAAAAATTTTAAGCAAAACTAATCTGGGAAGATTCTGCCTCTATGCTGCTGTCAGCTCATTATATAACAGGACCAACTTTCAATTATTTTTACTAAAGGAAATAGTACATTGTCAAACAAAAGATGCTTTCCTGTCTCACATAACCCAATTCTATAAAGACAAGACACACAAAAGTAGGTTTATGAAATATACATGTTTATATACCATTTAGACTTTGCTATGGCATCACAACCAGTCAAGCTCTTGAAACAATAACACAAAAGTTGAAAATAATACAAGCAACAAATTTTCCAAAAAAAAACCAAATCATCTTCATCTTAATATGGTCATATGTTACTTAATGAATATATGCAAACTTAAAAGAAGAAATTTAAAATCAAATAGATGACTACAATTCATTAAGGAATAAAAGTTTACATTGTTACTGGAAGTTTTATCCTTTTAATGACTGTAAACAAACTTACCAATCAGGGATATCTGTTGATCCTACCATAGCTGAAAGAAAGATCAAATACGGTTTTATCTATTTCAAGTATATATTTCTTTCTTTATCTCCTTACCTGTTAATAAATAAATAAAATATACCTATTAATTATCCAAGGATCATCACAATCCACATCTGACATTAATTACAATATTTTATTAAAACCTGATAAGTTTTATGTTTTACTTTATGGGCTTCATTCTAAAGCAGAATATAGTCACCTTCATTGAGGGTGGTAAAGGGTATTTTCGTGCAACATGTTTTGCCATTTTTATTTCAAGTGCAGCCGTGAAAAAGGTTCGTTATTCACCGTGTTTCGTGAAATCTGTAAAAAGATCAGGTGCAAGAAATTTTTAATTGTTCGATCATCGTGAAATGGAAATTTTATTTCGCATTCTTCCGTGCAGATACCCCCCCTTTATGCCCCTCTTCATTTAAAAGTAGGGGGTATAGTTTTCTGTCTGTGTATCTGTAAATCTATTGTCTATTCATGGGAACTGTTTCTGGTCTTAGGAATTTTAAATGAAGTAGATGTGACTTCATCCATCAAATCATAAAAATGTAAACAATTCAAAAATATTTTAAGTCAACATTAAAGTCTGACCATAATTGTATGGATGACTTATAGCAATATAGGTTTTGGTAAAGACTGAACATGTTTTAGGTTGAAAATTTGACATAAGTATGTCATAACACTATCAGCGATCTTGATCTAAAAAGAAAAAAATATATACCCGTATATGCATTAAAAGAGAATGGGTTGACGTCATTTTTCATGGCTGATTGTGATCATAAATAAGACTTTAGCTTAGAATGAGGATAATGAGAAGCAGATGGAATACCAACATGACCTTGTAAATTTCTAAAAATAACAATCTGACTTTATCATCATGGTTGACTGATCTCAATGTACATCTTACATAAATCTTGTGATAAACTTTAATGTAATGTCAATGTGGAATATCAACCAATATATGTGACCAGCCACGAGATTTTCAGGGTTATAGAGGTACCAGGGTCAAAATGATTTATTTTGCACTTATTATGAAGTATACATAGATTCAAAACACCCTGACAAGTTATTTTGATAGATTTTGCAAAATAACAGAATTATGGTAATTTTTGTTACTTTCAATTTTATCACAAATTCTAGTTTTTTTTCAATTTTCATATGTATGTTCATCTATTATAGGTATCTTTGAAATAGAAAATTTTCAAATAAATCTGTCACTCCAATTTTTATTGTGAGTTAAGACATTTACCATATGCTTAGTCATAATATGATAACAAGAGAAAAATATTTAAAAATACCAATTTTGGACATTAAAAATGGTGATAGCTCAAAAAGGAGAAATACTAAAATCGTGAAAATTGAACTTGACCTTCATTTAGTCACAAGAAACAACATATCTAAATTTGAAAAAAAAGATCATCACAGCCTTTTCATGTTATTGAAGAGACACTGTTTGGCAGCCGCCCGTCCGCCTGCCCGTCCACCAGAGCCAGCCGTACATCCCCAAATCAATAACTGATATTTCCTTTGAAAATCCAGTTAATGAAACTTTATTTTACCACATGATATAATTGGACATTCAATAACAGGTGCCCGATTAGGTTACACAACTTTACATCTATGTTTTCTCATTATGACATTTACCACCATAATCCTGGACATGTCATGGTGGGTATAAATGAATTCAATATTTATGTAGAAAAGAAAAGGGTGACCTAAATTTCATGGTTGACTGGTCACAACTGAGACTTTTGTTTAGACTGAGATAAAGGTTTAGGTTTAAGGTACTTCGCTATGAAGAACAAATTATTTCAACATGAAGATAATTCTGCAAATGCAACAAAATTTATCTGAACAGAGGTCATAAATTAACATTCACAATTCACATGTCATAGATAATAGCTGAGATTCTAGTAACAAATACGTCATTTTTTTTTTTAAAGTATTTGATGCCATGACACTGTTGTCCTTTTGATACAGTTTATGATTTCTTTATTTTTTTTAAAGGTCTTTTAACAATTATTATATCACTTACTTGATAAGTTAATCACTGGATTTCGACAACAGGCTGCTTTGTAAAATTTCTGCAAAATACAATGAAATTCTTGTAAACTACATCAAAAGATAAAATAAGTAGCATGCCTAAGACAAAATGTACGAAAGGTCACTGTGATCAAATGGTCACTAGTTGCATGTTAATTCAGGACAACACATTTCCATATTGACACAATTTTAAGCTATAAAAAATTTTTAAGTATTTTTTTTATTTTTTAGCATTAGTATTAGCATCTATCAATCCTGTATTGTTACAAATGGGAAGACATCTAGTAAATCTACACAAGAAATCACCAGTAGCTAGTTTTAATGTTTCCGTATATTTTTTTTTAAAGAATCCTTTTTTTTTTCATCAGATATTTTTTTTAGCATGGACAAGAATATACTTTTTATTATTACACCAGCATACAATTTTGATCCTGAAAACAGTCAAAACTTACTGGATATTGACCAATCAAATGTGCTGTAAGAAATCCTCCATGAGAGCCACCAAACACTACAACCTTGTCACCATTTACTTTGCCAGAACTAACAACTTCTTCTGCTGCTGCCTATTAATATAAAAGATCAATAATAGTCCTTATACAAAGCCGTGCAAAACAGGTGCAACTCCTCTCATCCAACCACCTTCCCAAAGAAGGCAGTTTCAAGGCACCATACAAAGACCCGTGCAAAACAGGTGCAACTTCTCTCATCCAACCACCTTCCCAAAGAAGGCAGTTTCAAGGCACCATACAAAGCCGTGCAAAACAGGTGCAACTCCTCTCATCCAACCACCTTCCCAAAGAAGGCAGTTTCAAGGCACCATACAAAGACCCGTGCAAAACAGGTGCAACTTCTCTCATCCAACCACCTTCCCAAAGAAGGCAGTTTCAAGGCACCATACAAAGCCGTGCAAAACAGGTGCAACTTCTCTCATCCAACCACCTTCCCAAAGAAGGCAGTTTCAAGGCACCATACAAAGACCCGTGCAAAACAGGTGCAACTTCTCTCATCCAACCAGCTTCCCAAAGAAGGCAGTTTCAAGGCACCATACAAAGCCGTGCAAAACAGGTGCAACTTCTCTCATCCAACCAGCTTCCCAAAGAAGGCAGTTTCAAGGCACCATACAAAGCCGTGCAAAACAGGTGCAACTCCTCTCATCCAACCAGCTTCCCAAAGAAAGCAGTTTCAAGGCACCAAAATGAAAAAATCTTCTAGATGATTATTTGTCACAATATTAGCTGAAATATTTTTTTTCTCTTTTTCCATATAGAAATTAGTAATTTTATGAATACAAGTTATATTAGTTTATTTCTTATCAAAGTCTGTCAAGGGATTAATTGTGTGCAGTATGAATCGTCTACAGCATTTTATCAAAGTGATCCTTCAGTTAACAAACACAGTATTTTATTTTACTAGTTTTAAAAGAAACAAAATGTTTTACATTCATGTAGTATAGCTGGTCATTGTAAATTTCAAATGTAAATGTATACAAAAATTTTATTGTATATTTTATGTCTTAAAAGTCTCTCATAAATCTTTTTAAGATTAGTGCATACATTGCAAATGTTTTAACTGTTTTATGTGTTATTATGTGAATCTTATTTTATGTCTGTATGTGGTGAGACTATAATAAAATATTGAATCTGAATCCTTTAGTTCCCATTCACACCTTTAATCAACCATCAAGGTTTAACACAGTGATCCTTTAGTTCCCATTAACACCTTTAATCAACCATCAATGTTTAACACAGTGATCCTTTAGTTCCCATTCACACCTTTAATCAACCATCAAGGTTTAACACAATGATCCTTTAGTTCCCATTAACACCTTTAATCAACCATCAAGGTTTAACACAGTGATCATTTAGTTCCCATTAACACCTTTAATCATCCATCAAGGTTTAACACAGCGACCCTTTAGTTACCATTCACACCTTTAATCAGCCATCAAGGTTTAACACAATGATCCTTTAGTTCCCATTAACACCTTTAATCAACCATCAAGGTTTAACACAGCAATCATTTAGTTCCCCTTCACACCTTTAATCAACCATACAAGATAATGCTAAGAAATTTTATTAAGGGATTTATTGAAAAGAAAACTGCTATATGTATCTTTGGACTTAAAACAAACAGAAACAGTAATTGCTTAATCTAAAAAAAAAACTGGCAAAGTATATTTGGAACTGTCAGCACCCATTTTGACCTATTCCATATTTGAAAACAAAGAACTAATCAAATCTACTAAACAAACACAGATAGAAAATTCCATAAATTACAAAAAATTTTAAATTCCACACTTGAATTGAAATATTTTTGCATCCCTTGATATACAATTTTAAATTGGATATTTTTCCCTTTATGTTTTATTGTTTAATGTATTTGAATTAAAGGTGATATGGGTCATTATCTACAGGCATAACGAAAAATTGTTCAGACAACCGTTCTTCCGGTATAGAAATCATGACTGCTGTGCAGCATGTATTTATATGCAAATGTCTGGTCTGAATGTGAATGATGAATCTAATGCCTTGTAAAGGGAGAATAAGACTCTCTCTACTGGTAAAAGAATTAATAGATTGATTGATAGGTGTTTAACACCACTTTTGGCACTTTTTGCCATAAAAAGATTCTGTCTATCTATTATAGTTTTCAAAATTACACGCAATAATGCAAAAAATTGGGAAAAATCGCATTTAAGGGTAATAACTTCAACAAAGAGTCAACTGAAGATTTCCGTCATGTTTGACTCATTTGTAGATCTTGACTTGGTGATCATTTTTGCTTTTTAAAGTTTCTTTCTATCTATTACAGTTTTTAAGATATATATATGCAATAAAATGCTCCGCTGGGGCGCAGCTTGATACGACCGCAGAGGTCGAACCCTGAACAGTTGGGGCAAGTATGGACACAACATTCAAGCTTGATACAGCACTGAATTTGTTTTGTAATTAAATATTTGACACAGCATAGGTTTCTGACACAGAATGAGTGTGATCTAAGAACTTAAAATTTTTTAATTTACCTATTCAAACCATATCATTATTATTTGCTTTTATATATAAATCAGAAATAACCAATTTAAAATGGAAAATTTTAAAGAAAAAAAAGGAAAAAAAATCCCCCCCCCCAAATTTTTTGAACCCCCTTATGATTCATCACCCCCAAACTCAATCCCAGCCTTCCCTTTGTGGTATGGTACCTTGCAGTACAATTTCAGAGAGATCCATACACTTACACACAAGTTATTGTCCTGAAACTAGAAAAATGCTTGTTTTTTTGCCCCTTTTTGGCCCCAAATTTTTAAACACTTAAGGCAATTACCCCCAAACTCAAACCCAGCTTTCCCTTTGTGATATGGAAACTTGTAGTACAATTTCATAAAGATCCATACACTTACACACAAGTTATTGTCATGAAACTAGAAAAATGCTTGTTTTTTTGCCCTTTTATGGCCCCTAATTCCTAAAATTTTGAGGCAATTACCCCCAAAATCAATCCCAGCCTTCCCTTTGCGGTATGGTACCTTGCAGTACAATTTCAGAGAGATCCATACGCTTGAACAAAAGTTAGTGTCTGGAAACTAGAAAAATGCTTATTTTTGGCCCCTTATTCCTAAACGTTTTGGGCAATTACCCCCAAACTCAATTCCAGCTTTCCCTTTGTGATATGGAACCTTGTAGTACAATTTCATAAAGATCCATACACTTACACACAAGTTATTGTCATGAAACTAGAAAAATGCTTGTTTTTTGCCCCTTTTTGGCCCCTAATTCCTAAAATTTGGAGACAATTACCCCCAAAATCAATCCCAGCATTCCCTTTGTGATATGGAACCTTGTGGTACAATGTCAGAGAGATCCATACACTAACACACAAGTTATGTCTGGAAGTTACAAAAATGCTTATTTTTGGCCCCTTTTTGGCCCCAAATTCTTTAACTGTTGGTACCATAACCCCCAAAATCAATCCCCACCTTCCTTTTGTGGTATTGAACCTTATAGTAAAATTTCATAGAGATCCGTTCACTTAAACTAAAGTTAGAGTGCGATAACCAATGTGTCTTCGGACGACGACGACGACAACGCCAACGTCATACCAATTTACGACATAAAAACCAATAAAATTGGTAAATTTCGTCCAATAAATAGCAATTACTCCAATAATGAGTTGTCTGATGATTTCAGTCATGATGACTTATTTGTAGATCTTGTCTTGTTAATCATTTTTCCTAATAAATTTTTTCAGTATCTATTATAGTTAATCAGAATACTGTAAATTAAGAAATTATTGCGATGTTTTTATTATTGCGAAAAATGCGACAGGGTTATAATCGCAATAATTTAAACTCGCATTTTAAAATTTTTTATATGAATTAAACAGGATTTTTCACAATATCGCAAAAATTAAAATCGCATTTTAGTCCAAAATGACAAAATCGCAATAATAAATGCACGCAATAATTTCTGAATTTACAGTAATAGACAACTAGAGGCTCTCAAGAGCCTGTGTCGCTCACCTGACTCTACTTTGGTTTTAGAAATCATGTAAAGATAGATAAAAATCATAACAGATACCCAAATAATAATGATTGAGGCCAAATTTGGATTAATATTGGTCCCGTTATTTAATAAAATATCCTGGTGGCCATCTTGAACAGTAAATCAGCAACAAAGTAGCAGCACATGGTCAGCACCTCATAAGGAACATTCATGCCATGTTTGGTTTCATTCCATTCAGTGGTTCTCTAAAAGAAGACATTTGTATGTATTTCACATAGGGTCCTATGTTAAACTAAGTCCCCCGCTGGCGGCCATCTTGGATGATGGATCGGCTGCAAAGAAACAACACTTGGTCAATACCTCATAAGGAACATTAATGCCATGTTTGGTTCCATTCCATTCAGTAGTTCTCTAAAAGAAGACATTTTGTATGTATTTCCCATAGGATCCTATGTTAAATTAAGTCACCCACTGGCGGCCATCTTGGATGATGGATCGGCTGCAAAGTAACAACACTTGGTCAGCACCTTATAAGGAACATTCATGCCATGTTTGGTTTCATTCCATTCACTGGTTCTCTAAGAGAAGACATTTGTATGTATTTCCCATAGGGTCCTATGTTAAACTAAGTCCCCCGCTGGCAGCCATCTTGGATGATGGACCGACTGCAAAGTTACAACACTTGGTCAGCACCTTATAAGGAACATTCATGCCATGTTTTGTTTCATTCCATTCAGTGGTTCTCTAAAAGAAGACATTTGTATGTATTTCCCATAGGGTCCAATGTTAAACTAAGTCCCCTGCTGTCGGCCATCTTGGATGATGGACCGACTGCAAAGTAACAACATTTGGTCAGCACCTCATAAGGAACATTCATGCCATGTTTGGTTTCATTCCATTCAGTGGTTCTCTAAAAGAAGACATTTGTATGTATTTCCCATAGGGTCCTATGTTAAACTAAGTTCCCCGCTGGCGGCCATCTTGGATGATGGATCGGCTACAAAGTAACAACACTTGGTAAGCATCTCATAAGGAACATTCATGCCATGTTTGGTTTCATTCCATTCTGTGGTTCTCTAAAAGAAGACATTTGTATGTATTTCCCATAGGGTCCTATGTCAAACCAAGTCCTTTGCTTGGGGCCATCTTGGATGATGGATCGACTGCAAAGTTACAACACTTGGTCAGCATCTCATAAGGAACATTCATGCCATGTTTGGTACCATTCCATTTATTGGTTCTCTAAAAGAAGACATTTTTATGTATTTCCCATAGGGTCCTATGTTAAACTAAGTCCCCCGCTAGCGGCCATCTTGGATGATGGATCGGCTACAAAGTAACAACACTTAGTCAGCACCTCATAAGGAACATTCATGGCATGTTTGATTTCATTCCATTCAGTGGTTCTCTAAAAGAAGACATTTGTATGTATTTCCCATAGGGTCCTATGTTAAACTAAGTTCCCCGCTGGCGGCCATCTTGGATGATGGATCGGCTACAAAGTAACAACACTTGGTCAGCACCTCAAAAGGAACATTCATGCCATGTTTGGTTTCATACCATTTAGTTGTTCTCTAAAAGAAGTCATTTGTATGCATTTCCCATAGGGTCCTATGTTAAACTAAATTCCCCGCTGGCGGCCATCTTGGATGATGGATCGGCTACAAAGTAACAATACTTGGTCAGCACCTCATAAGAAACATTCATGCCATGTTTGGTTTCATTCCATTCAGTGGTTCTCTAGAAGAAGTTCAAAATGTAAAAAGTTTACGCCGACGACGGACGACGCCGGACGCCGCCGGAAGACGGACGACGGACGCCAAGTGATGAGAAAAGCTCACTTGGCCCTTCGGGCCAGGTGAGCTAAAAATGAAAAAAAATGATAAAGTTTGACACTTAAGGGCTTTAACTTCTATAAGAAGTCCTCGGACAGTTTTGACATAAGGCCTTTAGGCCAGGTGAGCTAAAAATTTGTAAGGGTTCCGTGGAACCTAGTGTCTCGCCTACTTTTGCTGTTAATCGCAGGCTCAACAAAAATGAGGAAAAAATTAATAAAAATATTCCTCTCTATACTATCTTTTGATTGTAAGTAGCTTCTGTCCAAGTTTGGTAAAAATCCAGGATAGTTTATGAATCTAATGTTTTAAAAACTTAAACTGCAGACTGTATGTAATGTTAACTGGAAGAAAAACTAAGTCCATTTATAAGTAAAATACAGAAAAAATTGAACAAAATTTTAACAAAATTTCCTTCTAGATACTAGCTTTTAATCATAAACAAGCTTCTGTCCAAGTTTGGTACAAATCCAGGATAGTTTAAGAAAGTTGTTAAAATTTTAAAAACTTTAACCACAGAGTGAATGTAATGTTAACTGGCAGAAAAACTAAGTCCATTTATAAGTAAAATACGGAAAAAATGGAATTTTTTTTTTTACAAAATTTACTTCTGGATACTATCTTATGATCATAAACAAGCTTCTTTCCAAGTTTGGTAGAAATCCAGGATAGTTTAAGAAAGTTGTTAAAATTTTAAAAACTTTAACCACAGAGTGAATGTAATGTTAACTGGCAGAAAAACTAAGTCCATTTATAAGTAAAATACGGAAAAAATGGAATTTTTTTTTTTACAAAATTTACTTCTGGATACTATCTTATGATCATAAACAAGCTTCTTTCCAAGTTTGGTAGAAATCCAGGATAGTTTAAGAAAGTTGTTAAAATTTTAAAAACTTTAACCACAGAGTGAATGTAATGTTAACTGGCAGAAAAACTAAGTCCATTTATAAGTAAAATACGGAAAAAATGGAATTTTTTTTTTTACAAAATTTACTTCTGGATACTATCTTATGATCATAAACAAGCTTCTTTCCAAGTTTGGTAGAAATCCAGGATAGTTTAAGAAAGTTGTTAAAATTTTAAAAACTTTAACCACAGAGTGAATGTAATGTTAACTGGCAGAAAAACTAAGTCCATTTATAAGTAAAATACGGAAAAAATAGAATTTTTTTTTTTACAAAATTTACTTCTGGATACTATCTTATGATCATAAACAAGCTTCTTTCCAAGTTTGGTAGAAATCCAGGATAGTTTAAGAAAGTTGTTAAAATTTTAAAAACTTTAACCACAGAGTGAATGTAATGTTTCCTGGCAGAAAAACTAAGTCCATTTATAAGTAAAATACGGATAAAATGGAATTTTTTTTTTACAAAATTTACTTTTGAATATTATCTTATGATCATAAACAAGCTTCTGTCCAAGTTTGGTAGAAATCCAGGATAGTTTAAGAAAGTTATTAAAATTTGAAAAACTTTAACCACAGAGTGAATATTTGTGGACACCGCCGACGACGACGGAATGTAGGATCCCTATGTCTCGCTTTTTCGACAAAGGTCGAAGGCTCGACAAAAATTAACCTCTAACCTGACAATCTTTAACATCCTGGTCACCAACATTCCCTGGCAATGATCTTAAATTATTGTCACCAAATCCTAAGGAGCCTCTGTAGTTTACTGTAAAATGTATATGAAATAAGAGTGAACACACTAAAATGTCTCAACTGCTTTATTGATTACAAAATTTACATGTATACAGACATTTGTACTTATCACTTTCTGTATATTTAATTTGCTTTATCTTGGTATAAAAGTTACAATTATCATTTTTTTATTCATATGTAGCTCTTCATGCTCTAATTAGATGCAAAATAGCATTAAATAAAACTGTGAAGTGGGCAATTTATATGCATGTACATGTTACCTTTGTAAGGCATTTGACCATGTGATTATATATATATATTTTTTAAAAGAATGGAATAACCTATGCACAACAGAACATCATGACTTCAGCAAACATTGATTAAACTTCAGAAACACTGTTCATATAGTAAATTCTTTGAAAAAGGTAAAAAGGGCTTTAATGTTTATCATACTCAGGATTATTGCATTATCTTTAATAAAATTAATAAATTATGGTCTGATTTTTTGGGGGGAAAAGTTTAAATATTTGAAAGTAATTTTAGTTGTGGTGTTGATCAGAGGTCAACAAACTGTCTTCAAATATAGACTGGTATCTTTATCATATGTCCAGCTCTAAATTGGCCACAATTTCTATCACTTTGATCCATGGTTCATTACAATCATCCACTTTAAATGAAAAAAGTTTCACATTATTATAAGAATACCCTCAGTGAATAAATACTTTGTGGGAGTAATATTTACATACAACTATCTTAACATTAAATAACTAGACATCATTGAGATGGGAGCTATCTCTGTGGGCCCCGCTGTGAATAATGTGTGGTAAAAATTTGTATCTTTACCAAAGTTTTTGAGCTTGACCTTTGACCTAGGAAGTTGTACATACATTATGACACATCCTCTGGTGTTGGATAATATAAATGTCAAGTATAAACTTTGAAATCATAATGGTTCTCTAGATATAGAGTGGACACGATCTTCACTATAGGACATGGGGTTGTCAACTGAAAACCAAAGTTTTTGACCTTGACCTTTGACCTAGGAAGTTGTACATACATTATGACACACCCTCTGGTGTTGGTTAATATACATGTAAAGTATAAACTTTGAAATCATAATGGTTCTCAAGATATAGAGCGGACACGATCTTTACCATAGGACCTGGGGTTGTCAACTGAAACCCAAGTTTTTGACCTTGACCTTTGACCTAGGAATTTGTACATATATTATGACACACCCTCTGGTGTTGGTTAATATACATGTCAAGTATAAAGTATGAAATCATAATGTTTCTCTAGATATAGACCGGACACAATTTGTTACGGCCGGACAGACGGACGGACGGACAGACAGACGGTACAACAGACGGACGGACAGACTGATCACTAATGGGCGATCCGCCATTCGGCGCGGCCATAATAAAAATAATACAGTCGACCTCGTTATGTGTAAGTCGAAGGGACCGGACCAAAGTATTCGACTTATCCGAGGTCGAGTGTGTCGTCATAAATTTGGAATACATGAAATACGTTATGAGATTTGTGTAAACCAGATACTTTGAACAGTGTGCCTTTTTTCGATATAACACTTTTTGATTGTGTATTCAATCTCCATATTTTTTGGTTCTTCATATTAATCAAACACACAAGTCCTAATTCAGATCATGCACAAAACAAAAAAAAAATCAATAGTAAACACAAATATTTACAAAGGTCAGTCACTATATATAAATTATGAAATCACTCGCGGAACGAAACAAGTTCTAAACGGTCTCTGATGAGGTCGTCTGCTATACATTAAATTATTATTAAATGATCATAATTGTCTTAACTTTATTTATTGTAATTAATTAATTTTAATTCTAACGATTCATTTAATCTCGGCTTGGGTCATTTAAATTAGTTTCGTTTTTATATCACGTGAAATATGTTCAACACACTAACGTTCCACTTGGACAATCAACAAAGGTGTTAATTACCGGTCACCATAAACATGTCATTTTAACTGTTATACAAACAAGTATGTTTACTCAGCTGTAATCTCTTTTGTAAATGATTAGGTTACATAAGAAATACATCGATTTGAATTTTTATCATTAGGTCTGTATCTTTCGAAAAATTCTTACTTTCAATATTCGAGACATCAGGGTCAATTTACATCAATTATACATTGACGGGACTATAAAATTTACTCGACTTAACTGAGTATTTGAATCAACTGAGTTCGACTCATCAGAGGTAATAATGCATTGATCAAACAGGAATTTTACCGGGACAGAGAAATTACTTCAACACAACCGAGTTCGACACAACGAGGTTCGACTGTAATTCAAAATTATTTGTAGTGTTCACCTACTGTACAAAACTGCAAATCCACTGGCAATGAGACAGGAAGTGTATAACATATATCCTTCTGTAAAGACAGAATGAGGTCCTCCTGAAAAAACAAGTGTACAACACATATCCTTCTGTAAAGACAGAATGAGGTCCTCCTGAAATAACAAGTGTACAACATATATCCTTCTGTAAAGACAGAATGAGGTCCTCCTGAAATAACAAGCATACAGCATATATCCTTCTGTACAGACAGAATGAGGTCCTCCTGAAATAACAAGTGTACAACATATATCCTTATGTAAAGACAGAATGAGGTCCATATATCCTTCTGTACAGACAGAATGAGGTCCTCCTGAAATAACAAGTGTACAACATATACCCTTCTGTAAAGACAGAATGAGGTCCTCCTGAAATAACAAGCATACAACATATATCCTTCTGTACAGACAGAATGCTGTCCTCCTGAAATAACAAGTGTATAACATATATCCTTCTGTAAAGACAGAATGAGGTCCTCATGAAATAACAAGTGTACAACATATATCCTTCTGTAAAGACAGAATGAGGTCCTCCTGAAATAACAAGCATACAGCATATATCCTTCTGTACAGACAGAATGAGGTCCTCCTGAAATAACAAGTGTACAACATATATCCTTATGTAAAGACAGAATGAGGTCCATATATCCTTCTGTACAGACAGAATGAGGTCCTCCTGAAATAACAAGTGTACAACATATATCCTTCTGTAAAGACAGAATGAGGTCCTCCTGAAATAACAAGCATACAACATATATCCTTCTGTACAGACAGAATGCGGTCCTCCTGAAATAACAAGTGTATAACATATATCCTTCTGTAAAGACAGAATGAGGTCCTCATGAAATAACAAGTGTACAACATATATCCTTCTGTAAAGACAGAATGAGGTCCTCCTGAAATAACAAGCATACAACATATATCCTTCTGTACAGACAGAATGAGGTCCTCTTGAAATAACAAATGTACAACATATATCCTTCTGTAAAGACAGAATGAGGTCCTTCTGAAATAACAAGTGTACAACATATGACCTTCTGTAAAGACAGAATGAGGTCCTCCTGAAATAACAAGTGTACAACATATATCCTTCTGTAAAGACAGAATGAGGTCAATATATCCTTCAGTACAGACAGAATGAGGTCCTCCTTAAATAACAAGTGTACAACATACATCCTTCTGTAAAGACAGAATGAGGTCTTCCTGAAATAACAAGTGTATAAAAATTTGATAAAAAATAGATTCAAACAACTGATTTGGGCTATAAAGTATACTGTTTAAAAAGCAACAATAGATTAACATGCTTTACTGATTTTAACCTTAAATGTGTTATACTGCTAAGATAAACTTACCATATGTGATTTTTTAAAATATCTGAGACTTCTGGCATCACTCAGAGTTACTTACCATATGGAAACACAAGAAGTGGTGGTTTTCACATCTGAAATTTCTGAACAAATAGAATAACTTACCATGTGGGAACACAATAAGTGGTGGTTTAACATCCAAGACTTCTGGCATCACTAGAATTGTTTCATAGTTCAATGCTCCTGAAACAGAAGTTCCCACAATAAAATTTTAGCCTGGGTATCCCCTATTTGTAATACTTTCATAAAGCTTGTGGCTACAATATAAGTTTTTTTCCAAAGGACAAGGCTAATATGACAATATATTGAACAGATGGCAATCATGCTTATCTTGGTTGGCTGACAGATATTCTGTTCATTTAACTGATACGAATTTAGTTTTAAAAGAGATCACCATGACATAATTCCACTAATATAAAACTGTAATGGTTTAAATGGAAAAAAGAAACCATACTTTTAAAACTGAATTCTAAATGAAAAACAAGAGGCAGACAAAACGACAGCAAACCAGGTTTTTGTTCCATAATTAGAATCATTATTAAAACAATCAAGGGTCATTATCTTGCCATAATAAACAATATATCAAAATTTGAAAAGGATTGGACTAAGAACTCTTAAGTTATTCGATGGAATTGTCATAAAGTTCATTTCCCAAGCAATCAAGAAGCAAATCTACTGAAAAGCAAAATGAAAATTGAACTTAGACCTCCATTTTGTGGTCAATCACAACATATAAATATAAAAATAAATTGATTAAACAGTTCTCAAGCTATTGTAAAGAAAAAGATAGATCTACCACCTGTTATACTATCCCTAATAAATAGGTGTTTAATGCCCCTTTCAGCACTCTTAACTATGTTGTGGCAGTCAGTTTTTATTGGCGGAGGAAGCCGGAGTACATGGAGGGAACCACAGACCTTTGATAGGAAAACTTTCAATCCTAGTCAATTAAGATCTGAATCAAACACACCTACAAAGAGTGACTTCCAAACTCACAACCTCAGTGTTGACTGGCAAATGATTGCTTTAGATGAAATACTTAGACCACTCAACCATGGAGGCCCCCTTTTTAAGTGGAAAACCTGGTCAAAAAGCTAAAGTTTTAAACTTTTGTAAGTCCTAATTAAACTGTTCATTTTTTTTTACATTTTTTAAATGAAGGATAATTAAATACAAGTGAAAGCTGAAATAAATTTTCATCATTTACCAAATTTAGAATGGGGTCTGTCTGTTGGAGAGAATGTTTGAACTTCCCATGATATTCCAGGAACAGGTATAGGTTCATCAAGTGGACATACAGTAATCTCCCCTTCCTGTCCAGCAGCTGGCAAGGAACTTATAGCCTGTATAATGGAAATGGTATATATTTATTTGGTGTACCTTTTTCATAACAATATAATTTTATGCAGTTAATGTGGTTGATCGCAAGATAAAGGAGATTCTCTTAACAGATCAGTTCAGGCAATTTCAACAGGAATGACTGCATTTAAATCATGTTTACAGGTACTTAAAAGAGAATTAATTTTATCCAACAACTATCAATTATAATAACAGATCAGTAACCATCACTTACACACTTTGTTGTTGAAATCTACCAAATAAACCAGAGTTTTATCATGTTGTGGTCTTAAGCATATTAATTTTTTTTATAAAGGGTTGGCTAGAATTCATAATATTATGTATGAACTGTTACATCTTAATGATAATCACACAAGACATTAGTATATCTAAAATGCTTTGTTCTTTATTTCATTTTAAACTTCTACCTTGCTGTGTTATGACAAAGCAGGAAAAGTATCAAATATCTTGCTTTTTTACATTTCTCATAGAAATTTTGATATGAGTATGAATTTAAGCCCTTCCCAAGAAGTTGCTAAATTTGTCTTATATGATACAAATATATGTTTTTGGTAAGACTACTGTTAAAAAGTCTATTATTATGACAATCAGTTTTGGTCAATGAAACAACAAAATTCCAAATTGTTTGAGAATATCTCTTACTCTCAACTTGGAGTCTTTCGTATTTCGACGTTTCCATTTCATCTGTAAGATGATAAATCTTACAGAATTATGACAAAAAAGGAAAACGAACTTATTGTTATGTGTTTTTAACACAGGTTTCGTTTCGCAATATTATTTGTTCAAACAACATTTCAAGGTCAGTTATGGTGTCTATTTTTAGATACGTAAACATAGGGAATTACAGGTGATCATTAGGGTCATTATAACATTTGAATCTGTCATTATATCATTTGTTTACAGAGTGGAGTCTATCAGTATCAACAGTAATCAAGGAAACCCTTAATAAATAACAGGGCCCGTAATTTCAAGGAAGTATTAAAAACATGGTAAGAGTAATCAGAACGCGTAAACTGTGCTACTTTTAATTTAAAACAAATAATGCGAGATAAGATTACATTACTATAACGTGCGTAGTGATTTTACGATAATTTTATGAATGAACGATAATTTTATGAATGAACAAGAGCAACTTGACCTCTTTCAAAAAGAAAAATGAATCAAACAACATAAAACCGTATAAGAGATAATTCAGTCAAATTTTCAATATTAAATCAACAACTGACATGATTCAATATTTTGTTGAAACATCTCAAGAACGAAATTGCAGGTATAAAAATGCACTTTTTTCACTCAGACTTCTATGTTCTTTTATAGTCAAACGGTTGTCCCTTTAAATACAAAAGTATATCTACAAGAACATGTGTTGAAACTTCTCAAACCCACTAATGTTTTTCAACTGTTTCAATTAACGTATTTCATTAGAAAACATACTTAGGAGTTTTAGAATGACAGACCAGGAATCTGCTCAAAAAACTTTGCTTGATCTGGGTCACAAAGATGGCTATACACCATAGCATGAAAGCAATTGCTTTAACAAGCCTATTATAGAAATATTTTATGGCTAGATACTTCTTTATTTAAATGCTACTTTTGATCAAACAGATATCACTTCAGGAATTTAAAAACACTGCGTAATGGTTTTTATTAATTAGTAAATTAGACTACTAGGGTTAAATATTTGGTCCATCTGAATGAAGTGCATAAAGTTAGTGTACATACCAAATAAGGTGGTTGATTTAAGGCACTACATTTTACAAGAAGTTTGTCCATTAAAACATCCATCAATACTGCATCACCTTTTACATCTGAAAGTACAAGTTCAACAGTAGGCTATTGTTCACTAAAGATACTCCCCCCCCCCTACAAGTATTCCGTAAACAGGAAGTTAATGAGTGATGTATGTAAAAACGCGGTGAAGCATGCTCCCTGTGAAGTTTCAGGGATCTCGGTTGAAAGCTGTAAAAGGAGTTGATTACACAAATTAGGTGGCTGCTTTTTATTACTATATTAGGCCTAAATTTGTAAACACATTACAGTCACACCTCTATATAAAGGTCCCCTTCAGGACAATAGAAAATTGACCTTATAGGAGTGGTGACCTTTGAATTGAGGTTCAATATGCATAGGTGAAACATGGAAAACGTGACCTTACAAGACAGGTTATTCATTTTAAGAGGTGACATTTTTTACAGGTTTGACTGTATATTATTTGTTTTTTAACAGTATACTTACCAAGAACTCACAAATAAAGAATTGATTTATATATATCAATCATTTAACTTTGTAAAATCATTTAAGAAAACCAGAAACCAGTTCCACCCTATTAGGTCAAAATTTGTAAACAAGTCAGTCAACTACATTTTGAAATCTGACTGAATTTTATCTATAACACTTCATTTTTTTACAATTTAATTTCCTGTTTTTCAATGGCTTATTTTCTGAAGTATCTTCACCTCTTAATCATTTTTTTCTTATTTCATGCAGTTAATTGAAAGTATATTAGGACTATAAAAATAGTTTTCAATTCCAACTTACTTGTTTTCAACCTTGTGACAGTTTTGTCTTTTACATCAACAACTACTAAAGCCTGAAAGATATATATATATATAAACAAGTCTAAATTGAAAACAACGTTCAAACCTATGATTGCGTTGGATAAAAACCGCAATTTTTATACGTGTGCATGCAAAACAAATTTCTTTGTAGAGGGGTCTAAATACAGCACAAACAACATTTTCCAAAAGACCAAATGAGTGAAAAAGTATATTTTAACAAAACGCATTTGACTAGCAGGTCAAACAACTGATGTTCTTAAACCCTGCTGACTGCCATTGGCTATTGCCAAATAAACAGATCACAAGATTTAACAAAATAGATCTTATAAATAATTTATTACCAAACAGAAAACAATAAACTTGCGGATAAGATGGTATACCGCAAACATGACTCGGGTGCAAAAATTTGTACACCATATCCGGATTTCGACAATTAATGTCTCTTCAGTGATGTTAGGAATCGAAACGGTATTTGGGAGGCCATATAATTTACCTCATATATATATATATATACATTGTATATAAAAATAAACATGCTTGCATATATTTAAATATTTTATATAGAGATACATAGATGTGTCCTTAGTTTTATAGCAGCTATCATGAAAGATATATACAATATTAGGTCAATATTAGATAAATACTGACTTCTTTTGTATGAGGCTTAGAAACTGGGGAAGGGCAAGATAAACACACCCTTCAACTTTTGTTGCAAAATACAAAAAGTTGATATTTTTCTGATATCAATCTAATATTGTTTTTATAATGCAGCTAAAAATGCCTACAATAGTCATTTAAGTGGAAACATAAATTTAAACTAATTTTCAATCCCTAAATGATTTACTGATTGTGAAGAAATGATGTGCCATAAAATTGACATTGAACAAAACATCCCTATGCTGATATATTCAGAAAATAAAGACAACAGGAAGTGTTCTAACTCCAGTATAAATAATTATCACTATTTTGCGTATTTTTCCTTTGATCTTTTTATGATAATTTTTCATATCATGCTACTCGCTTGAGATAGAAAATTATTGCCAGAAACTAAAGGCGCATGTGCCGTTGTCAATGTAAACATCAACGAAGTCACAGGCAAAATAGGGATAAACAGACTATCAACGGTCTTTCAAACTCTGTCGCCCTTCGTTGAGATTGTAGCAGAGAAACACCCTCTTGTTTAAAAAACCATTGATAATCTGTAAGTACAATAATAATTACAACAGTACTTATACATGTATGTAGTCACAACATTGTTAAATGTGTAGGTACACAAAAACATGGATATATATATATGTAAAACAATAGTACAGTTGTGATATACACATTTGTTGGTATAACAGTATTGACATGTTATTCTTAGAACACAGATATTTACCACAGAACTTCTCCAAAAACTTGATAAAATTATCCTCCTGTTGTCAGCTGACCAACACTTTGTGGGTAATGATGCTACATAGAAACCTGGAAAGCTTTTAACTGTAATAAAAAATAATTTAATTTTGGATGTAACATGTCTTCTGATTGGCTGAAAGTTTTTTGTCTATCAGCTCATAGACATAATTTTGTCATGTGACCGTGACGTCATCAATGTTTTTTCATGATTTACTCACTAAAAATGGAATTTAGAATTAAATTATAAGGAATGATTGTAATGTTTTTTCTGTCTATTCAAAATAACCTCAAAAATGTGGTGCACACTTTTAAATAACCTACTACAAGGGTTATTCAGTGTGCACCACATTTTTTATGTTATTTCTTCATAATCAGAAAAAATATTACAGTCATTCCTTAAAAAATATATTTTTTCTTGTGATAACCTTGCTTTTGTATTGTTGATATGGCATACACAGAAGAGGATGTATCCCACCAGTGGTTGATATCAGCTTCATATGCAATTTCAATGGGATGGCCATATCAGCCCTCATTTGCAAATTTTGTATCAGCCCTCTTTTGGTTTAAAGTAAGGTACAATGTGTGAGACTAACTTGATCTGAAACCAACCTTGCTGATAGCAAAATTGTATGAACAACATAACATTCAAATAAATTAAGCTCATGTTTTTTTTAATGCCATCAGATTTTGTGACATCATTGCTAGGAACAATACAAATTTGGAGAAATTTGGAGAATACCAGACTTTGTTGTGAGAATTATTAGGGAATCATTGGAATGTTTAACAATACGTAAAAAAAAAGCCAAAACAAAAGAGAAAGAAAAAAAAAAAAAATATATATAAAATAAATGTATGGGATTTATTCAGTTGTTTAACTCAATTTTCTCTTTCCAATTTCACAGGCTGAATAGAGATATTTAGATCATTACATAGCATTTTCCATATTGGCCCTTGTATTATCCCCTGAAGCATATTGGTACCTTAAGCTAAAGCCCAGAGTCAGATATTACATCAATTTGCCTCCAGATTATAACATTCTGCTACTGCATTCCATGTGGTATGCACTATTTCTCTATTTGATTGCATTTGTAACAAACTTTTATTTATCTGAAGGATTTATTGTTAGTATTTGGATTTCTTCCTTGTGTTAAGCAAGCTTCATGTAATGTAAATTCTCTTCCTTGTGTTAAGCAAGCTTCATGTAATGTAAATTCTCTTCCTTGTGTTAAGCAAGCTTCATGTAATGTAAATTCTCTTCCTTGTGTTAAGCAAGTTTAATGTAATGTAAATTCACAAATTTTTGTGTGCATCTATTATTGTGATTTTTTAACAATGGACACAATTGTGAAATTAATTATTGCAATTTCAGTAAATTCTGCAAACCAATAATGCTATCAAAATTTAAAATGAGAGATTTTATTTTTGCTATACATATTAGCTTTTAAAAACATCGCAACAATTCCTAAATACAGTAATTCAATGATAAGTTTGATGTGTTATGGTGATTGTTGTTATTACCTTTTTTCTATCAACCATGGTACCTTAGGACTCACTTTTGATTAGGGTCTATTATTTCATTATATTTTGCAAATGATGTAACAAACCTGTAGGTTCTTTAACTATATCCACTATCACTGATGTCTGTCTGGATGGCCAATCACACTGAAATATACAGGGAGTACAATGTATAACCCTCTCAATGAAAATGCTCAATAGAAGACTTTCGAATTTGTGCACTTTCCAGTAAATTTAATTTGTCAAAATGCTTATGTTATTACGTCACAGTATGAACCGATTGTTCGATGACGTTGTTTACGCTGATTGACCTCAGGTCAACCGGCCTAACTAAATCATAAAAAACAACTCAAGATTGGTGTATTATTAATTCATTAAACTTCATTTTTCAGCTAAAAAAATCAGCTACTGAATCTGGATAGTAGTCTTTTTTTAGTAGCTAGTTGATTGACTATATGACTTATTGAAAAAAGTGATACCAGAGCCTTGCCTACCGAAACTTTGATTGCAAGTGATACAAAATAATCAATTTTAAATAAGTACTGCATCTACATGCTATAATTACAGTGACATATATTAAAGAAATTTTCAGTTAAACATTCAAAGGTGCCAAGACCTTGTCAACTGGTTTCTATACATTAAACTGCTTTAGGATTTTGTTCTGATGTGGCCAAGTTCAATATGGAAAAAAAAAAATCTTAGAATGATCATAATTTTTTTAGTGAATCATTACTATTTATGAAATTTTCAGAATCTGGCAGATCAGATCAAATAAAAAAATAAAACTTATTTTCAAATCAGCAATGTTTTTATATCACGATGGGATAGATATTTCCTAATATGATAATGAGCACAGTATATCTTCTTTCTACATTTAAATTTCAAAATACTTCCTTTTAACCCTTGTCATTTGGTTGATTGATTGATTGGTGTTTAACGCCACTTTCAGCGCTATTGTGCTATTTCGTGGCAGTCAGTTTTTATTGGTGGAGGAAGCTGGAGTGCCTGGAGAAAACCACCAACCTTTGGTAGAAAAACTGACAATCCTAGTCAATTAAGATTGGAGTCGAGCGCACCTGCCACGTGCGGGATTGGAACTCACAACCTCAGTGTTGACATGTTAGTCTTACAGTAGTTCGACTACTTAGACCACTTGGCCACCGAGGCCCCCCTTGTCCTTTGGTATAAAAGGGTAAATAAGTTTTTTATAAATATTTCTTTTTAATGTTTCACTATTGGAATTAATGACAGGCCACTTTGTGAAATTAGTTTGTAAGTTGAAGGTTTCATTCAAAGTTGACCTGAAAGGATAGACATTAGACAGATGATAAATAATGACAAAGTCTTACACTGGGCCAGTGACAGCGAAAGAAGTTTAAAACTCCATAAAAACTAAATATATCGTGTATCAATTGTTTGAAGGTGATTTTGAAAAAGAAAATATACCAGTATATCATAGCACAAATATTTTCTTGTCTGACTTTTATTGCTGTTATATGCAATCATTCCTTACCATGAGCAGTCTAGCACACTGGTAATGTGGACCTCCTATATCATTATCAAAATATATTAATTTTGATCCATCTGGACTAAATCTAGGCAGTGCACTGCATCTGGTATCATCACTCAGTCTTTCTATGGAATACAAATCAAGTTTTGAATAACATCTAAAAATATATTCTGACAAAAAGCCATGCCTGGTAAAAATAAGGCCAACTATTACAGATACCCAATTTGGCAAACTATTGACTCCTCAAAAGAATTTTTCAATTGCATCTTTGTAGATCTAGTACTGCTAATCATTTTTTACCATAACAATTTCTACCTATCTATTACAAATGTATAATTTTCAGGATATAAATTGGCAAAAACAAGAAAGATTGTTAAAAATCATCATTCAATAGCAATAACTCCTTTCTGAATCATCTGATAATGATGGTTAAAATAGGAAGCAGGTGGATCTTGACATCCTGAGCAGTTTCCCCACTGTCAGATTTTTTCTGTCTAATATAGTTTTCTAGATAAAGGACAATTAGTGCATTTTACGCTTATGTTCTATTTTTAGCCATGGTGGCCATGCTTGTTGACTGACTGAGAAAAAACACAAACTTTATACTAGATACCTTAAGGATCGTTCACCCCAAGTTTGGTTGAAGTTGGTTCAGCAGTTTCAGAGAAGATCTTTGAAAAAGTTTATTACGAAAGATGATGTCATGATGTGACGAAGTGATGGCAATAGATCACATGGCCTTATGGCCAGATGAGCTAAAAAATAGTTGCTTGGCACTGATTATCCAACTTTTTAAGACCTTGCTAATACATTTGATATAAATTTCATAACAATCCTACAGGAAATGTAGGCATGAAAGTGCTGAAAATGCAAATTTCCGTATAATTTATATTAACAAGGGCATAACTTCTTTAAATATAGTTGATCAGCACTAATTTTTGGAGATAAATTTCATAAAAATAGTTAGAATTGTACACATGAGAGGGCCTACAAGACCGGATGGACGGAAACAGAGATTTTAGAATGGACACCAGATATTTCTATGTTCCCCGCATCGCATTGCACAGGGGACAAAAATAAAGCATATTTAAAGTTGCTTACCACATTTGTTGGATACAGTATCCCAATAGTAGATTGCACTCCTGGAAAAGATCAATATTTTACATATATATGATTGTTTTTATAATGGAAGTATTATATTTCCTACATTACTTTTCAATTAACCTAATTATTAATTCCTAGCTATAGCATACATCAAGTGCAGATTATTTAAAATTGGTAAAAATCAACATAATATTTTTCTTTTCTATACAAGAAACCCAAAAATAAATAATTGTGTTCTGTCCAATTCTCTCAAAATTTCTTGTAAAAGTTATTTTACAAAATTTTGTGTATTTCTGCAATAAAAAAGATTTCTACAAATCTCTATTATGCAGGTTTTTTTCAAACATGGTCACCTTGAAACCAAAACTTTTTCTTTTCTTAAAAATAATTTTCAGATTCGAAATTTTTTTTTTCTTCACAACTATATCTATAATTATGTCTATAAAAGAACCTACTTACTCTCTGATTGGACAATATATTAGACCTAATCTGTATGGACCATTCTTCCATCCAGTGAAAACCACTCCCGAGTCTGATGGTGCCCATACTGCCTTTGATGGTGTAAAATACTCATGATTAACACTAAAAATGTAAAACTTTTCCAACAGAGTTATGGTTTTTATCTTCATATTTAACATTTGAAGTATCTGATATTTTGTTTTTGTGGATTTTTTTGGCACAAGAAGAATGATGTTAGTAACAGTGTTTGATACTTTCCTTAAATATTAAAAAGAATTTTTGATCGAAATATTGAATTAAACAATGCACTGTTAATGGTTGGAATCAAACTAAAATGATATCTAAAACAAATTTTGTCTTATATTTTGTACTAACTGTTAAACAAGTAAAACTAGGTACTTTTTTGTACTGGTAATGTATTAGTCTGTTCATTAGATACTGTGGATTAATTTGTTTTTGTGGGTACCAATTTTCAGAAAAAACTGTATTTTTGTGGATACATATAGAAAATTTGCATTTCATTGAACATTTGAATTTGTGGTTCACCTAAACCCAGGAAATACCTGAAAATTGTTACCACAAAAATACAAATGAATCCACAGTATATGATATAAAATGCTCCGCTTGGCGCAACTTGATACGACCGCAGAGGTCGAACCCTGAACAGTTGGGGCAAGTATGGACACAACATTCAAGCTTGATACAGCACTGAATTTGGATTGTAATTAAATATTTGACACAGCATAGGTTTCTGACACAGAATGAAAGTGGTCTAAAAACTTAAAAATTTAATTTACCTATTCAAACCATATCATTATTATTTGCTTTTATATATAAATCAGAAATAACCAATTTAAAATGGAAAATTTTAAAGAAAAAAAAAGGAAAAAAAAAATCCCCCCCCCCCAAATTTTTGAAACTCCCCCTATAATTCATCACCCCCAAAACTCAATCCCAGCCTTCCCTTTGTGGTATGGTACCTTGCAGTACAATTTCAAAGAGATCCATACACTTACACACAAGTTATTGTCTGGAAACTAGAAAAAAATGCTTGTTTTTTTTCCCCTTTTTGGCCCCAAATTCCTAAATGTTTAGGACAATTACCCCCAAACTCAAACCCAGCTTTCCCTTTGTAATATGGAACCTTGTAGTACAATTTCATAAAGATCCATACACTTACACACAAGTTATTGTCATGAAACTAGAAAAATGCTTGTTTTTTGCCCCTTTTTTGGCCCCTAATTCCTAAAATTTGGAGGCAATTACCCCCAAAATCAATCCCAGCATTCCCTATGTGATATGGAACCTTGTGGTACAATGTCAGAGAGATCCATACACTAACACACAAGTTATGTCTGGAAGTTACAAAAATGCTTATTTTTGGCCCCTTTTTGGCCCCTAATTCCTTAACTGTTGGTACCATAACCCCCAAAATCAATCCCAACCTTCCTTTTGTGGTATTGAACCTTATGGTAAAATTTCATAGAGATCCATTCACTTAAACTAAAGTTAGAGTGCCAATGTGTCTTTGGACGATGACGATGCCGGACGACGACGCCAACGTCATACCAATATATGACCACAAAATTTTTTTGCGGTTGTATAAAAATCAGTAAATGAAAATGATTTGATTAACACCTGGTTATTACCTGTCCCAGAGAATGATTGTCCAGTATGTTATCCAGAACTTTTACATCACCATTATCTATGTCTAAGATACAAACAACGGGACATGTTTTACCCACCAATTGTTCACCCCAGTCTTCTATGTAATCATGTTCTTGTCCCTGTATAATATCAATGCTATATTTAAGTTAAACAGCCATTTTTTTTATTACAATATTCGAGGTATCAGCAACAGGAAGTAAGACTCTGACAGATCTGAAAAGAGCTCACAACCTACAACCCATTACTGTCAAGTTGCTGACTAAATATGAGGTCAATCTATCAAGAAGTACCTGATAAAAGTGTGATGAAAATATCTGCTGGATGTAAGGATGAACAGACATGACAGACAGAAGTTTAGAAACACAAGGTTATTGCAACATAGCCATCACTCTCACACAGATATCTCACCTTAATGTAATTTTAATTCCCTTTAAATTGACCTCAACACAAACTTTAACATGCAAGTTAAGGGAAAGTTTCAAAGTCAATAGACCATGACTGAGGGGGCAGGGGTCGAGGCGAGACAACTAGAGGCTCTAAAGAGCCTGTGTCGCTCACCTGCATCTTCAACATTGGCCACTTTTTAGTAAAAATCATCATTAAAGGGGAATAACTCTATCAAGAGTTAACTGACAATTTCAGTCATGTTGGCATATTTGTAGATCTTATCCAGCTGATAATTTTATCTATTATAGTTTTCAAGATAATACGCAAAAAATGCAAAAAAATGTTAAAAATTATCATTAAAGGGCAATAACTCCAATAATTAGTCGACTGAAGATTTCGGCCATTATGGCTTATTTGTGGATCCTGTCTTGCTGATCATTTGTGCTATTTAAAGTTTCTATCTATCTATTACAGTTTTCAAGATAATAGGCAAAAATGGGAAAAATCATCATTAAAAGGCAATAACTTCAATAAGGAAACACTAACAATTTCGGTCATGTTGACTTATTTGTAGATCTAGTCTTGCTGATCATTTTTGCTATTTAAAGTTTCTATCTATCTAATATAGTTTTTAAGATATAAGGCAAAAACACAACAAATTTGTAACTTCGTCATTATAGGACAATCACCCTAATAAGGAGTCGACTAAAGATTTTGGACATGTTTGACTTATTTGTAGATCTTGTCTTGCTGATCATTTTTACTTTTCAAAGTTTCTGCCTATCTATTATAATTTTCGAGATAATAGGCAAAAATTAAAAAAAATGGTAAAATTCATCATCTATGGGCAATAACTCCTGCAAGAAGTCGTCTGACAGTTTTGAAGTAAATGAACAATAGGTAGAGCTCAACATTCTGAACATTTTTGCCTTGTTAGATTTTCTCTATTCATAGCGGTTTTCAAAATAATAGGCAAACCTTGCATTTTACCCCTATGTTCTATTTTTAGCCATGTCGGCCATCTTGGTTGACCGGCTGGTTCATCGGACACATCTTTTAAACTAGATACCCCAATAATGATTATGGCTAAGTTTTGTTAAATTTGGCCCAGCAGTTTCAGAGGAGAAGATTTTTGTAAAAGTTAATAGACGACGACAGACGACGACAGACGACGGACGAAGGACGACGGACTCCAAGTGATGAGAAAAGCTCACTTGGCCTTTCAGGCTAGGTGAGCTAAAAATGAGGACACAGGCAAAAGTGACATTTTTTAAAATGAAAGTATAGAAGATATTTGTCACTCTTTTAATATCAAACTACATGAATATATTTCAAAACTTGAACGTAAGAGAAAGCCGGTTCATTGTGAAATATGTGTTTTGCGACCTTGAATTACAATTATTATAGACATATCTCCATATCTAAGTTCAGAAATTATCTGTGAGCATGCATACAGAATCCATAGATGTCCTGTTGCTGAAAACATGCAAGAACTTTGGCAGTATACTCGAAGCTTACTTTGACAGGTTTTTCTTCTTCATTCTTATCATCCTTGTTTGGTTTTGAATCAAAATATGAAACAGTTTTCAATTTCTTTTTCTCAGCAATGTACAGTAAATTTTTCTCACTTGCTGACCAACATACAGATCCAAACTGTCCTGTAAAATATTATTACAAACTTTCAATTTCAGAAGGATCTCTCGTAATGTTAGCATATATCATCATATTCATATAACACATGTATAAATGCACAATTGCTAGTTCATTTTATACCGGAATTGTGGATGTTGGAAGAGTGGTCCCTAGTCATTCCTTCTCCGGATTATTCATGAGTTCAAGTACCAATCTGAACAAAACTTATTTGGACCATTCCTGTTTGATTAAAATCATTTATTGGCTCCAAATAAAAAATTAAACATTACCGGTATATCAATTTTGTTTCTAGTTCTGTTGTTGTGAAATTTAAACTGCATAAACAGCTTAATTTATTATACAATCTAATAAACTATGCATTAAATGATTATTACATGCACAGAAAGCCTTATACTTTTGTAAATAATATATTATAATGAGGATTGAGAATAAATATGCAAGCTTTACTCAAATGTATAGAATTCATAACATATAATATCACACAAGCCTTATAAATAAGGATGTAACAATAATAGTTACTTTGTGACTTGATAAACTATAGATATATTCAACAAACTTTAGATGCAGTATATAATAAGTTCAATGTAATACAATGTCAGAATAGCAACAAAATTGATAATAGTAACTTGATACCTGCCATTTAGCTATTTGTAGGTATGAATATGAGCTGAAATAAGTAAAATAAACTGTTGACACAGAGATATGTCTTGTCTGTCGGCAGACAATTCTGAAAAAGACAATCTGATTGACAGCAACATTGAAAATTGGTAATTATTGATTGAAAGTCATTGGACCATGACCTATGGGGGCAGGGCCTTGAAATAGTCATCAAACTGATATGTATTGATAGTAATACAACTTTATAGAAAAACATCCTTGATCTATCACAAGTAGTTCCTATCAAACTGACTTAAGATGAAAACTTAACATTGAAAATTGCTAATTAATTCAAAGTCACTGGACTATAACCTAGGGGGCAGGGCCTCGAAATAGTCATCAAACTGATATGTACTGATAGTAATAGCAACTTTATAGAAAATATAATTGATCTATCACAAGTAGTTCCTATCAAACTGATTTAAGCAGAAAACTTAACATTGAAAATTGCTAATTAATTCAAAGTCACTGGACCATGGCCTAATCGGCAGGGCCTGAAAATAGTCGTAAAACTATATTTACTGATAGTAATGCAACTTTACAGAAAATATAATTGATCTAAAACAAGAAGTTCCTATCAAACTGAATTAAGCAGAAAACTTAACAATTGTTGACCCAGCCAATAACAATGACGCCGCCACCCAAAAAAGCAACACCTATTTCTCGCCTTCCGCGATTTTTGTTGCAGGTGAAACAAAGATTAGATGTTTCATGTGAAATTTTCCACCAAAGACAAAAGGCCGAGAGACTCTGCTCACCTGGATGTATGTGCATCTTCAACTATGGCCACTCTCTAACATTGTAAACTAGAATATAATTCATGACTATAATCTCTCTTTTGTTGATGGTGTCTTGCTGATCATTTTACTGTTTACAATTTCTCTCTATCTACTAAAGTTTTAGTCCAAAATACAAAAAGTGTGCAATTATCATTATTTATGAGTTATAACTCCTATAAGGAGTTGACTAAAAATTGTAATATAAGGGCAATAACTGTCATCTGGACTTATGTGTAGATCTTGTCCTGCTTATCGTTTTTGCTAAAGTCTGTTTGACTTCTATATATTTGCAGAAAAAAATTCTTAAAAATCCATTTTTTCAAATCAATATTTTTTGATGTTATGTTATGTATGTTAAATACATGTATAGAATATATACGAACTCTGGGAATTAATTTCATAATTTTTCATCTATAATTAAAAAAGTTACCCATTAGGTCTCTATGTTATGCCTCGTTCACACGTACATTTAATTCGAATTGAATTCGAATCGAATGTGAATCGAATTCGCTAATTGCGTTCACACACTCTTCTTTTTTAATTCGAATTGATTGGAATTGGCTAAATCGCATTATCCAATTCGCATTAAAAATGCGTTTTTGTTAATACGAATTAAAAGTTAACGTCGTTAGGACAGTAAAGCGAATTTGACGCACTTGCAATTCCAAATAGACGTTTCGAATGCGAATTAAACTTATTCGAATTAGTTAATGCGAATTGAATTCGAATTACATGTGAACGCAGCATCAATATTATTTTATGAGGTATTAAATATTTGATGGAGTAAGTGTAAATAGTCTAACAGTCTTCCAATCAAAACAAAAACAACATTTAATGAAATAATGTAAAATAAATGGGGAATGTGTCCATGGGACACAGATGATGCCCCTGCTTGCATATCATATAAAGTTATAAAGGGACATAACTGAAGAACGGTAAAAGTGGAACTACCCAAATTTGTACTTGATCTGAGTTTTGTGGTAATAAGTATTGTGTATAAGTTTCATAACATTTGGTTGAGGCAAACTTAAATTAGAGAACGGAAACGAAAAATTCAGTAATTTTTCCATTTGTAAAGGGCATAACTCTAGAACGGTTAAAGTGACGCCACCAAAATTCAAACTGGATCTGTGTTTTGTGGTAATAAGCATTGTGTATAAGTTTTATAATATTTGGTTGAGGCAAACTAAAGTTAGAGAACGGAAAACAACTTTGGGATGTACGTACGTACGGACGGACGTACAGACAGACAAGGGTAAAACTTAATGCCCCCTCCGCTACGGCGGGGGCATAAAAAAATACACTTCTTAATAATTAAAGAGATAAAATAAACCATACCATCTGGATCACATATTTTCCCATGTTTTTCTAGACTAGTAATGTTGTAATTCTTTATTTTCTGTCTATCATCCCAAATCTAAAAAGAAATAAAAATTATATGATATTAATATCTTATACTTCATTGTTATAGCAAGTCTGATTTTCAATATTCAGAAAAAAATCTATATTCTAAAGTAATATGGTTCAAATTTAACCCTAAGACAACTGAAATCTAAAAGTCCACATTGAATAGTTTAGTATAAATGTCACCTTTTTAAATCAAACACTACCACAGCAAATCTTATTACAAATATGTTGGTCCTTATGGGCTTTTTTTAGACAGGACAGCTGTACAAAGTAAGACACTATTTTTTAAGCAATTAATCTTTTTTCCCGGTAGTTTTCATTTTGGTATACATGCTTAGATGGATTGCCATTAAACAATCAAAAAATTGTTTCATTTCATACAGATATAATGATTATAAAAAAGAGAACAACACTGCAGACTTTTATTTGTATTTATCTTTTGGACCTTTAAGGACATATATAACTGACAATCGCATGCATGCTCTTTATGTATGAGCATAATATTATATTTAATACATAAAAACCAAACATAAGTAAAGTGACTTTTCTCAGTTACTTAATTCCATTTCTTCGAACAAATCTTATTGAAATTCTTTATTAAATAATGCAAAATTTGTAAGACTTCTCATTTGAATAAAATTGTGTGATTTGTTTTATTTTTGTGACTGTTTAAACCAATTTGTAACATATTTTGTTTGATTAGAATAAATCTAACTTACCAATATAAGGAGAGAGATCTCAGATAATTTAAATTAGTAAAGGAATGATTTAGGAAATTTATCTATTTTATTTTGTAGCAAGAAAACAAGTACAGTGACCCAAATTTTTATTTTCATTTTCTGAAAGCACATTATAAGAGCCATCTTTTCATATTTTATTTCAAAATTCTACCTTTTAGTTTTTTTTTCTATTCCAACAAAATTGTTGTTTCCATGTATAATCCTTAAAAAAATCTGACAACTTTGCATAACCTGTAGCTTAAAAAAAAAGTTCTGTGACCCATACATTTTATTATATTTTTTAAAATACCATGTTATAAACTACATTTCTGGCGTCAGAGCTGCTGGAATTGGACATAGTATCACCAATGTTGCTGAAATATTTGGTACTATATCATAAAAGGATTATTGCACTTATAGTCCAGTCATTCTAGCCAAAATATGACCAAACCTCAAACTAATTGCAACAGAATGTTCTTCTAGTTTTCCTAGCTGATTTTGGGTTACTGTTGAACATATGAAAAATCGAGAAAGTTTGGATGAAGGGAAATTGTTAATTTTGGGTGAAAACCTTGGATTTTGTTGAAAAATCGCTGAAAACTGGAAATTTGCCGTTATTAAAAAACTAAAATAGCAACGTACATAATTTTTAATCAAGTCAATAGATCTTATTACAACAATGAATTTTTGAAAATATGATGAACTTCAAAGTACAGGAAGTTGAAAATTTTGGGTGAAAATGTTGGATTTTTAGCAAAAAATCGATAAAAACTGGGAATTTATGTTTTCTTAAAAAAACCAAATTCAAATAAGATTATGAGTCTTCAAATTTACTTTGTATATGTTAAATATTGAGGGAGATCAAATAATGATAAATTCGTCAAGTCAATAGAACTTATAACAACAATAAAAACCGATTGACCGGTATGATACTTTTTCTTGAAACCAAAATAATTACGTTATAGGATAACAAAAACATGTAGTAGTTTTTACCCAAACCCCTTAACTATGCTAATTACGTTTTTTTGTGTATTCTACATAGATCTTTTGAAGTTAATTGTCACTTAATCGTCCATGTCAACTGTTTTGTTCGAATTTGTACAACCAGTTCCTTTACATTCGCCACATGCTACTGAACATTCAAGTCCGTTTTTTCTACAAGTACATCTTTTAGTGTCACAGTTTGTCTTACAATTGCATCGAATAATGTTGAGTAATTTAGAGGGAGCTGCGTCCATCGTACACTTAACTGGAACAAGGTTTCCATTAGCGACTTTCCAACCCCATTCACATGGATTTAAATTGTCCTTGTCCATCCACATTTTCATTTGAAGATAAGCCCTCTGGCTATGAAATGAAGCCGCATTTGATGTTGGCGGCAAAGTATGAATTTGAACGTTTTGTTTGTCAATACTCTTGCAGCAAACTTTCTGTAGCGAAGAACGTTCAGTCCTTCATACGGAGCACCATACAACTATAGCATTACTGTATTTCCGTTCTACGCTGTCAACGTACCTCTGGCAAATTTCACCGAAAGAAAGTCCGCTTTGCCAGTGTATACGATGGAGAAGAGAGCCGCCATCAATAATATACTGAGTTTTGTCGTTTTCGTTCATTTCAAATGCGCAACAATCGCCCTTTCCCCAAATAGCATCTGCAAGACTAGACTTTTGTGCTGTTCGCATGAGCCCATTTGGATCAAACATTGAACTGGGATGACTACATAGTTCATAGGTGAATATTTCAGACTGATCTTCATATATGCCATTTGATGCAGCAAGAAAGCGCTGAAAGAGAAGTTGTGAATCAACAGTAATGACATCATCATCAACTTTGATAGCCGATTTTGCACTTAAGATAATGGCCTGTTCTTTCCTTTTAAATGAAAATTCATCAATTTTCTGTCCGTCCATGGACTTTAGAATTTTAATCCCTAATTCCTTCGAATTATCAACATTGACAAATTTGTCCGCCGAGACCCCTGTTTCTATATTTCGCAAACTGGTTTCCTCTACAAAAGGATTTCTGCTGATAAGAAACGATAAAAATGTTTTCAAATCTTGACAGTCTCTCGATCTCCTTGAATCCCCACCTTCTTTATGTTGGTCACTTGTTCCATAATTGACTCCAGTAAACTCTTGCAAAGCATTGTTCATTTCCGCGCAGTCTGGCATAGATAAAATCCATTGGGCTCGCTGACCCTCTGACATACCTCTGCCCCGAGTCATACCGCCTGTCGTCTTTAAGCTTCTCATTAAAACCTGTTCTATGACCAAATCAGAAGAAAGACCTGCCCAGAATTTATCACTCCTTCTTATAACATGATAACCTGATTGTAGAAAAGCTAATACGTCAGGATGTGTTGTTTTCAAGTTCTGCATTTGTTGTAAGTATACTCGTGATGATTTGACATACAGATTGTGTCCCGAAGCTGCAAGATACGGAAGCATGTCTTTGACTGTTTGTAAATGTAGACCCCAGTTACCAGTCCTTTCAGCTTTGATGAATCTACGGAGTATATCTATCATATCCATTTACTGGAACCATAGTTGTGAAGTACGAAAACTTTTGTGTGACACCCGAAAGTTATCTATCCTAGATTTTATTTGATCTAATAAAACATTTTCGCAAGCTTTTTCGACGGATATGTCCCCTTTCAGTAGTTCATCCAACATCGAATCTGCTTCATGCAACTCATCCGAAAGGTCCTCAGCGTTCATATCAGTAATGTCGGTATTTATGTAATTTGCCGGATTAATATCATTGGTTCCACTCTCATTTTCGATTTGATCTGGAAGTGGTATGCCGAATATGTGTGACAAGATTATTGACGTGAGAGCTGTGTCTATCAGGAAATGTGCCCTTACTGCTCGTGCAATAGCCTTTCCACTAGTCATATGAGTTACTGCATTTGGTGCATACACTGTTTCAAGTAGCTCAGTAATTCCAGATCCTTCCATCAAGTGACCAATGCCGCCTACAAAACTCATTTCTAAATGAAAGCCTCCAAGTCTCAAGATAACTGACTTTAAAGGACTATCCAATGGTTCATCTTTAATTATGTTCATTGCCTTCCAATAGAGGGGTTGATCAAATGTCAAAATAGGTGAACAATGTTGAGCCTTTGCTTGCTTGCTTATGAAGTTAAGTGTTGAATTTATACATGTGAGATCACTAGGATTCATGTCTATCATTGGCAAAAAAACAACAGATGATTTTCCTGGATAATCACCGTCCATCACTTTGTGCATAATGGCTGACCAACTAGGTTGGTTGCATGTCAATGGCCAGCATACTTTTGACAGAAGGTCTAACTTCCACGTTGTATCGACCATATTTGGCTCATAATTCATGGTTGCGAACTCTGCCTGTAACGATTGTTTAGATTGCATCTTATAATAATCTATGTTAATCTTCGCTAAGTCAGAGACTTCCTTTAGTGTGGGAGACAGCCTAGGGACAGCTTTGTCAAGTCTAAATCCTGGAGTTACAGCTGCAATCATGCCCATACCATGAAATGTTCCATGACCATCTAAAGTGCGCAGGTTATGGTCTACGTTATCAGCTATATACTGAACGAAAGTGTCATTCCCAAACTGTGTGTCGGTTCTGTCATGAGCAGCAGCAGCAGCATTAAGTTCAAACCTTTGAACCTCTGTGTAAGAAGAAGCAAAACCAAGAGTGTTCAAAGTGTCCAACAAAAACCTTGATCCAAAGTGATGATGCATTTGTACACTGAGGGCAATTTGTAGCGGTGCAATAAGTGTTCTTGGTCGGGTTGCCTGAATTATAGCTTGACCAACAGATGCAACTTTAACAGTAGAGTCGTTTTGACTAAATAATGCACTTAGAAATGTTCGTAACGAATCTGGGACAAAGGCAGTGTTTTGCTGTGAGTTTATATCAACAGAAGACGGATATATAGATTTTGAATCTTTAAGGCTCATAATATCTGCTTTTATTAGCTTAGCTGCTGTTTCTATCATCGACAGCTTTTCATCTTCTGGACTCTTAGATGATGGTCTTCTGTAAAATTCGTTCAGTATAGATGATGCTGTTCTCCTAAATGTGACTATATTCGACTTTCCGTTTACTTCAGTGATGATGATATCGGATCCAAAATGAGTTTGCAGTCTCTTTTTCATGTGCACCACACTATACGCCTTCTCTCCGCAAATTTCTGCCATAGCCTGAACAAGATCGCTTACGGTTGCAGGTTCGTCTTGTGTTTCTTCTAATTGTCTAACTATTTGCAGGAAAGCTTTCTCTGGTAAATCTTCTTTTGGTCGTCCTGGTGTCGTTCGTTTGACCTCTTTGTTTGCTTGCTTCGAAACGGGGATTTGCTTACCAGTTGTAAAATTAACACTACATGTTTGGTGGTATATTGCATCTGCAGCGTGCAAATCGGATGGCGCAATGTTTAGCCTCCTCAAAACGTTTTCGGACCATTCATCATTTCTTTCTTTGCAGATGTTTCTAAGGGTCTTAGAAAAATCTGTTGTCCTGACAGGAAACACGTCGATTCCCCTTTTGCTCTCCGAAAATTTTGCATAATTTCCACAAAATAAACAGTTCTTCTGGAACTCGAAAACAGGAGTGGAAGAGCGTAAGTCACGACTTAGCTCGGTTGTCGATAAATTCTTGTCTCGCAAGTCCTTCTTGATTGAATTAGCGTTTATGTAATCACGTCGACATTTCTGATGAACTTTTTGTCCTGGAGTTGTGTCGATCGTATCATTTCTGGTTTGGCTGGTCCTATTAACTGTGTTACATCCTTTTTCTCTTAGTTGTGTTATTTCTTCACCATTGTTTAGAGACACCCGACAGAAAACACAAGCATCCATCATTACCTAAAAAAATGATAAAACTGTTAAGACGAGATTCAATTAATTTGGTTTTGCTTTCATATTATTTTATCAAAAGATTTGTTTTGGATACAATATTAAAAAAAATCTATGTTGACTTTTTTTATACTATAAAATAATTCATATGTAGTGTCTGTACTCATTTTGATTCAGGATTACAACAGTTATTTTTTTCAGTTTGTTAATAGTTTCTATTTGTCGATATTCTGGTTCTATTTGTACTTTCCGCCGTAGTTCATTGTGTTTTTATTACTTTATCATGTTAACGCTTATACAGAAACATATGACATGAATACAAGTATTAAGTGGCGCCCCTCCTCCTTTTCAGGTAAAATACCTGCTTGATGTATGCACAGAAAAACAACAGTAATAAAAATTGCCCCAAAATGTAATATGAAGTTTGATAGAGTGCCTTTCCCCTGCTTGGTGCATGGTAGCTCAGTTAAATTGTATAATGGTAGCTTTGTTAAACTGGACAATTCTAATGTCCCTCTATCATTTGATTAATAAATATTCATCTTATTTTGGTAAAACAATTTGTCTGTATCGATTTTTAAATTTTATTATCAGTACAACTTCCTTTTTCCATGAATTCAATTTTGTTGGAATGTAACCTTTTTGGCACTAACGGCGTTCCATACTTTTTTTTTTTCGTCAGCAACTCCTGGCAGTAGACTATAATTTGTTTTTTACGGGGCGATTTATATATGAAATGTATATAATTTAGTCCAAATATAAAAAGCAGAGCTGTTTTACACGTGATTTGTGGTTTAGAGACCTCGGCAAACCGAAATGAACTCATTTCTTTCCTATACTACTTTTTGCCGTCTCCCGTGTATTTACGCCTTTCAAAAACACCAAAAATACCTTGCATGACAGCTTTTACTCTTAAGAGTGCTAAATACATATAAAACTTTTATATATAAGTCTTATATTTACTTACCAGAATGAAAAGGATGGACACTAGATGCGTCGTCTGCAGTTGACCATTACGAGTTGTCTCCCATATCGTCATTCTCAATCTACGGGCGCCATATCTTTCCATAATATTTGAAGTAAAATCTTGATTTTTTTTTCGCCAAAATTGACGACTTTCCCCTATTTCGATTTTTCTCGATTTTTAATATGTTTCTTATACGTTATATCTCTCACGAATTCCGCAAAAAACATTTCTGTTGCAATTAGTTTGAGGTATAACCATAGAATGACTGGACTATTATAATGAGGAATATAGTCCCTCGCAGTATATCATACTGCACTAGTATGCTAGTGCAATATAATACTGATCTGGACAATATTCCTTAATATTAGTGCAATAATCCTATAATATTGTAGAAAATAAAATTATAAACATGTTGTGACTATTTATATTGTGCAAAAAGGAATATAATTATGTATAATTTGTATAACAGTATTAATTGTGTGTACCATCAAAGACATCAAAAATCAATTATTAACCAGGTACTATAAATCAATAAATCAGCTGATACAGGTGAAATCATAATCTATACTGTACTTCAATATATTGTTTTTCTTCTTCTTTCTTTGTTGTGATATTTCTGATAATGACATTCAACCTTCCTGACGGGGATTCTTTATTCCAAAGTCTGAAAAAATATTAATCATTTATGACATAGCAAATCACTTAATAAAAACACTCACTAATTTAATAGTGTGATAAATACATTTGATCAATGGGTCATGGTGGCCGAGTGGTCTAAGTAGTCCAACTACTGTATCACCAGCATGTCAGCACTGAGGTTGCGAGTTCGAACCCAGCACATGGTAGGTGTGCTTGATTCAAATCTAAATTGACAAGGATTGTCAATTTTCCTGCCGATGATCAGTGGTTCTCTCCAGGCACTCAGGCTTCCTCCACCAATAAAAATTGATCGCCACAAATGCCAATAGTGCTGAAAGTGGCGTTTAACACCAATCTGTCAATCATCAATCACATGATCAAAAGTCCTTCTACAAAAGTGGTCATGGCATTAACAATAATTCACAATCTTCTCTGTTAACTAAAGTGTTACCATATTGTGGTATAAATAAGAACAGTTAAATTAAAGTAAAACTCACTCATTGTTTTCTGTAACAATATTTGTAGACTGAACTTCATACTGATATGGTCGACCATTTCTAACAATATAATTTTTGCTAAATTTAATATTTTCTATTCTTTCTAAATCAGTCTGTTTCCAATGAGTTTTCAAAGTAAGATTATCTCCCTTAGATTGATTCGAGATATATCCCTTTAATGGTTCAGCTAGACAGCCATATTTTCTGTATAAACTAATAACTTCTTCCTGTAAAAGAAAAAGTCAATTTCTGCTTTTACGTTTACTTATGTGTATTGATGTAATACTGCTTTTTATTCAATCCGCAAATGAGAAAATGTCAGACATCGCCATAACATAATACGATCGCAAATTTTTTTCACTTTGCTGCTTATTAAATACATAATGTATATATAAATTTGGATATGTGTTATATTTGCCAATTAAATGACTTTACACAAAAAATCAATTGACAATGATGTAAACAACTATAACCACCTCTAAAAATGAGCAAAACCTATTCTGTATAGTAAGCAATCAAAAGCTTGGGAAAACCAAATGTCAAACAATTTAAAAGAGAAAAATAACACCCTGATTTTACCTTATAACATTTGATGAAAAACAGTTAAGGCAGATGACAACCAACCTTTAGTTGATTTGAATATGCTGCATCTGATTTTGTTATTTGTTTTAACAGAAGTCCATTACTAGACTAGTAATGGACTTCTGGTTTTATGTATTTTCAGAAAAGCTCAATGGAGCGTGTGTTTAATTGTAATTATTTCCAAATCAAACAATCTTTTTTTATCTATTTTTTTTTGTTTTTGGGATTTTGTTATCCGTTATAGTTCTTCCACCATATAACTTACACTTAGAAGGAGAAAATGTGATTACTGCACAGTGTCTTAAATATGGAAACAAAAAAGCTCTCTAAATCTATTGTCTATTAGATTCAAAAGACACTTATCATGCTTACAGACTGTCAAATATAAACAAAATATATATTTGGTATTTGCCATATATATTTGCTTTAGGCTATACTTATTTAAACCCTAACCCTATATCAAGCACATACCTAACCCTAAAAGTAAAACTGAGGGGAAACCATTTTATTTTATGGGGGCACAGTTACTGGTCTCTGAAAAAAATAACCTTGTTATATTAAAGTATATATATGTAGGCAATTTTTTTTTTAAAGACAAGACAATAGACAAAATTTCCATAACCCTTGCATAACAGATTGACCTGTTCTGCTGTAGTCTCTGAGCCCTAACAGCCTAACACTAACAGAACATTGTCCCTTAAATTAACAAGGGCAACATTTCTATGTGAAAGATTCCAAAGTCAACGTATTTTATTCTTAATCACTAATTATCAACAGCTTCAGTTTTGAGATGTTTTGAATATTTTTCTTGCTAATTTAAATTCCTACAATCTTCCTCATTTTTGACCTGAGATCTGACTTACAGAATATATTGTTCCTTTACAGAAACACTTTAGAGGTAACAAAACTAACCCAAAATAATTTTTAAACAATAACATACCACAACGAACTAAAAATTCAGGTAGAAAAGTTATCAGGTCGACAGGTCTGCAGGTCAGGGTATGGGGTTAAAGTTAAGGTTAAGGTTTAGGTTATGGTTAGAGATACGTTAAGGATTAGGGGTTAGGGTAGGTTTATGTTACGATAAGGGGAGCGGGTTGGAGTTAAAGTTATCGTATGGGATAGGGTAAGGGGTTAGTGTTTGGATTATGGTTAGGGTTAGAGTTATGGATTAGGGATACAGATTGGGGTTTAGGTAGGGGTTAGGGTCAGGGTTAAGTTTACGGGATACAAATTAGGGTTAGGTTATGGGATAATGTTCGTGGTAAGATTAACGTTAGGGTTAGGTTTATGGTTGCCAAATAAAATTTAAAAACATGAAACGAGTTGATATATGAAGTAATTGATATTTGTCGACTTGTAAAACTGTTGTCGTTCTGATTCTTTGAACTGTTGCCGCATAATTATAAAAATATATAAAGAATTGATATAAAGAATAATTGATATTTGTCCTGATGACCTGTCGACTTGCTAACTTGTGGACTTAGGGTAAGGGTTAGGTTTAGGGTTGCCAAATATACTTTAAAAAATGAAACGAATTGATACATACAATAATTGATATTTGTCATATTGACATGTCGACTTGCTGGCCTGTCGACCTGTATACTTCTTGATCGTTTTGTTCCCTTAAACTTTTGTCAAATAATTGAAAAAAAATAATAATTTGAATATTGATAACAAGAATAATTGAATATTTGTCCTGTTGACCTGTCGACCTGCTGACCTGTCGACAAGTTAACCTATTTACTGCTTACCTGCCGATTTGTCGACCTGGTAACCTGTCGACCAGTTAACCTAACGACAGCTAGACTGTCGACTTGTCAACCTGCTGACCTGTTGACCTGTTTATCAGAACAATGTTATGACCTATGATCGACTGGTTGACCTGTCGATCTATCGGCCTGTCGACTTGCTAATATACCAATATGTTTACAAAAAGATTTTTGTGACCTGTCGACCTTCGAATTGCTAACCTGTTGACTTGCTGACATGATGACCAAAATAACTGTAGAATGTAAGACTAGTTAACATGTAGACCAATTTGTGTCCTTTTGACCCGCTAACTTCTTGACATGTAGACTTGCTGAACAAAACAGTTGACAATATTAATTTATGTTTTGTTGACCCGATGACCAGTTGAACCTGGCAGTGTTCTCCATAGTATTTAGCGTGTAATTCAACTTCAACTTCAACTTCATTAATTACTCGTCAAAATCCATACTGGACATCTAATAACAAGGACATGGGAGTAGTGTGATGTGCGCAAACAATCCAATAAAGAATGTAGCTCCGGTGATTAAAAAGATAACAAGTATGTACACTATACAAAAGTTCAAGCTCATTAGTTGATGTTGGTTCTCCTTGGTTTTGGTGCTCCTGGTGGGATGATTTGAAGGCCTCCAGTGATGGTGCGAGCACAACCGATTCTGACAGAGTGTTCCAGACGGTAAATGTTCTTGGAAAAAATGAGTGTTGATAGATGTTGATTTTGCAGTGGTATGGCAAGAATTTCAAACTGTGGCTGTTTCTAGTTCTTATTACAGTAGCTGGTATTGGAATGTAGAGTACTGGTATAGCTATTAGTTGGTGGACTACCTTGCACATGAGGGTGACATATGCCATGGTTCTTCTTTGTTCCAGTGTGTCCACATTCTGTTTGTATGTGCCTGTCCCAAGTCAGGAGCCTGTAATTCAGTGGTTGTCGTTTGTTTATGTGTTACATATTTGTTTTTCGTTAATTTTTTGTACATAAATTTAGCCGTTAGTTTTACATTGTCTTACATTGTCATTTCGGGGCCTTTTATAGCTGACTGTGCGGTATGGGATTTGCTCATTGTTGAAGGCAGTACGGTGACCTGTAGTTGTTAATTTCTGTGTCATTTGGTCTCTTGTGGAGAGTTGTCTCATTGGCAATCATACCACATCTTCTTTTTTTATATTCCAGTTGAGGTTATGAACAATTGATGTTACACTGATTGGCTTCTATGGATTGTATGGTTGGTTCGCTATTAATCTGGCAACATTCCGCTGTACCTGTTCTATTTGTTTAATCTAAGTTTTCTGTTGTGGATTCCAATAAGGTGTTGCATACTCCACTTTTGGCCGGACTAGACTTTGGTATGCTCTTTCCTTTACCTTTGGTGGACGATGTCTTAGGTTCCGCTTCAAAAATCCAAATATACTTGAAGCCTTTTTTCAGATATTGTCAATGTGCAGATGATACTTTAAGGTGTCACTGAGCTCAACGCCTAGGTACGGATGGTGGTGTACAATTTCTAATGGCTCATCTTTCATGGTGTACTGGTACAGTCTCTTCTTAGTTGATGTGGTAAACTGCATGATGGCACATTTCTTGACGTTAAACTCCATCTGCCATGTTTCACTTTATTGCACTAGTGTGTCCAGGTCTTTTTGAAGTGATATATGTTCTTCATTGAACTCTTTGGGTCTATAGATGACACAGTCATCAGCGAACAGTCTGATAGTTGATGTTACACCATCAGGGAGGTCATTGATGTAAATTAAGAAATGTGTGGGTCCAAGCACAGTCCCCTGTGGAACACCTGATGTTACTGGCGCTGTGTAGGATGTTGCGTTATCTATTACAACCTGGTGTTGCATGTCTGTCTTTGAGGAAACTCTCTATCCATTTACATGTGTTACCCTGTATTCCGTAATGATGGAGTTTGTTTGAAAATCTGGTGTGAGGAACTTTATCAAACGCTTTTGAGAAGTCTAATATCCCCATATCCACTTGTTTTCCTTGGTTTAAGTGTTTTGCTATGTCATCTGTTGTTACTAGTAGCTGCGTTTCACATGATCTCTTTGCACGGAAACCATGTTGGTTGTCATGTAGGATATTCTGTCCATCTAGGTGGTCCATTATCTGGGATACTATGATGTGTTCTAGCATCTTTGATATGACTGCTGTTAGAGATACTGGTCGGTAGTTTGCAGGCTTAGATCTGTCGCCTTTCTTGAAAATTGGAACAATGTATGATTTTTCCAGTCTTTTGGTATATCTCCGGTATCTAATAACTGTTGGAATATATAGGATAGTATTGGTGTTATAGCCTCTGCTGTTTCTTTGAGGAATGTGATCGGTATTTTATCTGGATCACTGGCTTTCTTTTCATTTAGGCGTTCTATGCATTTTTTCATTCCGTTGTCTGTTATTTGAATGTTGTTCATTGGTTTGTATGGAGATCGACCCTTGTCTGGAATTTGATGATTATTCTCGTTGGTAAACCCAGATATAAATTGGTTGTTTAACATATCTGCCTTCTCGTTTGGTGTTTCGGCTATTCTATCTTCAGCTTTCAGTGTTCCAATGCTCATTGTATCCTGCTTCCTGGATTTGATGTATTTCCAAAAGGTTTTCGATGTTGTATCTTTTTCGAGATCTAACAGGTTATTCAGGTATTTATGGTAAGATGTATGAAGTTTGTTACGAAGAGTCTTTCTGAATTGTTTGAAATTTTCTGCTTCTATGCTGGTTTCTCCTTTCTTAAGTGCTTGTTTATACAATCGTTCTTCCTTTCTTAAGTGCTTGTTTATGCAATCGTTCTTCCTTTCTTAAGTGCTTGTTTATACAATCGTTCTTCATTTCTTAAGTGCTTGTTTTTTATAAAGTCGTTCTTTCTCTCTTAAGTGCTTGTTTATACAATCGTTCTTCCTTTCTTAAGTGCTTGTTTATACAATCGTTCTTCCTTTCTTAAGTGCTTGTTTATACAGTCGTTCTTTCTCTCTTAAGTGCTTGTTTATACAATCGTTCTTCCTTTCTTTTAAAAGTGCTTGTTTATACAGTCGTTCTTCCTTTCGGATTATTCTTTTAATTTCCTTTGACATCCATGGTACATCTTGTTTCTTCTTTAATGACTTCTTATGGATCCATTTGTTCATAACTTCAAAAACAGATGTTTTAAAATACGTCCCATAAGACAATATTTCATGGTTAAGTATCATGATATTTTTTACCCATCTATGAAATAATCTCCATAGAAGGTCTTATTTGTCAATAGTTCATAGATTGATAGTAATGAAATTGTGTCTTGTTACATTTTGTGTATATTGAGACAATATTTCACGATTTTTTAATAAAATTTGTCGAATGAAAAGGAGGTTATAAAAATCAAGGATTTATATACTATACAAATTCTTGTAAAAATTGGACAATATTATCTTTAAGTGTTTTATTATATTGATTATAACAAACATATAGTATAAGTGATTATCAGTACTTTACTTGTATTTAAACAGCCTAAAATGGTACAATTAATATATTTTACTTGGATAATTTATAAATGCAAACTTGAAATTAGCTTATGGTGAGATATATGTTTGTTTGTTATATGAAATACTTGCACTGCAAAATATTTTCAATCATTAATATAATAATTTGCATGCTTCATGCTTGTGCTCCATAGTTATTAGATGCACCATTTCACTGCTATACACATAATTTTCAAGAACAATACTCCAAATCAGAACTTGACACTCTCACAATTTCATGGAGTATGATTCCTCAGGTACGACATGCTTTAATTAGAAAATAATGGCATGGACAGTATTTCACTGTGAAATATTGTCATGTACGAAAATTCAAGGTGAAATCGATTGTCAGGGACAGTAAGTCACAGTGAAATATAGTCCCGAAGGACCAGACAGAATTTCATAGAGAGGGACACTATTTCGTATGAAAGATTGTCCTGGACAGTATATCATTATAAAATATCGTCTGCAGACAAAAAAAAATGCACATCCAAATCCAGGTAAGTTTTTAACTTGTCTTCTGAAACATAAAATTCACTAGTATAACTTTTATATATCTAGGTCCATTCATGCCTTAAAAACTT